AGCAGCACCTGCACCCTGTTGTCTGCATGACTGTTAACAGAGAATTGACCAATTGAGGTATCAATTGGCTGACATGGGAAGCAGCACCTGCACCCTGGTGTCTACATGACTGTTAACAGAGAATTGACCAATTGATGTATCAATTGGCTGACATGGGAAGCAGCACCTGCACTGTGTTGTCTACATGACTGTTAACAGAGAGTTGACCAATTGAGGTATCAATTGGCTGACATGGGAAGCAGCACCTGCACCCTGGTGTCTACATCATTGTTAACAGAGAACTGACCAATTGATGTATCAATTGGCTGACATGGGAAGCAGCACCTGCACCCTGGTGTCTACATGACTGTTAACAGAGAATTGACCAATTGATGTATCAATTGGCTGACATGGGAAGCTGCACCTGCACCCTGGTGTCTACATGACTGTTAACAGAGAATTGACCAATTGAGGTATCAATTGGCTGACATGGGAAGCTGCACTTGCACCCTGTTGTCTACATCACTGTTAACAGAGAATTGACCAATTGAGGTATCAATTGGCTGACATGGGAAGCAGCACCTGCAATCTGGTGCCTACATCATTGTTAACAGAGAATTGACCAATTGAGGTATCAATTGGCTGACATGGGAAGCAGCACCTGCACTGTGTTGTCTACATGACTGTTAACAGAGAGTTGACCAATTGAGGTATCAATTGGCTGACATGGGAAGCAGCACCTGCACCCTGGTGTCTACATCATTGTTAACAGAGAACTGACCAATTGATGTATCAATTGGCTGACATGGGAAGCAGCACCTGCACCCTGGTGTCTACATGACTGTTAACAGAGAATTGACCAATTGATGTATCAATTGGCTGACATGGGAAGCTGCACCTGCACCCTGGTGTCTACATGACTGTTAACAGAGAATTGACCAATTGAGGTATCAATTGGCTGACATGGGAAGCTGCACTTGCACCCTGTTGTCTACATCACTGTTAACAGAGAATTGACCAATTGAGGTATCAATTGGCTGACATGGGAAGCAGCACCTGCAATCTGGTGCCTACATCATTGTTAACAGAGAATTGACCAATTGAGGTATCAATTGGCTGACATGGGAGGCAGCACCTGCACCCTGGTGCCTACATCACTGTTAACAGAGAATTGACCAATTGATGTATCAATTGGCTGACATGGGAAGCAGCACCTGCACCCTGGTGCCTACATCATTGTTAACAGAGAATTGACCAATCGAAGTATCAATTGGCTGACATGGGAAGCAGCACCTGCACCCTGGTGCCTACATCACTGTTAACAGAGAATTGACCAATTGAGGTATCAATTGGCCGACATGGGAAGCAGCACCTGCACCCTGGTGCCTACATCACTGTTAACAGAGAATTGACCAATTGAGGTATCAATTGGCTGACATGGGAAGCAGCACCTGCACCCTGTTGTCTACATGACTGTTAACAGAGAACTGACCAATTGAGGTATCAATTGGCCGACATGGGAAGCAGCACCTGCACCCTGTTGTCTACATGACTGTTAACAGAGAATTGACCAATTGATGTATCAATTGGCTGACATGGGAAGCAGCACCTGCACCCTGTTGTCTACATGACTGTTAACAGAGAATTGACCAATTGAGGTATTAATTGGCTAACATGGGAAGCTGCACCTGCACCCTGGTGTCTACATGACTGTCAACAGAGAATTGACCAATTGAGGTATCAATTGGCTGACATGGGAAGCAGCACCTGCACCCTGGTGTCTACATCATTGTTAACACAATACCCCTGTAGGAATACTATGTGTGAAAAGATACGATACGATACGATACATATCACGATACATGGGTCATGATATGATATTATTACGATTCGCGTGGAAACTTCTTGACTATAAATATTTTAGAGCAGGTTCCAATGGCTATAATGTGTGATGTGGGTAAAAAATTGTGTCACCATTGATTGTTACGAGCTTTGCCTACCCTGCACGGCAGCTGTCATACAACTGTAATCATGCTGACTGCAGGGTAAAGTAACATTTTATTTTTCAATTCACACTCGAGAATTTAGTCCATTTAAATCTGAACATGTCACAGCTGTACATGTTGGGTTTTTTAGAGAAAGAATTAATTTAAATCAATTTGTGTGAAATAGTTTCACTCATCTTACTCAAACTTTTGCTTTTACCAATGGGCTCAGATAGTGAAAATGTCATATTTTGACAGACTGTCAGGCTGGACCTGTGGCTGACGGCACAGAGAGTGGGTTAGGTTGAGACGTTTACAGAAGTATCACCCAATTAATCACTATCTGCGTGTGGTGAATAGATACATTGTTCCCACATTGTTCTGATATAGTTTGTCAATGTTTTTGCACAGATCTGCAAGATTCACTCAACAGACATTTTAACACTTCCTGGTAAAAAAAGATGGCAAACATATTTTTCTTTCCATGATCAAGGAAATAGAATTGTGATGGCAGATCAACAGCAGACCTAATAGGGAATCAGAAATTATTTTCCATTTGTCTTGCCAGAACAAATAATTAACAACAACATACTAATAAAGAAAAGCAAACACATGATAATTACTACAAAAAAAACAAAGGACAAAATAACAATATGTTCATCAAGGGCAACTAACTCTGCAAAGCCAAAGTGATTATTTGTTTCTAAATGCAGAGTCACAAGAAGGGTTCTCTGTGATGACTTGGGATCTTGTGACAGTTGTACTGTGTAGTGTGCTGAGGCCAATCTTGTATCTCTATTTATGATTCAGGTTTGATCGAGTGACCATGAATGTGTATGATCATGCTTCAGTATGATCATAACACTTTGTTGTGGTTTGTAAGACAAGCCTAACCTATTTCCTCTATTAGACGCCCAGGGTCTATTAGTTTCGCGCAAGCTGTTGACCCGGCGTCTTTTAAAGACCGGCGTCTATTCTGCACACCATGGAAACTCACTACCTTCCCAAATCCCAGATTCCTAAGTCATACAAAGGTACATTTGCAGTAAACGGTCATTATTATGTGAAGGGAGTAATCCTTACATGCCGTTAGTTCATGTGATAGGGATAATTAATTTCATCAAGTGATGGACCTGGCCTCTACTAGAGACCCAGCGTCTAATAGAGGAAATACAGTTCTTAATGGCATTATAGATTTACTGTATTACATGCATTGTATAATGATCCCGTGTATTGTAAATATGTCGTATCACGCCCTTGCCTCTGGTGTGGTTACTTGGCTGCTTTGTACTTGTGATTGTACACCATTACCGTCACAGACACATTGTGCTAATAGGAAATCTTCGAGTGTCGGTGGTAGTCCTGCTATATCTTTTATGCAGCCATGTTATAAAATATTTGTTTTTCCAAAACATAAATCTGACCATACAAGAGTCAAAAGGACAGCTGCATTACTGTGCCTGTATATTTATATGGGGAAATGATAGTACTTTTATTGTCATGTTTTTTCTTCTTTTCTAAAATACCTAATTCATGAGCAATTATTTTGATTTTTTTCAGAATTGCAAAAAATAAATGTATTACCAAGCGAACTGTAATATTTCTTTCAGCCTACTACAAATAGTAGAGAAAGGCAATCCATATCTATTTGTGTTGTAACTACACTGGGGAATGTTGATATCCATGAGGTTGTGTTCTGATGGTGTAACTGGATGAACTATGTGTGCGTCAATCTATAGCCAATATCCCATAAATGGGTGCCCCTGAAGATGTTTCCCAATAGCAATTTAATCTGTTGAGGGGATATACAACATGGCTGATGTTAGACAAACATTATCTCCATCCTTGGTTATTATCATCTTGGCTTTCCTATCAACTTGATGAATGTGAAATGATTATACTCCACGCTTGAATATATCATGATGAATAACTATCAAAACAGTCTCCTATTACTGTTTGTTGTCAATTGTTTATCATTTTTATACGCTCTACCGAAACCATGGCAACGCTCTTGCAGTGTTTGGGTAGCATTCATTATTTAACAAAAAGCTGAGGCGAAAAACCCACTCCTTGTTGGTTTTCATTTAAAGCTTTATGTTGTGCGACTATTGTGCTGTCATGTTGCAAACAACATAGAAAGTAGTCATTAGGCAGGCTGGGAGATACAGGAGCGATTGTTTAGTGTTATACGCACACTCCATCATATAATCCCTGCCATTGAATACATTCAATAGAACATGGACAGGGAATATAGCCCTGATATGTTTCGTACTAGAGTGTATGGTCCAACTGAATTAGTCTATTAAAAGCACTGCAGTTGCTTGTTTGTGTTGGAGAATTGTTAGGCAGGCAAGATAAAAGCTTTCTGGGCCTTGTTTATATCTGTAGCAAACTCCAGACTACGAGACTATTTATAATTGATTTGTTTACACCAGTGTCAGGGCTTGGGTTGTTTACACAGTTGCCTTTGGCAAACAGCCAGTTTGTTTATCCCGCCTGCCCATTATAAAATTGTCCAACTAGAGACAAGCTAAGATGGAAAGATAGATCGATGTTTAGTAATTTTCTGTCCTCACAAAGGAAGCAGTAATTTTAACACAGAACAGTTGGAGAGTGACTGATGTGGAGGATTTATTTCAGAACCGCTTTGTGCTGTGTTGGAAGGATAATCTGACAAAAACATGTTTTCTATGTGTGTTTGTGAATGAAACATTGCTGACATTTTCTCAACGGGTTTGATGTTGGTGAACAAACAACTCTCGCTTCTTAATGGTGTGTAGAAACTGTCTTCACGCACTTAACTTTAATACTGTGTTGAGGCACGACACTGTATCAGATTTATGAATTACAGTGTGATGATGAAGAGGGACTACAGCAGCCACTTTCAAAAAACTGTTGGCTATCCCAAGAATATGTGTTCGTTGCTGTCAGTTCCCCCAAATCTGGGTTTTATTTCCCCTGTAGGAGGTGGGTATGGTTATACCCCAGAGGTGCTATATAACTCGTATCTGCACTCCATGTTGCCTTCTACTTCAGGAATGATGTCTCCTGCCGAAATTCAGCAGTTGTGGAAGGAAGTGGCAGCGCAATCAGGATTGGAAGAAACACCCAAAAATGGGTTGACAATACCCACAATTCCAAGTGTAACGAGCGCACCTAGCGTGACTGTTCCTCCCCAGACAACTGTGATACAAGCTCCCTCATATATGACCAATGGTGGAATTCCAGTTGATGGATTCTTATTACCAGGTAAGGACAGTTACTAAGTACTGTTATTACCAGTTGTGTTCTATTTATCACTTCTCAGCATGTATATGTCAGCAGGTCACGAAATTGAATATATTGGCAGCTCTGTTTAACAAATGACATATTCACTGTGAGATTTACAGTATTAATCTATTTTTTGTCACTGATGTTAAATACCAGTCTGTGTCATGCAGGACCATTAATCCGCCATGTTTAGTCGCACACACGTGACTGATTTTAATGAACCAATGACTGACAGGTGCTACCTGTTATCCAATGTTTAGATACTGGGAGTGAATACTATTGGAAGTCTTGGTAGGGGGTGTTTGCTGACCAATAACTCCCATGCATATCTTTCCTTTTTTGCCCTGGCCAACCCCATGAACAGACCATGACCATGAACTGCCATCATTGACTTACGATAGTCGTAGCACTGTGACTTTTGTATCAACTCTATGCCATCATTGACTTATGATATTTGTAGCTCAATGACTGTTGTATCAGCCATGCGCCATCATTGACTTACTGTAATCGTGGATCTATGACTATTGTATTAACTTTACACCATCATTGACTTACGATCGTCGTAGCTCTATGATTATTGTATCTCATATGTGCTGTCTTTGACTTACGATAGTTGTAGCTCAATGACAGACAATTGTATCAGCTATACACCATTATTAACTTATGATCGTCGTAGCTCTATGATTATTGTATCTCATATGTGCTGTCTTTGACTTACGATAGTTGTAGCTCAATGACAGACAATTGTATCAGGTATACACCATTATTAACTTATGATCGTCGTAGCTCTATGATTATTGTATCTCATATGTGCTGTCTTTGACTTACGATAGTCGTAGCTCAATGACAGACAATTGTATCAACTATACACCACCATTGACTTATGATCGTCGTAGCTCTATGATAATTGTTTCTCATATGTGCTGTCTTTGACTTACGATAGTCGTAGCTCAATGACAGACAATTGTATCAACTATACACCACCATTGACTTACGATAGTCGTAGCTCAATGACAGACAATTGTATCAACTATACACCATCATTCTCTTACGATAGTCATAACTCTATGATAATTGTTTCTCATATGCGCTGTCTTTGACTTACGATAGTCATAGCTTTATGATATTCATAGTTCCATGACTACGGTATCAACTATATGCCATTGACTTAGCTACACTCACATTGTAGAACAGAATGATCTCGGGGCCTGGATATTATTTTTCTATTTTATGGGTACACACATCAGAGCTGAAATATATTAATGCAACTCCTTAATGCTGACTCTATTTAGCCAGAAAATATTTGTTTCAATGTACATGTATCCTATTTATGTCAGGCTTGCCACTGAACTTCAACCATACTTCAAGCAGCTTTTTATAACTAATAAATTTATCTGTCAAGATGTTTCTACTTTTGTCTGCAATCCATAATGTATTATTCACATTGCTCACCCATGAGTAAACACATGACGTTAGGTTTAATAACTGAAATTGATCATAAATATTGTTAGAAAATTAGTTAAAATGTTAATTTAAGTAATTTTCTGCAGAAAGCAAAGTATATTTATAAGTGTATATTTCTCAATGTCTGAGATAGAAAAGGTATAAGACCGGGAGACTTCAGATGTTCATTCAGATTGTATTCATAACCTTATTTAATTTATGATTTTGGCATCTTTCTAAATTTACGATGTTGATCAGATACAACTGATCCAGGTTGCTTGTTCTTGGACTTGCGTGAACTCCTACACAGTTTGTATTTCTGAAAGTAAATGTGCACATGTGTACGTGGATAGTGTCACAGCCGACTTCCTTCTCATATCCCAGCATGCAATGCAGTCTGAAGAAACACAATTTGATTCAGCCATAAAATAAATAAACAAGAGTAGAATGAGTCAGCTCTCTCCTGCTTGTCTTACATCAAGTGCTCAACGAGACAGGATGTTTAGAAAGGGTTGAATGTTTACTGTTGCCAGGGCGTTTTGTTTACTGTTGGTAACCTAAACTCAAGGAATAAACACCTTTCTTCTGACCCATGCACTTAATAATATTCCCCCAAGAACTGCTCATGGTTATTTGTTTGTTCAAAGCATCATCAGAAGGAAAATCAAGGCTGGAGAAGTTTCCTGACATCCCATTTCTATAATCTGTTTCTTGTTTTGTGCTACTTTCATAGAGTCAACTATGATATTCTTTGACCTGTGAATATTGAAATATAAAATAAATTGATTTTCTTTATTGATTTTTGTCTACACATGTGAACTGGAATAATATAACACGGGCACATGTTGTTTTGAAATATTTTTTATAGGACCAGCTAAATTATAGGGAACATTATAGATGTTGGGTTTAGTGTTTTATGAAAATACGAGTTCAGAAACACATTGGAAGGTTCATGCATATGTCTAACTAACAGAAATATATTGTCTTAGTCTTAACTCTTAATAAATGTCATTATTGTTATGAAATATGTGTCAACCTTTCATTGCTTGGACCCTGTGTGGCAGGAACCCGGTATCTCATGGCTGTTTGAGCTCAATGAATATCAATTTAGGATCAAGTGATCACAATGGCTAGAGAGTATGAACAGTCACTTCAATGGGTTAATGTAACCATTGTATTCAGAAAGTTAAAATTGCCAAATACACTTTAAATTCTGAGGTTCTAGATTACCATGAAGACAGTTGTGATGATAATAAGTCATCGTACCATGACAATCCTACTTCTGTTACACACAATTGATTTGGTTGATCCAGAGCTTATAACAATGATATAACTGTAATATTGCAGGCTGAGGCTAAATGTTGTTATATAACTGTACTTTTGCAGGCTGTGGCTAAATGTTGTGATATAACTGTAATATTGCAGGCTGAGGCTAAATGTTATTGTATAACTGTACTGTTACAGGCTGTGGCTAAATGTTGTGATATAACTGTAATATTGCAGGCTGAGGCTAAATGTTGTTATATAACTGTGATATTGCAGGCTGAGGCTAAATGTATGATATAACTGATATTACAGGCAAAGGCTAAATGTTGTAATAAAACTGTAATATTGCAGGCTGAGGCTAAATATTGTGATATAACTGTAATATTGCAGGCTGAGGCTAAATATTGTGATATAACTAATATTGCAGGCTAAGGCTAAGTGTTGTGATATATTATTTTGCAGACTAAGGCTAAATGTGATTTAACTGTAATATTGCAAGCTAAGGCTAAATGTTGATAGAACTGTAAAATTGCAGACTAAAGGGTAAATGTGATATAACTGTAACATTGCAGACTAAAGGGTAAAGGTTGTGATATAACTAATATTGTGGACTAAAGGGTATATGTGATATAACTAATATTACAGATTAAAGGGTAAATGTTGTGATATAACTGTAATATTGCTGATTAAAGGGTAAATGTGATATATCTAATATTGCAGACTAAAGGGTAAATGTGATATAACTAATATTGCAGACTAAAGGGTAAATGTTGTGATATAACTGTAATATTGCACATATCACAGCAATTATGTGTGAATTCATAGGGCATAACCTCTATTAAAAAGGTTCAAAACTTCATGAAAACCTCATGTGAAAATTAAAAAAAACAATTCTTTATTTAAGATAAAACTTGATTATCAACACCAGTTAGAAAGACTACAACAACAACAACTTAAAGTTTCAAAACTCTGTACAATTGTACATTATACGATATAGATATAGATATAGCATAGATTAGTAATAATAAAATTGTTTAATATAATGTATGGAAGACCCAATAAGCCAACAACCAATATGCAAATTATGTCAAATAATAAGTGGAAAAAACATAATATATTAGAAACTATTATCTGAACAATACTGGTCCAAACATGGCAGGCAAGTTCAGTTTCCAGGGATGACCTGCTGTCAATATCGACATTTCACTTTTTCATAATCAAGCTGTTGCCTTGTTTCATCTGATGATGTTGTCATCCACATAGATTTAATCAAAAGTTTTGTGACAGATGTTGAAGAAGCTGACACCTGAAGTTAACAAAATGGGGCAGAAAGAACAAACAGTGTCTCATGGAGTTCGAGAGGTTTAAGGCTGTCAATAACCTACTGTAATCGTTTGATAACAGAGAGGTTATTTTGTAGCTAAGGTTGTTTTGTACCATGGTACTCAGGTTATTTTAAATGATCACATGGCTGATTTGAAAAATAATTTTTTCCCACCAGAAATGTTTATTTGACAGTGTGGTTGATTGATCAATGACACATACGGTAGGCCGTGTGGGTGTGGGACGTAGAGCTTGTATTCTCAACCTCTCCTAACTTCATACAATCTGTGTGACACATGAAGATCCGGGATAGAAGAGGTCTTCAGCAACCCATGCTTGCCGAAAATGGCAACTATGCTTTTATTATAAGGCCACTAACGGGACCGGGTGGTCAATCACGCTGACTTGGTTGATGCATGTCATCGTATCCCATTTGCATAGATTGGTGCTCATGACGTCAGTTGCCGGATTGTCTGGTCCCGACTCGATTGTTTACAGACCGCCATCATATAGATGGGTTATTGGCAAGTGTGGCGTTAACCAAGAAGCAAACAATCTGTGTGTGCATCAAGCATATTTATTAATTTTGGAAAGAAAATTATTTGTTGTTGGCCCTTTAAACTTACTTTGCTCAAGATAAAGACGACATCTTTAGAAGTGGTGCTTTTTTCATTTCTATTTCCCATCACTAGCAATGGACCACATTTTTGCATTAGAGCCAACACATATTTTATTAAATGTTGAACCTGTCATGTAACTCAAACACAAAACCTGATTCTCTCACTCACAAAATAATGTAAATTGGATTACTGTTTAACAACATTGCTTCTTACTTGATCTGAATCACTTGCCACCTAGAGCAACATACAATGTGATAAACATTGAATAAATGTATTATAGCATTGAAGGGACAAGTCTGTTACATTTGTAGTCAGGAATACAGCCAGTTTCCTCCCCACAACTGATACACAGAAGTATTTTCCGATAGTTCACAAACTAGTAAAAAATGTGAAAGTTAGGCATGGGCTGTTAGGCAAGAACAGTGTGTGGCCGTGGCCGTGGCTGTACACTTGTTTTACTGACTCTATGGATCCGCTGACCTTAAATTTTGAAAATTCAGAAAGAAAAAAATCAGAATGACAAAGGTTTTTTGGGGTGTTTTTTTTTAATTTGTGAGGGTAATGATCGCTTTGACAATGAGAATAATCTAAGGGATTTTTATATTTCTAAAACAGAATTGTTTCAACAAGAAATCATAATGACAAGTCAAATGTTAGATTTATAATATTTACAAGGACCCAAACCAGACCAAGTTAAATAAAAGTTTATCACCTACTGATCTTAATCAAACTTAACGATGTATAAAGAAAATTCTGTATAATTATGTTTTTCAGACAATGGACCAAACTTTTCACTTTCACAATTCTGAAAACCAAAAAAAGCCTGGCCTGGGATAAAAAGACATTGGTTTACCTACCTGAGTAAAATATCAAGGAGTGATAAAATGACAAAATTTTAATTAAGATATTGTCCCAATGTTTTTAACTATTTTCACCTTTGTTTAAACAAACCCCAATTAGAGCCCCCTCTTTGTCTTCTGAAAAATAACTAAATAAAACCATTTGAATTTATTCATCTATCCATACGGATTGGCAAGGGAGGTCATTGAGTGCATATTTAAAAATGTTAGTTTCTTTGAAATTCAGCTACAGGGCTCCAGAATGACAAGCCTTCTCTATTCCCGGAGTCATATTCATGGTTTATGAACCTGTTGCATGTTCCATTACAAGTCATGTGAGTGCAAAAGTATAAATTATTGTTATTTGTGTCTTGAGTGAGCGTGATACACTTGACACAATAAAATTCATAGGCTGGGATTATTTTTTTGTCCCTTTGAGAACATCATAATTCCTATTTTATGTCAGATTTTGACATTTACATGTTATAGAGCATGTAAATGAAAAGTTTATCGAGCTATGAATCAGTTGCACATTGTTCATCAAAACTTCGTCTCTTGCAGACTCTTATCCATTATCAGGATAAAACTTCGACTTTCTGACAAGCATATTTGTCCTTTCATTGATGAAACTTTTCTTGAAGTTAAGAGTCTCTTTTTCTTAACTGATTGTAGGAAGTGCTTAAGGTAGCGTCTTGAAGGGCACTTGAAAAGCTGGACGGGCACATAGGTTTTTTTAACAAGGAGAAGTTCCAAGACCATTTGAAGGTTAAATATAATAGTTCTGAAAGTGTTTTGAAAACTTCAGAAAACAGTATTAACACTCACAAAAAGGCATGAAAAACGTGTGAAAAATGTTGAAATTTCAGCAAGATTCATTGTATGTATAGTGTGGGAACCACAAATAAATGGATGTCAAGTCTGTGTCAACATCACAATGTTTGTCTCTTCTTTTTTTTGTGGTAAAATATATTATATAAAGAGTAGAAGCAATGTGTATAGTGTGCATACAATTTACAAAGTAAAGATATGACAAGCACAGTCATAGATACACCTGATAATGGGGCGAGAAGTAGCCTTGAAATGTGTCCTACAACCATACAAAAGTGGAAACACATTTCCCCAAATCAAACGTGATATTTCCTTCTAAAGTTAAATTTTTTTCATTTTGAAATGGTTGTGTGGTCAATCCAGTGAACATCCCAAGTTTAAAAAAAACAAACTTTCGCCGCTAGACCGAAGAACGATTAAAATACTATTTGGTCTGGGAAGCTCGGCTAATAATAATCCATATATTAATACTAGCTTCAGGCATGCCAACTCAATGTGTTGAGAACAGATTCACCCCTGTTATGGTCCTTTTTAAGTTCTGTTTATACCATATTCGCACTCATGTTTTAGTGATAAATATCTCCTGCCTACGTCACATTGGGCTTTCTTCCCACATCGAGCTGATGTGTCATGATATAACTGAGTTATCCCCACTTATTCAACATACAGCTCACATTCTCATCAGTATAGCTTTTTCTTTTTGTAACATTATGTTGCAACTTGTTACCTTGATTTGACAATTATGATTGTACATCCTTCCCAAATAGAAGAGAGCATTCTGTCTCAGTCAAAATCAAAGTCAAAATGGTTTTGTTTGTTTTGTTTGTTGTTTAATGCCGCACTCAGCAATATTCCAGCAAAATGATGGCAGTCTGTTAATAATCGAGTCTGGACCAGACAATCCAGTGATTGACATCATGATCGTCGATCCACGCCTCTTACAACAAGCATAGTCGCCTGTTACAGCAAGAATGGGTTGCTGACACCTTGTGTTTTTTTAAGGGAAGCCTTTTGGGTTTTTTTGTTTTTTTCTTGAAATTTCAAGTTACTATGTTGAAATTTCAAGAAGTTATATTGAAATTTAAAGATGATAAGTTGAAATTTCCAGTAAGTTCTTGAAATTTCAACTTATTATCTTGAAATTTCAAGATCATTATCTTGAAATTTCAACTTATGTATCGTGAAGTTTCAACATAGCATCTTAAAATTTTCAAGAAAAAAAATCTTTTCAAAAATGGCCCTCAAAGGCTAAGTTGAAATTTCAAGATGCTTTGTTGAAATTTCAAGATACTAAGTTGAAATTTCAGGATACATACTAAGCTGATATTTTAAGATAATGATCTTGAAATTTCAAGTTAGTTTCTGGAAATTTCAACTTATTATCTGGAAATTTCAAGATCATTATCTGGAAATTTCAACTTAGTATGTGTCTTGTAATTTCAACATAACATTTTGAAATTTCAAGAAATATTTTTAAAATAACAAATGGCGCTAAAAGGCTTCCGTAGTTTTTGGTTTGATATGATAATTGAAATGTCCTTGCTGTAGCACAGGTCACACACAGTATTGTCAATATAGTGTCCCTTTTTGCTATCAGAGTCTCACTTATGGCAGAATAGTTAACCCATTGATCAGTAATTGATAGTGCGGTTTCACACACATGTATTTCGCTGTTACCAAAACATGGTATATCTTGTGTATTCACTGGCTATTGCTGTAGTAAATACACATAAAACAATTGGTAGTTGCCATGACAACGGTAAACAAATCTTGTGTGCTTGTGTGATATGAGGCTATAAGCATTGTTGATATTTGGATAAATAAGGGTGATATTTCTATGTCATTGAAATATGTTCCATTGATTTGAGAACTGTGTAAATATTTAATAAGTTTAATGACAACAGTGCAACATAACCAGGGACTGTTTGGTATTTAGTTTGTTTCTTTCAGACTTTTATATCAGAATATTCTTTCTTGTAGTATTGAATTCATTATTGATTTTATGTACTGTGATAACAATCATGTTTGGGTTATGTTTGCAAGATAGAAATATGTCCTTCATAAATTATGTTCTGAGGATCATGGATTGTATGAATAATACATATTTTCGTCTCGCATAGCCATAAAGAGACAATTAAATTTCACATGATAGCTGAATTCATGCTGACGTTCGTGTCAGCATAAACAAATACCTGTCAAAGTAAATAGATCTCTTTCCTTTCCATCCAAAATTAATGTAAAGGATTATTATGTGTAAGGTACACCTTATTGGCCATTGTACAACATAGAGGAATAATCGTGGATTACGAAAAAAGTCATTGATTGACCCTCAATGTTTGATTAATATTATTGTCTATTTCAATTCATGTTCTTATTTGAAAGTTTATGTTGTGTTGCTTTAATGATTGAAAAATTACTTTTATTCATATTTGTTCATTAAATATGTTCAGGTCAAATTTGTGACATACATACGTAAATGATTTTGAAAAAGATGTGAGTCATATTTAGGAATGGGAGAAAAGGATATCTTGCACATCTTATTTTTTATTCACTTCAACCCATGCTTGCCGAAAATGGCAACTATGCTTGTATTATAAGGCGACTCAGGGGATCGGGTGGTCAGGCTTGCGGACTTGGTTGATGCATGTCATTGTATCCCAATTGTGTAGATTGGTGCTCATGATGTCAATCACTGGGTTGTTTGGCCTAAACTTGATTTTTTACAGACTGACATCACATAGCTGGACTATTGCTGAGTGTGGCGTTAAACAACAAACAAAAGTTTTGAGCACATCTTTATTTTGTTCGCTAGTATTGTTGCAGGTTCATTTCCCATTATGAGTACAATTTATTTGTGTACGATTCCCACACATTGAATTTGTGCTGTATTTTTTTATATGAAAACATCATCTTATTCAATTCAGCAACTAGGGAAGAAACAAGCTCATATGTGAACACAAGACTTATTTGAGAGCTGTTTGTTGCAGGTATTGCTCCCCTCAACCAGGCTGCACCAATCAGCATCCGCCATAATGACAGTGCCAAGGCTCAAATTGGCAGTGAGGCCATCAACGGGTCTGCCCCACCCAGCAACCCTCTCTTCCGACACAGTGTGTGCAAGTGGCCAGGTTGTGACACTCCTTGTGATGACTACCATGCATTTTCTAAGTGAGTTAAACTTTGTTGTACAAGATAGGTCTATAACAGTATTATATAGGTCTGTTACAGTATTGTATAGTTTCATTATACCAGCTCATTGTGCGCTGCAATAACTTGTGACATTTAGAGACGGAGCCAAGCAACGGTACCATGTTACACCTTCATTCAATAACGGTACTGGGCCCTGTTCCACAAAGCAATCTCAGCACTACTACTGTCGTAAGCCTATGTTAAAGTATGGGAGCTACGATCATCTTAGCACTAAGATCGTTTTGTGGAACGAGACCCTGGATATCTGAACTAGCACATGCTTTGCAGTGATTGTAAGTTACAACAACATTTGTATGGTCTGCAGCTAAAACATGAATTGACAGAATGGAAGGTAGTGAGAAAAATACCCTGAAAAACTGTATAGCCTCAGCCTTATTTACGTCTGAAAACGAGGCATTCTGTCAGTCTGAGGTAACATCACATCACTGACATCATGCAAACTCACTATATTTATCAGCCTTTGTGTTACTTCCATATTGGCCTACATCTGCAGCACACAGGTGTTCTTTGATCCTTCACCATGGATCTATAATTTTTATACATCTGTGCCTTACCTAACAATAAAAATACATGATATGCAGAATAAATTAACCGAGTATAAATGCAAGTGTCATATCAACATTTCTTCCTACACATGTTGTCAGTTATTGGGGGGGGGGATATTGAAATGAGTTCCGTCCGTCCATCCGTGCATGCATCCCAAAATCATTTCCGGAGCATAACTCAGAAACCGTTAAATACTTCTCTACGAAACTTTGCATGTCTATCAGACTCATGCTGATCTGGTGCCTTTTGCTATTTGGGAATTTTAGAAACTTATATTTTTTATGTTTCAATGGCAACAAGATGGACTTAGGTTCTATAGGGTTGAGTTCGTTTCCAGAGCGTAACTCAAAACCCATTCAATACTTTCTAACAAAAATTTGCATGTTTACCAGGCACATACTGAACTGGTGTCTTTTGCTAGTTAGGAATTTTAGAAATTTTTATTTTAGAATTTCCATTGCAGCTATTTTGACATGAGCTAAGAGAAATGTTGGGTCAGTTACCTGGTTTGGGACTATAACATGTTAAAATGGGCAGGGGATATAGATGACTTCGTCGACTATACGCTTGTTTTTATTAAAGTCCTGACAATAATTTAAAAAAACACTCTGTCAACCAATGAGTTGCTCAATTGCAATATGCATACCCATCATGACAGTTTGAAATAAATAATCGATCGATATTATTCTGTCCCTTATAAAATGTAATCATCATTGAATGTTATGTGTCATCACAGGTGTAATTGATTAATTAATTAATTGATCCACATAATTTGTGACATTCTGATAGTCATGCTCTGACAATAGTAGTTAGTTGCAGAGTTGTCCTAACAAACAAGAAATCATACTGACTTCTCCAGACAGTGTGTATGATACATATATAGATGTAAAGTAAACTATGGTTATAACAAACTCGAAGACACCACTAATTTTAGTTTGTAATAACCGCAGTTCGTTATAAGCATATATACAGCGTTTATATAACAAAACCTCGGGACTAAAAAGTAAGTTTGTTATATCGGTCAGTTCGTTATAAACGTAGTTTACTGTAAATAATATTTGGAGCTTCTTGTTTTGGTGACATAAGTGTGTTGACTAGCTCCCTTATAAATCCATGCAGTGTCCTGATTTTCAGTGAACAAAGACAACAGTGGTATTGAGTCTTTTCTTTGGACATGATGTATCCATTTGATTTGAGAAAGGTGCCAGCAATACACCTACTAAGTACTTGTGTTGCTGTCAAAATTCACAATTTTCTGACAAACTGTACATGCTGCATAAGACCCTCATGTTTCACGTACCATCACTTACATGCTGTACTGAAATGCATAAATATCATCATATCATCAACGATACAATATGGAAAGGGATATGTAAACAACTAAAATATATGTCAAGTTTTATAGATGAAGTGCTTATAGCTTTTGGCGTAATAATTACGTTTTGAGCCTTAAATTTACGCTATTATGCTTATCCTCCCCAAATTACAATTTTTGACATTTTTTTTACCAAGTATTTACTTGTGTGACATCAGGAAGAACAAATTGTTAATGCACTGATCACATGAAGCATTCTACAGAGAGCTAGTTGCATGTACACCGATATTTCTTAGGAACTCGAAACACCATATTGGCTTTTTGCAGTACAGTTTATATTGTCACATGATGAACTTTGTGAAGGTGTGGAGCTTTGACCACGTGTTTTCTAAATGAATGAAGTGTTTCAGACGCCATTTTTTTGTCACCTAGCTAAACAATATCGGGGTTTGGAGGGCTTGCCCCCCGCATAGCAGCTTGAATTAAATGCTTTTGTAAGTGATTTATGATCTATAATTACCAAAGTAATTTAAAATGCAATGTTTTTGTTTGAATGTGGCCTTGACATATGTCACTGATGAGGTTTCTCGTGCTGTTTTTTATGTTGATGTTTTTTTTATGTTTGGGTTGATATTCAATTTCTAGTAATTTCAATGTTTAGTCATTTTTTCTGCTTATTTTGAGCTTTGTTGCCCTGTTTTCAGAATAGTGAAGCTACATTACTTGCATCAGGTCAGGTGTACCCATGCTCCATGTACACGTATAGGCTTAACGAAAATGTCAACGCGAAAACCAGCATCATATCATGGTACTCTTACCATTGCTCTTTTTCACATGAAATGATGCTTTTTTACCCCACTGAGAACCCCAAAGCTTCAATTAGGGTTGGCATCTCTGCTGATCCCAGCGCCTTCCTTCGAACAGCCATCATGTGGTTTACTTTTAGAATATAAGCAGACAGGGTCATCATCCACTCTATCACTGGCTCTCAGAACATAAATTTCAGGACATGGCAATAGACACATCATTGTTTCGATATAAAAATGTCCTGCCAGTACACAAGCATGAAGGTTACCGAGAAATGTTAAGGCTGAACTGGTTAGCTGTCTATAGGTGTGATAGAAGCCTTTCTCATGGCGCATGCAGCATGTGACGTCATTTTACTTGCAGGATCAGCGAGTGCACCGAGCAGGGTAGTGAAGGGAAGATGAATTGAAAAAAATCACTCAATTATTTCCTAGTAAAATTTTGGTCTGAGTCTTTCAAGGTTGTCCACGAAGTAGGTGTTGTTTAGAAAATGTATCTGCCAAGGTAACAAGGCAGCCATTTCTCACATTAAGAAACACTCTTTATGTAACTGAATTGGATCATTTTCTGAACATATAAAATAATTCTTACAAATCCTCTACCTCTATTACATCATCACCATAAATCCTGTATTTTCGCTGCAATCACACTATAACTAGATTTTCAAATTTTCAACAGAAGTCCTCTTCACTGCCAACTATACATCAGTAGTTGTTCCCAGATAGATTGTTTTCATTGTGTTTAAGGATATGTATTTCAAATTACAATGTACATGCAAGGGAGATAATTATTTTGACGGTGGACCAAATTGAGTAGATTCCTGGGTCCTTCTGGTTTACTGCTAGTCTTTGACTCGAATGACCCCTTAAATTTAACTTTCAAAACACTGTGGTAATGACAAGGGCCCCATGACTTTCATTTGGAGCAAATGTGTGTTATGCGTACATCCATTGTGACAGCCCAGTATTGGGAAGCTTACATTACTCCAACAAACATTTTAGTTTAGAGGAGCGTGTGATTTAATTATGCATCAGGGGATTCTTGGACCAAGGGACCTAAGGTGTCAGAATTTGCTGTGCAGAGTTGCATACCTTAGTCATGTCAGGATCTGCTCGAGTCTGATCCCAGATACTAACGGATGCTGTTGCCAGGCTCCATTGATGATGCCATTGTATTCATTTTGTTTAAGTTGACACCATGTTGTATATTTTTTTCGGCAGACACCTGAACAGTGAGCATGTATTGGACGATAGAAGTACTGCACAGGCGAGAGTGCAGATGCAGGTCGTTAGTCAGCTGGAAATACAGGTAAGTTCCCAAATACAGTTTGAGCAGGGACTTGATGTGTCCAGTATCTCTTTAATGGCCTCTGTTCACATACTGCTGTTTACTGATATGCACAACATTAAACCACACTCACTCACTCACTCACTCACACACACTTATAAATTTAGAGTTTAATTAAAAGATATTTTTAGTTGTATGATTCAATATTATTTCTCTCTCACATGCAAAAATTAATTATAGATACAGTGGCTATTATTTCAAATCTGCTACACTGTAGCATATTATAGTCAGTAACTTTGTCACGACCATATTCTCAAAGCACATTGAAGAAGATATGGACACTGCAAATATTATTCACTGTTGACGTTAATTGTGACGTGCCATTACCAACAGTACTTTTGTCATCTTTCCTGAAATATCTTGAAATATCAGCCACGAATTAATTGCAAAAAGTAATGGTGTGGCAATAATTGGCTTCATATTTACAAAGCAAGAGTTGACACTGACACCACGATAACAAGTAGTACACTGGGAAATAGCACTTGAAAAACATGCGTTTTGTGCCAATAAAGCTGTCAGTAACTGTCCCAGGCTAACGCTCTAGTGCTGGCTCACACTGTCTAAACCAGCGAGTTCGAGTCAACTATATAAAGCTTAAAGAATTAATCAAGTCAACGTTTACTACATAAGTGTGACTGCCCCAGTCATATAACATGGTGTGCTGGTGCAGTGACTTTCATGGGCCAATAGTTCGTCTTGATGTTGATGGAAGGGAAATATACAGGGATATATCCCAGCACTAAATGCAGTATACATGGGATATAAATGTGATATCACTGTCAGTTCTTCTGCTTGTTTCACTTTGTAGTGGAATACATAATTGAACAAAAGAAATTTGATGTACGAATGTCACAGGTTTATGTCATGCCTCCTGACTTCCTTCATTTTGGTTGACGAATAACAGCTTGATTTTGCATTTGTTTTGCAAATTGTTGGCTGTTAGATTTGACAGTGATTATAGCCAGGGGAAATCATTATGACATACCACTGCTTCTCTCTTCCTGAATTGTCACTCATTGTTGTATGTTATGTAAGTAATAATAAATCAACTTGTATGTGAAGTCTTTGGTTTGGAGGTACATATTATCAGTCTCAATATAAGACAAGTTTATGGCACCTAAAGTCCAATTAAATTGGTTGGTTGGAAATCTCTTGTATTCATAGTGGAAGCTTTGTCATTCTGACAAATTGAAGTATATATTTTGTTTCTACTTACATAGATCCTGAAGTTAGGGTCTTTTTTTTTAGTTTGTGTTTGTGTTATTTTCTTCTGATCACAATCTATCAGAAATGACGTAGAAACAAGTGTATTTATTAAAAAAGGAATATTTGTAGAAATAGTATCTTGTCAGTGAAGTTGTTGTGTTCGTACTGATCACAATTATGGGACCTTTTCCCCCAATTATTACATTGTCTGAACTTTGTCCTTAATTTCTGAAGGGCAGTGTGTAAGCAGATGCAAGCTGTTGCCAAAGCATAAATGTGTCGACTAGGTTATGCCACTTTAGTCGGTGTGTCAAAACCACAGAAATGTTGACATTTTGAAGTTTTGCTAAAAGTATTTTTGCTGTCACATGCCAATGCTCCCTTGACACGAAAAGATATTATGAAATTCTATGCTTTGTACCTAAAGTATTTGAAAGTGCCAGTTCTTGGTATGTCTATTTTCGTACATCAACATGAAATTGGTAATGAAAGTGCTGTGTGTCAAACAGCGCTTGGCACGTCTAGTTTGCATATGGTAAAATACAGTGGCATGGGGCATGACCTTCAACACAGACAGTTTGAGTCAGGTATTATGTGGAAAAAATTCTTATTTATTGTTCCTGACATAACAAAAGTCTTAGTAAAAGCTTTTCTGTATCTGATAAGAAATTATCGTTTAGAGGCTGATATGAATATTAATCTATTGTTGGATTAAACTACAGAGGTAGTTGATGAACATGATGAGCTACTATTGCCTCTTTACGTACGGCTTGTCTAGCATTTGACTGGCAGTCATTTGAATACTCTAGCAGATTCAGCCAATGGGATGCCTGACTTTTGAATCACCTTGTTATAACAAGCACATACATTTCTATATGGTAATTGCAACCATTGTTTAACTCTTATATTTCCTGATAATTACCGAAAGATTAAATGTCAAATTTTGACATTACAATGAACTTTTCAACCTTATTACATATTGTCTGGTCCCGATTCGATTATTTACAGACCGCAGTCATATAGCTGGAATATTGCTGAGTGTGGTGTTAAACCACAAACAAACAAACAAACATTTCACAGATCTATGTGTTCAAGAATAAAATGCAGCCAGTGCAAGCTTTTTTACTTGTCATTTTTGAAAACAAACCCAGAAATTCAGAGATAATTACCAAACCCTCAGAAAAATGTTCATGCTAAACTGGCATGCTCTACATCAAACCTTTACATTTTATCTGATTAATAACTTAGCTATTATATTATAGGGTATATATGTAGGGTATATATTTTTCAAATCCATTGGGTCTAACATAAAGATAAAAAATACTGTTTTCTTAAATATTGAATAACATTCCTGCCCCTAGTAGATTTTTGACATTTTGTTAACAGTACATTTGGGGGAAAAATACTTCTAGAATGTTATTTTATGCTATGTTTGTAAAACTTTTGGTCTTTTGATTTGTGGCATGAGATTTATTTGGTGTTGGAAATGAAGTTTTGAACGACGATGTTGCTTTGTTGCAGTTGTCCCGGGAGAAGGAGATGTTACAGGCGATGATGCAACATCTCCATATGAAGCCTCCCCAGCAACGTCAGCATTCGCCGCAGCCCCCTCCACAACCGTCGCAACCACAGCTGCTACCACAGGAAGTGAAGCCCGAGCCTATCACACTGAATGTAATAAGTACAGATGATCTTCACTCCTACGGAACACATTTTTGCCATACACTATATATCTTGATACTCACGTAGTGTTACGAGTTGTAATGAAACACTTTGTCATGATGTATACATCTGTCTTAAGTAATATTGTTATGCACCTTGTTGCAGAGCATTGCACATCTCCAAAGATATACTTTGAGGCAGGACAATACCATCTATATCACTATAGTTTTTGGCCATTCTGATACACTTTGTTGCAGTAATATGATCATATCTTGATAGTAGTGTCTGGTCTAAGCCTTGTTTTGCCACATGTCTACAGAACTTAGCTGTAAGAACATTTCCTCACAAACTATACTTGAGCGCATACAATGAACACAGCACTAAGGTCACTGCGACTGTTATTTGACTTGATCCCTGTGGCAGGATAATTGAGGAAATTGGTGTTTTATGGGAACATGTGCCCGGCAAACATGTTTGTACCTCTTGCTGTGATATGTCTACTGTGAAATATTAACTTCTGAGCATTAATTTAAGTTTATTGGAATTTTGTGCAATGAATTAAGTACAATTTATATTAAACTCATTGCACTGAATTAAGTTTAATATATTTGCGAATGTGTGATGTAGTAATCTGGAGTGACCTTTGGCCAAGATAGATTTTCAGCTTCATAAATCTCTTCATTTCTGAAAGTTTGCTTCAAACTTATTGTTGGTGGAAGAGCTTATCATGTTATGGTGTACCTTCCAGACACCCACCATCATGCCCAAACTCGCTTCAATTCCTCTATCAACGGCACCACCTCACCCAGCCGTAACCGTGGTGACGTCACCAGTGGTTGCCATGACGCCAACACTGACCCCAAGCTCTCAGCTTCCCAATGTGTCGCAAGCACCTGCTACGCCTCAGTCGACACCCACTGGTGCAGGGACGATTAGGCGGCGAGTTTCAGACAAGTGCAATCTTCCCATATCAGCAGGTAGGCTAGATTTTCCATTGGTTACACCTAAGAAGTGTATGCATTGTTCCGAATAACAAGTAAAAGAGATCTATGAAAACAACAACAAAACATTTAACTTTGCAACAGTTTTCCAAAGGTTAGTCCCTGGCCCCATATGTCATGTTATGATGTTTGGTAAATTTTAGGTGGCGGTTGGGTTGAGCATTAGCTCAACACGCCTAAGGCCTGTATTTGATTCCCCACATGGGTACAATGTGTGAGCCAATTTCCAGTGTCTCTTTCCCCCATGTGATTGTTGGAAATATGGAGTAAAACCATACTCACTCCTTATCAATGTTTGTGTTATTCTGATCAAATCTGATTGTTTGATTAATATTGGTTTGTCAAATATTGTGACTGACATAATTTCAGAAATCCAAAGAAATCGAGACTTTTACAAGAACACAGATGTAAGGCCTCCATTTACTTATGCGTCACTGATCAGACAGGTAAGATTGACCAGATCTTTTTCGGGGATATAATCCTTCAAATAGTTAAGTCATAATTTCGGGGAAATAATCCTTCAAATAATTAAGTCATACTGATGTTCAGTGCCACAACACATTGTGTGTTAATGATCTAAGGGAGGTAACTCTGATATCACATCTATCAAATTGTACAAAAACGGGTTATATATTAATTTTATGCAGTACAATTCAAAGAATCTTTTAGTCAAAAACAAACTATTAAATAGTCTAGTTACATTTTATCCATAATTTGCAGGTTGTTTCTGTTTATTTTCTGAGAAAGGATCTGGTAGAGTATTCGTATTTGTTTCACTGGCATTGGTTTTTCCACAGGCTATCATTGAGTCTCCACATCGTCAGCTAACGCTGAATGAGATCTACCAGTGGTTTCAGAACACGTTTGCGTACTTCCGACGTAACGAGGCCACTTGGAAGGTAGGCACTGGCCCTCTTCAGAGAACACTCCAGCTGGTATTTGGGCCATGTTTGGGTCAGACTTCAGCTGACAAATTATCAAGTTGGGATTAAGAAATTTTGTCAACATACATGAATGCTGCACACAGATGCCCTAAGCAAATATTGTGCATTCCTTGCTTGTAAAATGATAATGGCTTTTGATGGGAATATCAAATTTTATTTTAAAAGTTTATATTTAGGATATTAATCTTTTTTATTTCTTACCATGATCATAACATTTTGGGGGGAAAATTCATTTGACGAGTTGTCAATTTTTATATTTTATGATTATGGTAGTAGGTTTGATATAAAGACTTGCATCCAAACATACATTTTCTGTTGATAATGTTCAGCAGGTTTTGTTAAAAAATATTTGCTTTAGTTTTGTACAGAGGTTTTGTAGGAATGATTGGACATTGTCTTAACAACTTCTTGCCGGTACACATTTCCTTTCTTGTAATAATTTCTGAAGAGATCAAAAATTTTTAAAAAGAACAAACAAAAAACGTTTAGTTCACTTTAATTTATATGCCCCAAATGGAAAATTGTAGGGAATTGTAAGAACATTGGAAGATCTAGTTATATCATGTCAAAATGTTGATGTAAAGTTTTCTATTGCTCTCATTTGATTGGTAGGTTGTATCATTGTATATGGTTCATATGCAACTATGCTTGAGGCGTTAAGAAATTCGCCTTAGGGTGCTCTTGTATCGAGTATTGTCTCAACATCTGGGTAAAAAATGTGAAGCTATTAGATACAGCATTATTTTTTATTTTCATTTTTAGTTCTATATACCATGTTTAGTTTTAGAACCCACTAAATATAGAAAGCTGTATCCCTTAGTTGCAGTGCTCCTAGCCTAGATGTATACCATCCTGTATCCATAGAAACATCTAAACTTAAGAAGAATATACTGCTCAAAAGCATGTGAGGCCATGTGTTATGATCCGTATCATATGTGTGATATAGTTATCTTATAACACATTTCAACTACTGTTAAAGACCATATGAATATCCACAATTAATGGCTCTCGCTAATTGGATAGTTTACGGGAGAAAAAACGAGACTGTGAATATGAATATGGCGCTGTTTCTTGTTTATCATTGGAATTCCTAATGTAGCTTTAATTTGAAGTTTCATGCATTCTTTTGAGCAGTTTCTGACATTGACATATGATTCTTCCATTATTAAAGTGTAAGGGAAATAACTCTTGGTACAAACCTCAGTTTCAATCCGAAACTATTTCTTTTTCTAAGGAATTTGTTGGAATATACTCTATACATATATTTTCCATCTGAAGTGCACTCATCTTTCCATTCAGCAAAATATGTCATTTGTAATCTTCATTGATAGAATACTTATACCTTCCAAGTTTTACTGTTGAAACTATCGGAATTTAAAATACTATATAGGATTGTTTGTTACAATTAGTGACATCTATATATGAAAGCAATCCCTACCATATATCTACTTGCTGGAGCACTGTGCCAATGTCAGTAGGCAGAGCATGGAGCCCAAAGGCAGATCTCCCAAACATCCCAGTACTAGATATCGGTGTGATTTCTCTGAAAGAGGCTTCGGAATTAACAAACACACAAAAGCTGAATGAAAAGTATCCTAGTATAACATACATAACCTGTTGAAATGGTTTTGTTCTGACATGAGAAAATTTGGAATTACTAATTTATGATTAATCATCTAATCATAATATACAAATTCTGTTTGTCCCTTGTAATGAACAGATAATAAGTATCCTCTTTCATTGAAAGGTAGTGTAACTGAGTCCAGTCAAAATAAACTGGAATCCTGTTCTTGTTAAGTCCAGATTATGGAACATCTTTACAGTATCTATCAATCATCATGTTTTGTTTTTTTCAATCTCTATTTTTTTCTGACATGAAATCACCAATATTGATGTGCATGTGATACCCAGCCCTACACCTGCTTTAGTGGGGGCATGCTCCCAGCTTGTATCACGTTACAGTTATAGACGGTTTCGGAATGATTTGGTTAGATTTGGTTAGATCTTAATCATGGAGCCACTTTTAGAATGTAATAGAATCAAGACAATATTTCAGAAATATGTTCATTTTGAGCACATTCCAATTTCCAGTCATCATATCTTTAAAAAAACATGCTTTTTGGCTATGCTTTCATGAAGTAATGTTTTCATTGAATAACAAATTTACAAAAATGATAGCTAAAAGCAAAACATTTACCTGATACACTAAAGAGAAAAATTGATAGTGCATATATGGTTTTAGACATGACTATGTATTTGCTAAGAGACTATAGATGAATGAAGCATGTGTAGGGTGTCGGAGCATCCCACCTTTGGTTGTAGTGGACCTACATGTAGTAAAAGGATTTCTTTATGTTTCTGTGTAGAATGCTGTGCGCCACAACCTTAGTCTTCACAAATGTTTTATGAGAGTTGAGAATGTTAAAGGCGCTGTTTGGACAGTGGACGAGGTAGAATTCTACAAACGGAGACCTCAAAAATTGAGCGGGTAGGTTGCAAAATGCTACCTTTGTTTTTTTATGCTTTTATTCTCCTAAACTGAAGAGTTCTTGCTTGACAGGTTGCCATTCTGCTGACGATGAGATGTGAACTGTATTTTCAGTTCACTGAAAATTAGTTCATTTCGTGTTATTAGGGTTTGCTGAATGAGTGAAAGTTTTCACTGCGTGATGGCATGAGCAGGCAGCCCTGTCACCGAGAAATCTTCTCGTCAATCAAGGCCAATCTTTCCTTTTTGCGCTAACATTTTCAAACTTGGACTACCTCTCTCTCCTCCTCTGTTTGTTGCACAGAATGCTATTCGCACCAACTTGTCCCTGCATAAATGCTTTGTAAGATATGAGGATGATTTTGGATCTTTTTGGATGGTGGATGACTTTGAGTTTATAAGAAGGCGGCATTTGACACGAGGAAGGCCCCGAAAGTATCACGAAAATGAATCATCTGCACAGTAAGCACCTTTCTTGTGTCTGCAACCTGTCCGTCCGTCTGTACGTACATGCGTGGACCTGACCGGCCTCTAGATGGCGCCAGTGTAGAAAGAGCACTCTGTGTCAACCGAGGCCAGAAGTACGATGCAGTAGATAGACTTTTAGACCAACTACCTTCTTTCCTGCTTTCCCTGCTCGAATCCAGCTTGCGTCATCTTGTTTCTTTCATAGACAGAGAATGTCCTAGTTAGTGCTCTGATATCGAGCTGCATGTTTCCTCTGTAGACTAGGAAGAGTATAATGGCAGTGCAGTCTGCTTGTTCATATACACCTGCCAGGCAGCTGGTGACAGTTAAATGTTTGTATTTAGTTAGCTGCAATGATCTTGAGAAGCCGTGCTACAGAAGTGTTTAAATGTATATCTGTACGTTGGAAATAACGCTAAAATGTTTGCCTACTTTTCATATGAATTGTGGATGAATGAATAATAACTGGAGAAACTTGTTGGGGAATGATTTTTTTACAACAGTTCAAAATTTGATATGAGATTTCAGAAAACCTATTCCAAAACTGCATGTTAGACTTGATGTTGTTCAACATCATACAGAAAGAAGGCAAAATTTGTTTGCTTTACATACCTGTGCTTTCCAGATAAGTGCATCAGTGCAGAATATCCAAATGTGTCAATGTCGATGGTTTGTTGGATTCTATGAATGTCTAGTAGCATAGTACTCAATGTGTAAGTGCATTTGAGAAACTGTGAGATCAATAATATTATTCCAGACAGGGGCAGACACCATAGGTATAGTTGATCTTGGATGTCCATCAAAAACAACATATTTAATGCTCCACAATTGTTTTAAAAAATATATCTCGATCTTATTTTCTACAATTTTCCCCGTAAACATGGTTGTGAAAGCAAACAAATTTCTGATAGAAATGCGAGTGTAAGACATACTAGAATAGCCAAGTCTTGCATGTAGCGGCCTTGCTGGAAGACATCTGGTAAGTGGTCAACTTTTGTGAGATACAAACCAGGGGTGTGATACGCATCATATTGACCAGTTGTGTGACAGGTTGGTACATTGGATATCATACACTTCCATATTTGACCAAATCTCCCTTGTCTCCCTTTGAATGTAATATGCAGTTTGAAGCTCTGATAGTTGGAAAAATAACAAAAGAACAGTTTCTTCTTGTTTAGTATCTGAACGTGTATGAAAAAATAGGGTGTTCTTCAACTTCATTTGAGTAGTAAACATTGCGGAGCAATTGTGAAAAAATGTAGTATTAGTGAAAGAAATGTGCTGAAGAGCTGTCATCAAGTTAATGGAGAGTTTGGTCAAGTACGGACAACATATTCATATTCTATGTATTACATGTTAAGTGAAAACAAGTCCAGAAAAAATAGTGATGAGCATTTGTGACTAGTTGAATTATCCGTGTGATTCAAGAGTTTGTGTGTGGACACTGAGGTGACCTGACCTGTCACCAGACACTACATACAGTACCAACAGGGTAGAATGCACTGTAGAAAGGAGGATTTGTAATGATAAAGTACTAATTTGTTTACACATTTGTTCAAGATTTGATAATTCAATTACTTACACAATGCTGATAACATTGTAATAATGTCTTATCCAGTTTGTGTTCTTATGGGTAAGGTATGTCAATGCATGTATATGATATAATGCTGATATTGTCACAGACTGCCAAACCTTTGATTACAATGAAATGGTCATTCTAAAACTTTAGCTCACCAGGACCATAGATCCGGGTGAGCTTATGGTGTGTCATGTTATGTTTGTCAAATGTAAGAGAATGTTTAGCACAGTTATAAAGTTAAGATTTATTACATTAGAATCTTCAACTTTCAATGGCCCTAGATTTGTTCATGTTTGTAAAACACAACTCACCTTTTGAGAAAAATTACCAACCAATAATAGACCCAAACCTTTGAATGTTTATACTTCTCCGTTGAAACCACAAGGTCCAGAGCTGAAACAGTGTAATAATATGGAACGCTACAACTATATTTGATAATGGCATTTCAGTGTACAGTTCTCTTTAGCAAAATGAAATATAAAACAAATCAGATTTATAATATTGTTTCAAAATATATATGATAATGACCATTACAAAGTTGAAGTTAATTGTAGGCATCCATTCTGCTGTACCAAATGGGTACGTTATGGTGGTATCTTTGTAGCATAACATTTTTCTTTGACATTGAATTGTATGCTGATGCCAGGATCCCTTGTCAAACAGACCATATCACACACACAGATAACATCAAAAGTATTTGACCACCACATTTTTCTAAGTAAGTGCCTGAAAACATCAGTGCATATTACTTCCAGCTCAATGATACCAGAGACCCATGAAGATCCAAGGTAGAATAGGTCTTCTGCAACCCATGCTTGCCATAAGAGGCAACTATGCTTGTAAGAGGCGACGACCGGGATCGGATGGTCAGACTCGCTGACTTGGTTCATGCATGTCATCGTATCCCCACTGCGTGGATCGATGCTCATGATGTCAATCACTGGATTGTCTGGTCCAGACTCGATTAATTATAGGCAGCCGTCATATAGCTGGAATATTGCTGAGTGCGGCGCTAAACAACAAACAAACAAACAAACAGTGATACCAGGTGAGCTGCAGTGCCTTGGTATCATGTAGATGAGCCCATTCATGCAAATATGCTGACATTGCCAGAAATAAAGAATGTAATAGTGGTGGGTTGTATCTCCTGGGTTACGAATACATAGGCATGTATCACTTTTCCCTGTGAACTTTCACAACATTCACAACTTTCCTTGCCATGACACAGTAACTATAGTATTATGAAAGAATCAGATGATCCTTTACTTTTTATTGGGGGGGGGGGGTAGTCTACAATGAAAATCGTCAAATGGGTATCGATTATTCAAACAAAATAGGTTCCCTCCTGTGAAGGGTACTGAAAGCAGTGAACCTACTGGGTTGGTTGTCCACCTGTGGGGATTCTGGGAAAGAAGTGGTCCCCAGCAACCTATTCATGTCTAGAAGAGATTGAATGGCTCAGGTGGTCAGACTCGGTGAATTGGTTGATAGCGTGACATCTCACCCTGACAGCGTGGATTGTTGTTCATTCGGTCAAACACTTGATAGTGTGGTGCAGACTCAATTATTTACAAGCAGCCATCATATAGCTGGAATATTGCTGAGTGGAGCGTTAAGCAAGGAACAGATTCTGTTTCCCGGAAACCTAAACAATGGCTCCTCTTGAAATTACAGACCTTATGATCCTGGTACAACAATTCTTAAATGTATATAATCATTGTTGTTTTCACCATGGATATATGTTTGTTTGACCCATATTCAGTTTCAGCATCGTTTCTTTCCATAAAATTCTTCTGTGATGTTTTATGTCTTGCAACTATTATGCTCTTACGTACGGAGATGTTCAGAGTTGTCTTTCCTTTCCAGGAGCTTGAAGAGTCCATCTTTGTCAGACCCGTCATCATATAACGAGACACTGAACGCAAGTCTACGGGTAAGTTTCATTGAACCTTGTAATTGGTGGCTTGTGCCAACTTTGATGCCATACATGTGCTGCAGCAGGATGGGTGTCCCTGTAGACTAGGGCCATCCATATATGGGCACATGTGTCCCAGTAATCTTGGGCACTCCAAATATGGGCATGGGTGTCCCAGTAGTCTAGGGCACACCATATATGGACATGGGTGTCCCTGTAGTCTAGGGCACTCCATATATGGGCATGGGTGTCCCAGTAGTCTAGGGCACACCATATATGGACATGGGTGTCCCAGTAGCCTAGCGCACTCCAAATATGGCCATGGGTGTCCCAGTAGCCTAGCGCACTCCAAATATGGCCATGGGTGTCCCAGTAGCCAAGGGCACTCCAAATATGGGCATGGGTGTCCCGGTAGTCTAGGGCACTTCATATGTCATCATTTGTGTCCCAGTAGTCTGGGACATCACAAGTCACAGTGCAGAGTTGCATCCCTAAAGGGTAACAGAATGATGATTGTGGTTCAAATTACAGATTATGATCCTTGTCTGTCTCCATTAGGTTGACACTCTGTGAAATACTGTTGAAAGTGATGTGAAACCCAACTCACTCACCCACTCGTTGACAGACTAGGCATTGATGTCAGGTCATTCCTGACCAGGTTGATTAGTCTGTGAGACCAATTATTAAGATATAACATCCATGACATTGCAGACAGTGGAATTAATTAATTAAGAGATCCATTTTTACTTATTCAAGTGATCATTCAGTTCCTATTATCATATGAACTACTGTTTAATGTTGGTTATGTCTGCTTGGTTGGTCAGGCGGCGCTAGGTGAGGCCAGCATGGCCATGTTGACAGCAGCTCATAACCAGATGACGGGCCAAGAGAGTGCGGAGGACCTGTCCATGAAGAGCCTCAGTAACAGCCAAGATGGCTGCTCCCCTCCTTCCCGGTGAGTGGCCCCAGGGAATGCTGGGATATGTGTCATCAGCCCAGGTCAACAGTTTGTGACTACCCTGCTAGTTTCCAGTGCTGTGGTCAGTCTGGCGTGATAATTCTTCTTCTTTTTACTCAAATTGTTTTAATTTCACAGGATCATAATAACTGATGACATTAACATTTGTGGCTTATCTGGTTCCAGACTAGTAGAGCTGATAACACAGTGGATCATGTATGCAAAATGTCAAAAATGTTATAATGTAGGGAAAATGTTAGTGTGTACTATGTTGGCACAGGCAGAAGTAAGCAGTTGTTTTGTACATTGATACATATAGACCTTGACTCTTTGCCCATTTCTTTCTGTTGGGGCACAGCTGGTAGAACTTGCTTTCAGAATCAGCGGTGTCAGGATCCACTGACATGTTGTATGAAACAAAGACTGTTCAGTTGATGCTTAAGCCGTATCACTCCCAAACGGTACATCTCAGTCCTCAGCATTGCCAGCATTGGCAGGAATCTGTTTGTCCTTAAATGTTTCTATTTGCCTTCAAATCGAAAACCGCTGCCATGTTAAATGTAGAGAGATATATGACATTGCATGGTTTACAGTGAATGCATGCAGTGTAACAACTCCACTGCTGACGGAGGTATTCTGTAGTTGCTGTTGTTATCTCCCTTTGTTTCCTTTTTCAGGGAGGAGGAGATGTTGGTGCTGTAAATCTCACCCTGTTGTTATCTCCCTTTGTTTCCTTCTTCAGGGAGGAGGAGATGTTGGAACTGTAAATCTCACCCTGTTGTTATCTCCCTTTGTTTCCTTCTTCAGAGAGGAGGAGATGTAAGTGCTGTAAATCTCACCCTGTTGTTATCTCCCTTTGTTTCCTTCTTCACGGAGGAGGAGATGTTAGTGCTGTAAATCTCACCCTGTTGTTATCTCCCTTTGTTTCCTTTTCAGGGAGGAGGAGATGATGATGCTGATCAAGCAGGAGCCATCAGCCCAGGAGGAAGAGGAAGCGGCCCTCAAGCGAGACCAAACAGGTGTGGAGGAGGAGGCATCAGGGGACTTCCTGCCCACAGAGAGTGCTCCCAGACCTGAAGACATGGAGGAACAGATGGCTGGAGAGGAGCCCTCCCAGGCTCTTGTCATGGCCGACATCGAGGACGACCAGGCCGCACCAGAGGACATGAGCATGGAGGAACAGCCCGAGGCTCTCGGGACAAGCATGGTGGTTGATACCGAGGCTGAAGGTGCTGCACTGGCAAATGGCGGAGCCAGTGAGGCGGAGGCTGACTCGGATGAAGATCTGGAGATGCTTGCTCTCCGACGCATGCAACAGGAAGCTAGCAAGATGGTTGCCGCTGCCAACACACATTCCACAGATTGAATCTCAAACACAGCACAGCTGAACTGAGGATCCTGTCCAAGGATGCCTCATCACATGGAATCAATTAGCATGAATAGCTTGCAGGGTAGAGGACAATCTACAAGACAATTTGCATATTTTTTAATTGTATGTACTGGTATATATCATTGGTGAAACGGGCATGTTATGAAAGTTGTAATATTGTCCCACAATGACTTTGAGTGATATTCCAGTTGCATCAAGATAGATGGTTGCCTTCAGGAAGAAATATCAAACAAATCACTTGTTCAAAACAGAACTGGTACATGTGTGTGTATTTATTCTTCAAGTTAACGCATTAGCTCTGATGCATGTAGATTAAGGATTGAAAGAGACAATGGATCTGCAAGTAGGACGTCTTGGCCTGGACATGGTTTCAGTTGGCAGAACTTGTCAATATCATGTCCTGTGTTAGTACCCGGCAGTTTATGACGGCTTCTCGCTAACTTGTCGCGGGTGGCATGGTAGCCTAGCTATCCAGTAGGAGTGTCCGTCTGTGTGTATGTCTGTCTGTACTGTATGTCCAGCTTACTTACAGTGGCAGTGTTTAGCGAGGTCTTCATCGGCCGGCTACGATCTCAGCCGATGTCCAGTTGTCTCAGTGTTACGGTGTATATAGTCATAGAGGACGGTTGCCATGGATACTCATGATCGTAGAAAGAATTTAGTGTATGTGATACACCAGGCTGATATAGTCATGAGTATGTGTTGTCTTTTGTGAGAAAAATAATCAAAATCTTTTTGTAGTGAAAATGAATTGGTGCAAGGTTTTGAAGGCTTGATTTTGAGAGATTTTCAATACCAGAACTGTATATGTATAGCTAATACCAGAGTTTGTTGTCAAAACCTTTACCTCTGGGAATGTTTTTTTTTCTAGTAGTGCATATTGCTGTGAAAAGTGTGCAATAAATAATAAGTTCAACAATTGGGCACAATATTTTTGATCTCAGATCTATAGATTGTTAATAATGTATTTTGATAGAGTATGATATAACACATGTCCCTATTGGTTTTGATATTTGATTTAGTATACTTATTGATGAACAATGTTAACGGTACATGTCCAAACAATTTTCTTAAAGACTGAGCTAAATGGTGTTTAAACAATTACACTAGTCAGTGATAAACCATGGCAACAATGTGTCAGGGCCTTCTGCAACATGGCAAAATTCTGAGCATTCTGATATTTATTGATTTTATGTGAGATGTCTGTGTAGATTGATTGATACAATTTGTATAGAAATCTTAAAACAGTTTACTTACAGCTTTTGTGTTGTGAAGATCCATGACAATGTGTGAAAGAACGGACATGTACCTTTAACATTTTTATGCTATTGGTTGGCTCTGCACACCTTCTGCTAGTGCGGCGCTGTCCGTATCACATCTTGGCAGCTCAGGGGTAGGCTAGAGATGCTTGTTATCACACAGAGTATTATATTGTAGTAACATGAGGTAGGAACATGATAGGTCATAACATGAATATACCTTGGTAGGAAATAACGTCATACAAACTGGATATAAGTTAGGGGTAAAAACATTGATATGGCAATATGCATATTACATAGCGGGCAATAACATGAATATTTACAATTATTTGATGTCCTGATGGAAGTATTTCACAGACTATATAAATGAAGCGCAGACCGTTATATTGACCAAAATGTCAAACTATTACTGTACCATTTGGGGGTTAATGTTTGAGGTGAGATCATCTTTATTATTATCCCCAATTGGTGGTGAATTATGGTGGCATTACTGTTTCTGTGTAATAACAAGCCTCTGCTAGATACACAATGTGTTGATTTTCGTAATCTACACTTTATATGTCCACAATCAAGGTAGATCTTAAAGCTGATAGCTTTACAACTATCTATCAGTTAATTATCAACTTAGTGTACTAAACCCTTTTAGAAGCTAGAAAGCGGATATTTCTAGTGTCGTTGTTGCATATTGAATGATATCTAGTATCTTGACCTTGCATAAACAATGACTCTGCTGATTGTAGTGTGAGCCATACATTGCTGGATGTATGTACATAATATTGGCAGTTGAGACGCTAAGCTGTAGAATGGCACAATAGAGTGATGGCATGAGATGCTGCAGTGAGCATCAATGTAAGCCATTATTCTGTGGTGAATTGTTTTCAATGAGTAGTCCGTGAGATGTACAAAGTTTGTAATTTTTGAAGGACCACAAACTGACGATTGAACAGAAAATTTGGCCTGAATTGGAATTCCTGATTTAGCCATGATTGCTATGGGTCTGTTGAAGTAATAGAGTAAATTGCTGTATGTAATAAAGTGTTGGATTTGAGTAAATTGATGTGTACAATATTGAGTATGTAAGAAGATAGTGAAGGTTTTGTCCTGAACTGATAGTTTTGTCAGCTTGTGTTTTCCAGGGCCTTGCATTTAGATATCGTGGAAACCTCAAGGGGGTTTCAGTGTGTGTCATTTATATGCTACAAGTTGTCTTTTTGTCGTCATCAAAAACTATTTCTTTCATTCTTATTTATTTGAAAATTTAGTCGACTCAACACGTAAACTGTTTTCCTCTGGCAAATTTTTATGTAAACCATTGCTTGTTGATTTTGTGTTGAAAAGGGAGTTTTTGTGTACCATCTATAATTCACTTGTTTTAATTAAGATCATTCCAGAGATAATTCTGCCAATGTATCACAATTTATGAGTTTTGTCATGAATTTATGTTCATGTGACACTGGAACCTTTTGAAATTTTTCAGATTTATTTCGATTTCAGAATTGTTGATTAAATTGTTCTTGATGACGAATGACAACTGTGAGAGATTTATTATATAAATTAGCCTAGCTCATGTTACAGAGAAAAGCAATGTTGATGGTTGTTTTGTCATAACTCAACCAGACTTTTATAGGACAATACATTCGTAAATCAAAGATGTCTTCCTGAATTTGTTGACATGTTCCAAGCGTTGTGGTAATTCACTCTTATCAGGAATCAAAAGTGCATAATCCTAAGTGTAGTTTCTTTTTGTAATTAATGTGAATTATTTTGTTTAGTCGAGAAACACGAGGAGCTTTGGGTACCATGTTTTTTTATGTGTCCACTTATTGTACTGTTTTTGTCAGTGCTTTTTGGAGCTGCTTAAGAGTTGCCATGGTAACAACACTTTGGTTCTAGGTCACATTATTTAATTAATAATATAAGTTGCAATGTGTCATGCTGAAAATATTATCAATGTTTTGGACTGATTCTGTTCTCATAGAGAACATTTTGTGCCAAAATTCAATCAAAGACATACAAACACCTTAGGTAACATTGTGGTATGATAGTTGCAGAAAATAATTCCTGTTTCGTGAATATTTGACTGTGTTTCACCTGAAGTAAGATAATGATCTTCTTTTTAGATTATCAAAGTTTGTTTTCTTATGATTACTGTTGCTGCAACAGGGACGTGTTTTGACTGGGTTTTGTTTGTTTTGCCTACTAACATGGATCTGCTTCCATCAAATCTTTTGCCCACTTATGTTGAACTGTTTGTGTGCATTTGAGTGCATATAATTGTCCCATTAACAGTTTCTTTTATCCCAGAATCTCATGGGTTCAGTCAAGTGCCGGTGTTATAATGTGTATCATTTTGTGTTTACTTCACAATACTAACAATAAGCCACTTTAGGCATGTTTTTGTTTGGTTGGATTATGTTTGTTTGACGTCTACTGAGGGTTTCCTGTTTCACAATTCCAATGCTGTTGTTTAGATTATTCGTCATGCTGGACCAAAAAGGAACTAAGTTGTATAGATGTTTTAAATGAGGTGCAGTAGTTATATTACTGTACAGAAGGTCACAGTTAGTTACATATTGCCAATTCTGTTATTCATTGTTACCAAAGTTAGTACAATGTGACTAGAGACTTCCATGTCCCACGTGGGCATGTGATACGCAAATTATCACACCTCTGATGTGTGTTCAGAAATTATTTACTTCTACTTTTTGGTGTAATCAGTTAGGACTTATCAGAATGATGGCAATATGTAACTTTCTTTAGAGTGTACATGTGTATCTGTGTAGAGATATTTTTGAACCAAGATCATGTTGTACCTTTGTGACCATGAGAGATGGTGCATTTGTAGAGATGTACATATCAGCCACCATTACACGTGTTGCCTAGCCCAACCACAGTCAGTGTATAGTGCTAATACCATTGCTTCTTATATGTCTAATTTGTTTGTCTCACTTCCTGCCTCAGTGCATTCTGGGGCTGTTTGTCAGCCATGTTGAAAGTAGTCCCGGGGTCTAACATTTTTACAATGGCTTGTTATGTGTTCATATTCATTTATACTGGTTGCTGCAAAGTAGATATATCTGAAAATTTTAAAAAACTAAGAACCGTTTAGAACTAGGTGATTTTATTCATACTGCAACTTTAAATTCTGTTTTGAAGTGCTCTGTATAGATAGTTTTTCTCCAGTTGATCATAATAGGGTGGGTGGATACTGCATAATTGTTGATAGAGTTGATATGTGATTTTGGTGTTTATCTGGAATGATAAATGTCCTTCCCAAAAGAGTGAAAGTAGTGATCCTGCTCTCCTCATGTGTGCCACTGGGTAGGTCGGAATAGCTCCTCTGTCCAACTAGATGATTTAGGGTTAATATAAGTGGAGACAGGTTACATCAAAATAGAGGCAAATACCCCACTTACGCAGAGTGTGGACAAGTTTCAGGCCATCTGTTTTGAATAATAATGTAAAAGTTTTTATTGTGAGCCACTGGGTGTTTAGTCGCAATCACTACAAGAGTTCTTGGTATTTCATTACCTTGAGTTAGTCTTGAGACAGTCCTGAATGGTAATAAGTTCTGATAATATGGAATTTGTCAATAGTGTTTGGACCCTTAATATTTAGCAAAGTAATTAGTAATGTAATGTCATTTTGCTGGGGGAAAACCACATTCAAGGGTCATTATTGTCTTGACGGATGAGTGTTTTGTATGGGTGAGATGGGACAACGGAACATTACCAGATTGGTAAATCCTTTATGACCAAAATAAGTTGATGGAAGTTATTCTGAAATTTCAAAATCTTCCACGTTTTGTCATGTTCTGGCTGAAAATCTGCCCATTCAACAGCTCTGTTACGTGTTTCACGAGAAAAGAATTATCTGTTTAGTTGTCACTTCAGACTTTGCAGCTTCCAAACATTCACTGATCAGATCAACAGGCCTGCGTATGCATCATTTTAAAAAGTCACTTGCAAGATGAGTAAAAACATCAATTGTTCTATTTTAGAAAAACTGTAAGCAACCTTTGGAAATATCGAAAGGAAAAACAACCAGTTTCTGATTCTAATGGTGACTGGTTATCTGGTCAGTGAATGAAACACTATAGGAGAGCATGCAAGTACCAATTAGAACTTGTGTATCAAGTAATTCTCCTAGTTCCTCTGATGAAACCCTTTTTATCGTTCTGCAGGAAAATCATTCTGGTAACACACTGGTTTGAGTGATCACTCCACTTGAGGATCTGGGTTTGATCTCCGTCAAGAATAAAATGTACAAAATAACCTTCTGCGCCTTCCTCTCCTTCTCTCCCCACCCACTCCATCTCCCAACCCCAACCCCAACCCCCAACCCCTTGATTTTGCTGCAGGATTGCTAAAAGCAGCACGACCCCAACTTTTTTCAAAACTTAAAGGAGAGTGTGTCTCTGTGAGAATTTCTACAGCTGATCTGCAAGCCATGCTAGCAATATCATTAAGGGCATTTCAAAATAATTTATTTTATCACCTTGTACACATGTCCTGTTTCTACCTCAGTGACATCCACTTTAACAGATGCCAGCTGGAAGGGGCAGGCATTAATAAACATTGTAGCACAACAAGGGGAGGTTATCACAATATTGGCATAGATATCCATATAAATAGGCAGTTATGCCCCAAACGTAGCAGTCCATTGATTAAGAAATGTAAGTGGTCGGGGTTTTTTGGCATTATTATTAGTTCACGACAATAATTTACATAGTTTTCCTGCCTTGGCAATGAACTTCTTCCCGTCACCTCCAAATAAATTTCAGGATTGGTATTAACGCAACCACAACATCCTTATTTGTCTCACCAGTATCCTGGGAAAATCATTAATATTCTAATAAGGGCCATTGTGTAGCCTATTTGTGAACTGTTTATCTTATGCCTTAAAACTAAAGATCGTGTGAGTTTGTTGGTGACTGCCCCTTTGAGTACAGTTACCTTGTAGTCCATGAACAATACCATGTCATACTGTTGTAAATACATTTACTGTTCAGTATGTGCCAAATATCATTCATTGCAAAAATAGTAATGTATTTTTCAAGGCAATCATTACAAAATGTCAGAAATGTGCCATAATCTATGACGAGTTTTTTTGTCGTGTATATTTTTTAGCCAAAATGTCCTGTTATGAGGCTTTGGCCAATGATAATAAAAACTAATAATATTAACATGAACTATTTCCCCTTGCTCTTGTACTCTCAAGAACACATGTTAATAACTGCATTTTTTTGTATGTTAATATTGTCATTTATTCCCTATTACTCCCCTGACGTTAAGAGCTTGGGTTGGCTTGTCTTGGAGAAATTATCCCAAGTGTTATTTATACTTTTACAGACTTGTTACAACATAGTATCCAATGAATTGAAATGGCTTTAATGTATGACTGTAATGTATGTTTAATTACTTGATACACAACTACAAGCAGGTGAAGGGTTAGACATAAGCGTCATAGATGTATGGAATATGAGTGGTTTGTCAAGGGATTCCATCCTAATATACCTCATTTGCATAAATACATGTTAGCTAGGACTATTTTTGGCACCACATGGTTGAACCATAATGGTTATATCATATTTGTGAGGTTTGCACAAGTTTATGAATGATTTGTTTGTTTTTTAAAATTTGTGACTAATCCTAGTCTGAGATATGTATATCTTTACATATGTGGTGAAGTTTATCAGATACCGAGCGCTGTTCTGACATAAGTTATGTCATTGGCTGTGTTAAGTGTTAATGTAGTGGTATTTTCAGTTGATTCACCTTTATCTCAGAGTTATTTTACAAGCTGGTGTCATACCACTCAGTGGATGTAAAACTTTTTGAAACGTAATCAAACCTTTTGGACTTCTCAGGAGTGTTTTCATTGGGGTAACCAAATTGTGAAAGTGTTTGCTTGTCACTGAAAAACGAAGTTCTGATACGTGAAACCCATTCTTTGTGTCCTCTGCTGTGATTTTGCAAAACATTGCTAAGTCACTTCTGTTTGGGTTTTTTCTTGAAAGATTTTGAAATGTCATGTTCTCTAATTAAGCAGACCTCTAATATGAAACTCACCAATTGATGCCATGTTGGTGCCAAAAAGTTTAAATGTAGTATGAATGATCACGCATCCCATATGTCTAGTCAGCACCTTCAGCCAAACCCAAATTTCATCAAGGTAATCCACAGTTGGGGCAAAATGGTTCTTACTGTCTGGCCCCTTACCATGGATATTATATGAAATTGAGGTTCTTAGCTTGTCGTCACATAGGCTAACTTATTGTCACGTGCCATTAAGCATAATTTCTCATTATCATTGTGTTTGATTTGTGCTTGAGTTCTTGCTCTCATTGTCTGCTTCTGTTTGTGCTCATACTACTCATGTCAACTCATCCAGACTAGAAATGGACCAATAATTTCTTGTTTCGCATCACAGAAGTGTGACGTCTCCGTGAATCAGAGTCATTGTATCATTGTCATCATTAATGTACCTCAGGTCGGAACCCAGAAAATAAAAAAAATGGGATCTTAGAAAAAAAAAAAAATTTTTGTTTTCTTTTCACAGGTTACATCCTACTGGTCGTAAGACGCGACTAAATGGATCAGGTGGTCGGGTTTGGTGAATTTGTTGATTGAGTGTCATTGTACCCCAACTGTGTGGATCATTGCTCATAATTTCAATCATCGAATTGTCTGGTCCAAACTTGATTATTTACTGGCCATCGTCATATAGCTGCAATATTGCTAAGCGCAACATGAAACAACAACCAACCAAACGATAGATCCTTCAGAAACTCATGGATCCTTGTGCCTATGTTTGTGATAAGTAAGTAAGTGAATGTAGATAACTCCGCAGTTGGCAGTATTCCAGATATACCATGGAAGCAGTCTTGGCCCGTCAGATAGACAGTGTGAAGTATGATTCGTCACATCAGGCAGATGGGCAGTGTAAACTCAATCCATACTGTCAGGCAGATAGTGTAAACTATGATCCATACTATCCAGCAGATAAAGTGTACCAGATCCATATCGTCCGGCAGATAGAGTGAACTACGATTCATACCGTCTGGCATATGGACAGTGTAAACTATGGTCCATACCGTCCGGCAGATGGACAGTGTAAACTATGGTCCATACCGTCCCGCAGATGGACAGTGTAAACTATGGTCCATACCGTCCGGCAGATGGACAGTGTAAACTATGGTCCATACCGTCCGGCAGATGGACAGTGTGAACTGTCTTGAGACTGACTGGCTTGAACAATGAGACAATAACCAAAGAAAGTTCAGTGGATATATTTTACAGATTCCACAAACGTTCATTTATACATCAAGGGAAGTCACGTAGATAATGACATGCAGACAAGCACACGCACACGCCTATGCACAAGTACTTGCATAATACTGGATTAGTATCCCCCAGGAAGCGGCTGTAAAATCTTACATACACTCCATTAGTCTGGAGTTATGGTGCATTTTAACTTAACATTCAACTTGACTTGTTTGGTCATATTTTGCATTGTGTGTTTAATAATAGGTTTAGATTAAAGTTTAGAATAAACAAAGACTGCTTCATTAACAACAAAACTACCCCAGATCTTTTAATGTCAATTTAATGACTACATATAAACTGATTCAAAATACGTCTTCCCGGGATGGTCACAGTAAACTACCTTGTTTATCGCGATTACCCGCGCTATGACGTGGTGTAGCAGCACACAGACATTGTAAATACTCAGATGATGGCTTGTTTTTAAGAGAAAGTTGTCTGTTAAAAGTGAATGAGAAGTTTTACAGTTGTTCATGTGACTAGGGAGAAAACTACGAATGTTTCTTAAGTGTCCGAAAATCCATAACACGGGGATATATATGTACATAATATATGCATGTCTGGTGACAAAATACTGATACCTAATAATCTGTTCGCACCAACACCATCCCAATGTATGTGATAACTGGTACCAATAAAATCATAAATCAAACAACTCCCTGCAAACTTGATACAGTCCCTATAGTTACCCCTCTCCCCGTTTAACCCTCTCCCTGTTGTCCTGGGTGCCGTTCTTAGCGATCTTAGCGTGAAGGTGATCAAAACTCCCATGCTTTAACATACAGTTACGACTGTCGTTGTGCTTAATTAAGCTGTTTTGTGCAACGGCACCCTGATAACTACTTCCTGTAGGTATACGCCTTGATGAAATCCTTATAGTTAACCCTCTACCTGTCATCCTGGTAATTACTTCCTGTAGGTGTACGCCTTGATGAAATCCTTATAGTTAACCCTCTACACGTCATCCTGGTAATTACTTCCTGTAGGTGTACGCCTTGATGAAATCCTTATGGTTAACCCTCTACACGTCATCCTGGTAATTACTTCCTTTAGGTATAAGCCTTGATAAAGTCCCCACAGTTAACCCTCTACCCGTCATCCTAGTAACTACTTCCTGTAGGTATAAGCCTTGATAAAGTCCCTGTAGTTAACCCTCTCCCTGTCGTCCTGGTAGCAGGCGATCAGGAGCTCCACCAGCCTGCCCAGCTTCAGGCGCAGTCCCCTGTGCTGCCGCATGGCCGTGAAGATCTCGTCCCTGGTCAGATACCCGCTCCCATCTGCGTCCAGTTGCAGGAAGACTCTCTCCAACGCCTGAGGGTGAGAGAGGATGTATGAATATAACGGCGGGCTTCACACATTGTATCCGTATTGTCATGGAACTAGGTTTTCGTCATGACAACCGTATAAACAAGCCTTTTGTTACTGGCTACATTGATCCCATAAGTGCCTATGGTCAAGTGTCACGATGAACCCAGAGGTGTTGGATACCAATATAGCTCTGTATAGTATAAAATGGTTCTTTGGAAATTAACTTTCAAACCGTATCTATTCTCCACGACTCTTTTTGTTTGTCTGTTTAACGCTGCACTCAGCAATATTCCATCTGTAAGACTGGTTCTGTAAATAATCGAGTCTGGACCAGGCAATCCGGTGAAGATATGAGCATCGATCCACGCATTTGGGATACGATGACATGCACCAACCAAGTCAGCGAGTCTGACGGCCCGGTCTCATTAGACGCCTCTTACGACAAGCATGCATGGGTTTCTGAAGACCAATTCTAAGCCAGATCTTCATACCTACTCTGAGTCGACTAGTCCTTGTTGTATCCACTTAATGCCGAGCTCCAGTTAGGGTAACAACAAGTACCACCTTTTAACGTCTCTTGGTATGACGTGTGGGGATCGAATCGGGTAAATTAACAGTAAACGTATGCCATCACTATGACTAACACATTTGGCAATGTATTTTCCTGATCATGACTCGGTTACTGACCGCGAATTGACAAATCACAAAAACCTCAACCCGTGCTTGATGTGTTCTAGCAAAGCCTCAACGCACACCTCACCTGTGACGTCACCTTGATGTCGAACGTGGTGAGGAACGCCTCATAGTCCAATTCTCTCTTGTTGGCTCTGGCGCACGTGATGAGCAGGGCGGCGATACTCCCGGGGGCCAGGTCCACCGGGCAGGAAGGCTTGGTGGCGTCCATGATCTCTTCCCGCGATATGCGGCCATTGTGGTTGCGGTCTAGCGCCCAAAAGTCCCGCCTCAGAGCCATCTGTCTACAACCAACGAATCGTACATCACTTGGTGGAGTGTCAGATCTCGTAGCGACATTATGACCTTCAACTTGTTTGTATGGATGTTTGTGTGTTTGTTGTTTAACGCCGCAATATTCCCGCTATACATGACGGCGGCCTGTAAATAAATGGGTCTTGACCAGACAACAAGTGATTGATATTATGAGCAACGATCCAGGCGTAGGATGATACGTAATCAACCAAGGCAGTAAATCTGATCACCCGATTCATTTTGCCGCCTTATAAGACATGCAGGCATACGTTACATATGGCCTTTTCTAAACGGAATCCACACAGATGACCTTGAGCTGTTACCCGATGTGAGTGTGGCTGCTTGTACTAGCCCGGACTGATGCCGATTTATAGTGCTACCACACTGAGAAACCCTGCCGCAGTATAACATGAATACCTCCGAGACTCCGAGACGACAAGTCCTTGTTTTAGCCCCTTAATGCCATGCCGAGCGCCTAACAGGGTAACAACAAGTACCATCTTTTAACGTCTTTTGCTGCCGGGAATCGCTCTGCGGTCGGACGCTCTACCACTAGACCACGGAGGCGGTTACCCGATATAGAAACTGATGCCACAACACAAACTGACATGATACACGACAATCATGACTGTATCAGGGAGACCAACGGGCCAGAATCTGGCCTAGCATTTTTTTTATGTCGAGCATTATTCAAGAAGCTCCAGCCTTTGGTGTTTACATTTCACAACTTTTGAGATACAATCGAGCATGCTCTTTCTACCAGGTCTTCAAAGAGAGCCATACGACTCTTGCTCAGAAGTTGTTTGATCAAGGTTACAACATTCAAGGCCTCAGTAAAGCTTTCAACAACGTTTACGGTGGACATGTGGAGGACATTTCCTAATTTAAAGCACCAGTGACAAAAATGATGTCCGATGCAATTCCCTAATTTGACTTGTACCATATGTTCCAGTGTTTTTTGCAAGTAAACACTTGACTTGCCTTTGCATGTGTTTGTTATGGGTGCCACCGGTCGGGCAGGATACGCTCACCTTTTCGCGAGCACCCGGTTTCAAAACTATTTGAAAGTGATTCATAACCCCATGATCATGTTGTAGTCGGACTTGTTCAATCGATTCTTTTAGCAAAGATTTCTATCGAAAATAGAATGGGTCTTGTCGTTTTTATGTATGTTTAAAGTGCCTGGGACATTATTCACGGTCTCCCATATGGGCGCCAGTGAGATGTCACGGTCACTGTGTGTGTACTTACTGCATAATGATAGAGGGGATCCTCCCGATGGACGCCAGTAGGATGTCACGTGACACATGCCCCTCTTCGTCCACCTCGATGTCGCCCAGCACATTCTATGCAACCACAATATGAGTGAGTGAAAGAGAGGGAGATAGAGAGAAGGGGGGGGGGGGGGGGGGGGGGGGGGGGCTGATACGAGCACGGTTATGATACTGATAAACCGGGACAAGCGAGGCGGACCGGGATTCAAACATTGACTCGATGAAGTTTCATTGACAACGAAATCAAATATAAATATTCTTTATATAATGAATTGAACACCACATCAATCTCATTAAAATCAGATCTTAGTTCTCGCTGTCGCTGAACATAGATCTGAGGACATCCCATTACGGGTCACGTCAGACCGACCTTTCGCGAACTCTGACCGACCAATGGAATTAATGGCAGGAAGTCGACATTAGCCAATCAGAAGGCAGCTTTCTCGTGCTTTACGGCACTAATTTCAATTTGGCGATTACGCTTCGAAACATATTTTGACAAATTCTCGCTTTAAAATTTGAAACCTGAACAAAAGAACATTCTCGAATGGCTAATATATGGTCTAGATTGTATAGATTCAATCGTTAAGCCCGTAACTATCGTTCGGAATACCCCGTTTTAAAGTTTTCGAGGTTGCCTGATTAGAAATCACATTCCGACTGTCACTTTCATGATCTGGTAAGCGACGCTCTGATTGGTCGGATGAAAGGTCTTTCTGACGTGATCCCTAATGGGATGTCCTCAGATCTTTGTTTAGCGGTAGCGAGAACTAAGATCTGATTTTAATGAGATTGACACCACATTCACATTATTTCAGACATGTAGCCACTCACTTTGGATACAGACACCATACGTCTGAATCATGGATAAGATGACTAGCGCGTACATACGTTATTATATGACCCTTTGGGAGGCTCGTTTCAATGCGACCCATGATTTATTAAAGCTCTGTTTGTGCTCGTATAAGATCGCACTGAATCTATAGGATTCGCTTCTAGAATGATATTCTATATCTACGAGGGCTGGTCAAAAAGTTCTACGGCTAACAAACAGATTTGAGGTCTTCGTTGTCGTCATAGCTCTTTCCACGAATGTTTTCTTTCAGTGTAGAGGTAGGCCATCGTGGTACCCCCTCCTCAACTCAGTTCTTTTTCCCTTAAGATCAGAATTTAGATAGTTTGGCACCCAACGAGCAGATATCTTATTCATCTGTAAATGTTCATGAATAATAGTTCCAATGGATCCATGGCTTAGACCTGTCTCTTTCTCATGTTCAATGGTAATTCGTCATTGCGACAGTATAGATTTTTTTATCTCCTTGAATGAATCTTTATTGATGGAAGTTGAGAGACGTCCAGACCTAGGGTCATCATCAAGGCTTGTTTTCCCAGCCTTAAACATAGCTGCCCAAAGTTTAACAGTGGAAAAGCTAGGGCGCGTATCCCCATACACTTGTGACATGCTGTCGTGAATTTCTTGGGGAGTATACTTTACTCAAAAGTAAAAAACTTGATACTCGTTCTTGTCCATTTCTGTGTCCATTTGGACCCCTATCACGTTCAACTGGCTGTCACTAATATACAAACGGCTTCAACAGACCAAATACACTTGCAATGAACTACTCAAACAATGTACTACATTGACTAGTTCACTTTGTTATGGTCCATAGTTGAAAGTTAGTTAGACTTAGAACTGTTTGAGCAGCCCGCGTATGTTTGCACTTACAATAAGCGTTCCAGTTAGGTCCTCACCCGTGCTCGTGGGTTTCACCGAAGTGGTAAACGTCTGAGACCTGCATCACTTCGGGCTTTCCTCCCACATTAAGCTGACACGCCGTGATATAATTGGAATACTGTTAAAAGCTGCGTTAAGCCCAACTCACTCACTCACTCACAGCGAACTTTGCCGCTTGAGACCACTGGACTACCCGTGCTCCCTGTTGGGTTACAACGATTATGTGCATCATTAACTATGTGACAGACAGGGGATTCCTACACACATATAGTCGTACTGATGCGTGCAATCTGAGCATCATCGACATGAACGTGTATTACCATTATGCCCGAGCAGGGTGTACTTATACGATGCCTTGGTTGTAGTCTCCACATGTTGATATGACTACCAGTAATACGAGGGTGGCTGAAAAGCTCTGGAGTGCCTGGGTCCCACGATTGTTGAAGGCTTCATTCTGGTGATGTAAACAGACCCGGGGCAACAAACACGACGTTTAGCCTTGATATTCTCACGCACTTGCCTAAGCAGATTACAGCATTAATTATCTGACCCTTCTTGAGGTAGTCCACCAGTAGAATTCCTTTCGAATCCCAGAAAACCGAAGCTATCACCTTGAAGGAACAGACTGGCCCTTCTTCTTCGGAAATGTTAGATGTTTCCACTGTTTTGACATCTTCATGCCCACCTCTGAACAGTCGCAAATAAAAGAGCATCATCCCCTAAAGTTGACACCATGTCCGCATGGATGGATGTTGGGGTTAGCCCTTTCGCTTGGAGATATTTGATGACAGCGCGGTAGCCAATTTTGTTCATTTTCATCTACAGAGATTACCTTGTCACTTGGTGCCTTCAGAAATATGCTGCCTGATTGTGCATTCGGTTTTGTATGCAACTTGTAAGCATGTCAAGAATTGTACTTGGGGATTGGGGTTAAGGGTTACAATACATCCTTCGTCGTTGGACCCAGAGCTTTTCGGCCACACCTCGTACTTTATATGGACAATAGAATTGAGAGTATGTTTGTGAAACCACCTTCGGCTCCCCTTCTATAATTAATAAATAGGTTCCTGTCTGTTTGTTTAACTCCTCTGTCCTCTGTCCATGCGGGGTAATTTTATTGCCTACTGGAGGGACTAAGTGTCACTGGAAAAGGTCGGCTAACAACGCCAACCGTTCCACTCGTACATGAGTCTAAATGTTTTCATGAGAAACTTGAATAAACACAGGCAATGAAATACTGTTCAAAGCGGCGTTAAACCAAACCCACACACTCATACAGATTGATGCTCCACACGTCTCCTTTCAGTCTCGGGTGTACTTGGTCCAGACGTGGTTATTTACATCCGACTTGATATAGCTGGAATTTTGTTGACTGTGTTGGGAATTATTCCCTTATAAAAAAGTCTAACCGGTCCCTGCATGCGTTCCATTCTACCGTCTCCCTTTACCCAGAACCTCATCTGAAGATTTCCCCTGAAAGAAGTGAACTATGGAACCTCATATAACGATCCCATCTCCGTCTCCATCCCACTAGCACTAATAAGTTAGACAATACACATGTACAGACATGATTAAGAACAGGGATGGAAACTATTCTTGAAATGAAGCCATCCCTATGTCATACAATTGGGTGCAAAATGGTAAATCTTCATGAATCGTACTGGTTTAGAGTTACATTGCCCCAGTCACAGGGCCTCGATGATCGCGTGTATAGCATTATATATTCGTATAGAAAAAAAATCACACCCCTCTTTATACATAAAGGGGGCACGGGTGGCCCAGTCGTCTAAAGCGCCGCGATTCGCTGTGAAGAGTTGCGTCCCTTGGACCCGCCAGAAACCTATGATCGTGGGTTCGAATCACGGTTCGCCCCGATTATGTTTCTAGGTTTGTCAGAACTATACCCGTGCTCGTGGGTTTTACCGAAGTGGTAAACGTCTGAGACCTGCGTCACTTCGGGCTTTCCCCCCATATTAAGCTGACACGCCGCGATATAACTGGAATACTGTTAAAAGCGGCGTTAAACCCAACTCACTCACTCACTAACTTATACATAAATACGTATATGTACATAGAGGGGTCTGGTTTTTTTCATATACGAATATATTATGCTATACACGCTATCATAGAGTCCCTGTGGTCCCAGCCTCGGACCTGAGGGAGACGCTATATCCAACACAATGCGTAAACCCTGAAACTCTGGAGTCACGCAGCTCATCAATCCCTGTCTCAAGCTATAACCCTCCCGCATCCCAACTCGCCAGTTCGCAATACAGAGTGACGCCCCTTAGGGCTGCCAGGATCCTTTCATACTGGGTTTGAAAACAAGATACTATACTCGTAGTCATGGGTTTCACTGTTTGGGCAAACGTTTGATACAACCTACATTACTTCGGGCTTTCCTCCCACATTAAACTGACACGCCGTGATATAACTGTTATACTTTTCAAAGCGAAGTTAAACCTCACCTACCCACTTATAGCACCAGCTTACCAGAAGGTCCCGCTCTGTTCCTCTGAAACCTCCCGCCTCAAGGACTTCACACACCTCGGGCAGCGTCAGGAACTGCACGCCACGTCGGCCATGTTTGTCCAACTCTCGCTGAAACACCCCAACCTGGTTCTCGTACCACGACTCCGCCATTTTGTTATTTGCCATTTTGCTTATTTTCGCAGAGGTAATATATATTCTCAGTATTTGTAAAGTTCGAATTTCGGAATCGTGAGTCACAAATAAATCACCATTCGTATAGGAGGGTCAGTATGACTGTGAAATCGAACGTGCCACTAATATAATCATGAGTGTGTCGGTCGGCAAGGGATGTCGCCTCTCCCTTTTATGGCTCCCTTCTCCCACACCACCCGACGAGATAACACCCGTCAGTTTAACATCAGAAGGTGATTTACGGGTAGAATTGTCAACTGTACAAACATTGTTCTCCACCCATAATAAACCCCTCATTCATAGTTGTAAGTTATCTGCAAATGACGCCTCGCAGAATTAGACAGACAGGTGCTTGCTTAGAAGTGATGTACATAAGAACCAAGGTTTAAAAATGGCATTTAATTACTTGTTCTCCGGATTTTTCTTTGCGATTCCTGGAGTGAGTGTGAATGTGAATGGTTTTACGCCGTTTTTAGCAATATTCCAGCAATCTGGAGATACCAGAAATGGGCTTCACACATCGTACCCATGTCGGAATCGAACCCGGGTCTTCGGCGTGACGAGCGAACGCTTTAACCACTAGGCTACCCGACCGCCCCTGCGATTCCTGGAAGAGACAGAGGGTGCTTTTCCTCTCCTTTCTTCTGTCCTACCTTTGTATATTCAGTAACTCAATATTGTAACCTTCCCTGATTCTATAATCGATACATAATATAATACGTCAATGCCAGAGAATGACCAGTCTCGATTATCCCCTGAAAAAGATTCCATACTAAATGTGGCGCAAAGGGCAAAATAGCGGTGAAAACTATTTGAATGGATCACTGAAAATCAGTGATGACACTAGATGTTCGCGAAAAGGGTACACATAAGAAAAAGTAATTTTCCTATGGATAAATGATTCCGTAGCCCACATGCGCTCGATAGTAATGTTAGACATTTAGCTGCATATAAAATGACTACAAACCGGAGAGTAAAAGACAAACGTTTAAGAGATGTGAAACTTTAAAGGTATAAAAAAGAACCAACGGGAATAACTTAGAAACTTAAAACTGAATCAGAAAACATATTTGTGACGAGTGTTCATCTATTGATATCAAAACGCAAAGAAATCAAATAGCAGAACCAGTCAAACGAGAATTTTGGTCCAATCAGATCACGCGCTCGCTTCAGGTCGGATCAGTCGTCGCAGACATACACTTCCGACATGGCTGGAGTAACGAAACTGGTGAGAAGAAGCTCAAGAATACTTGACAATGTTTAACATACACAACAATTTGCATCAATTATTGCTTTGCTTAATATTATGAGAGTATCTCATCCAGTGTTAACTGCCATAATGATCAGCATTTAATGAGAGAATTTAGGGGTACGAAATGTCCTTGACAGTGTCAATGAGCAAGACGCCAACATGCATGTTGAGTGAACTGAAGACTAAGTGAACATTGGTAAAGTTACCATTTAACAGTCATGTTAGGTTTAGATCTAGTCCAGACAGCATCGCTTCGTCTAAAACCGGGGACTGTGACATAGCTTAAATGACAAAATGCCCTAGGATATAAAACTTATTGAAGCTGGTCAAGGAGTATTGGCAATTTCTGATCATTCTCTGGAGTGTTTTCGGCCTAAGCCACAGATTAAAGCCCATTTGTGATTTTGTTTTACACCGACATAAATACACAAACTCATTCTGATATAAATAAATAAAGCATCATGACATTTTGGATAATGCACTCCAGTAAACATTGAGGATTTGATAATGCTGATATTATACATGTCTGTAGTATACCAGCATAAATACCTCATAACTATTTATATAACATAGTGTCATCTAAGGTTCACTTTTTGTTTGTCAAAAGTTGTGTGTAACAAGCACCATCTTCTGCTATATACTTGTACCACGTACACAGGTTACTGGCTGCGAGACACGATGTGGTCCTACAATTAAGACATGACCCTGATATAGGGTCATATCTTGACTGTAGGACCCCATCGCGGCTCTCGTGGGAGGGGTTAAGCTGGTACTGGGCATTTGTGGAATAAACAAAAGATGAAGGTACTATGCTGTGTTTTACCTCAGTTTGAGGATATGGTATGACCAGAGACCTGTTATATCCTCCATCTAAGGTAATATATGACCAACTTAAACGGACAATATCTTTTGCTGAAATATAGCTACACATTTTCTTGTTACATATTGAGGGAAGTACTAATGCAATTTTGTGCCCAATTTATCATTTAATTTTTATTGTGTCAATTGAAAATAATTTTGAAATCATCTGTATTAGCATGATTAGTATTTGAATTACTGGTGGAGAAAATTGAGTGATTAATCTGTTAATGAATTCATCTAAACATTCAGTATGATTATTGATTGCCAAAATGTGTCTAATCTTTTAAGCAGTTTGGTACATTACCTAATTTGTTCTGTGTTGCAGACAACAGGGCTGACGGGCCTTGCAGTAGCCAGACATCCTCACCAGGTGAGTTACGAGGGTATCTGACCTGATGGAAATTGAACTGAATTTGTACCATTACCGTGGATTGACATGTTAAGGTCTTATGTTAACGTATTCATTTTTAATTAGTCACATTTAACAAGTATGATAATTTTTACATGAACCTACCAAACCATAAAGAGAAAATACTTATATTCAGGAATGTATCTAGGTTATATTTCTTTTAGTGAATGTTTATGGAGCCAGTATGTTATTCTGTTTCAGTTAACTGGAAAAACTGGCATTTAGTCAAATCATACAATGGCCTGTTGTAAATCAGGCAATATCTTTGTTCAAGTTGCTGTCAAGTTTGAAATATCCTAGAATATTCAGCATATTGTTATATCTCCATTCCATTGTGATATACAGTAGACTACATTTATAACACACTAGTAATGAACTGATGGATGTAACAAACTGATATTTTGGTCTTGACCATTTACTGTATATAATTATCTTATTAAATTGATGGATATAATGAACATGCTTATTACGAAATAGGATAAAGCGAACTCACATTATGGTCCCCTGTCACGTGTTATGTATATTTAGATCTGTTTATCTCTGAGTTTGAAAACGTGTCACCAATCAGGCTATCTAAACATCCGCGTCCATGCCCGGTTGTTCAAAGAGGCAATAAACTATTGAAGGCAAGTGATTAACTGTATTAAGTACTGACTGCTTGTCCTCAATTTACACACTCAATTAACAATACTAAAACAGTGATTAGGCTAAAGCCATTGATAGAGATATACTTTATTCTGTCGTTATCAAGTGACTTGATCCAAGATTATGAAGACGTCTGATACTCAAAATGCTTATAACAAACTATGGCTATAATGAACTGAAATTAGTGGGCCCTTTGGGTTTGTTATAACCGTAGTTTACTGTACACCATTTCCATACCCTGGACCAATACGCCACCATATGTTTGTTGTGGATGTGATGTCACGATTCCCTCTCCCGAAACACTAACCTTGAAGTCATTTCCATACCCTGGACCAATACGCCACCATATGTTTGTTGCAGATGTGATGTCACGATTCCGTCTCCCTAAACGCTAACCTAGCAGTCATTTCCATACCCTGGACCAATACGGACCGCCTCCGTGGTTTAATGGTAGAGCGTCCGCCCGGAGAGCGGAAGGTCCGGGGTTCGATCCCCAGCCGCGTCATACCAAAAGACGTTAAAAGGTGGTACTTGTTGCTACCCTGTCTGGCGCTCGGCATTAAGGGGCTAAAACAAGGACTGGTCAACTCGGAGTCAGTATACTGTGTCTGAGTGGGGTATTCATGTTAAACTGCGGCATGGTATCTCAGTGTGCTAGCACTATAAATCGGCATCAGTCCGGACTAGTACAAGCAGCCACACACACACACATACATGTGCTTGCACGTCGCTATATAAGTGCAATAATCTTGGACTCAGCGTTAAACCCCATTTCACCTCACCTCACCTCACCTCACCTGGACCAATACGCCACCATATGTTTGTTGCAGATGTGATGTCACGATTCCGTCTCCCTAAATGCTAACCTAGCAGTCATTTCCATACCCTGGACCAATACGCCACAATATGTTGGTTGCAGATGTGATGTCACAATTCCCTCTCCCTAAACACTAACCTGGCAGTCATTTCCATACCCTGGACCAATACGCCACCATATGTTTGTTGCAGATATGATGTCACGATTCCCTCTCCCTAATCGCTAACCTCGCACAGATTTTCTGTTGCTGGTAACTTCAAAATAGCAGCCTCGTATGGGGGAGACCCTCAATATATTTCAAATAAACGATTTTAATACGAATCAGACTAAACTTCTAGCTGAAAAAGATGTTTTATTAAGACAGGGGAGGGAAGTCATTCTCAGCTTTGTTTGAGACAGTACATAATAACATGAAACGGAGTAGTTGTGATATAGTTCCTTCCCTTATACAGAGTGCCTGTAACCAATATCGTGTAGTTTGACTGGTTGGTTATTTTTAGTGTTGTGTCATTCGAATTAAACTCAAATGAACCTTTGATGGTGAATGGTCCAGGTTATTTATCATTATGAAATGGAGATATGCTACGCTTGATAATCAAGTATGGGGAAAAAGTAATGTATGATGTACTTTGTTGCAGTCATTGAAAGTGTTGTACGAGAAGACACTGAGGACTTTACAGAAGATGCCCCCAAGTGCCGGCTATCGTAAATATACGGAACAGATTGTTAACGACAGAATGCATATTGTGCAGACTGTAAGTATGAAGACCTGTTACCTGACATGCTGGATTTGTCTTGACTTTATGGGGAGATGGATTATCCTTATTATTTTGCAGAGCTTGCAGAAAAACGCAGTAAAATAAAATCCAATCGTATCAAATACGCAACGAACATTACAGATACGCTACAAAAATAAAACTTGTGTGTATCATCAAAATATTGTGAAGTAACCCTGCGTATTCGATTAGCAAATCAGCAACTTATTTTGAAATTATAAACGGGCATTCCGTCGACCTTGCCAAACTCCATGATGACAGTTACATCATGATCATTTGCCATCACACTTTCTTGTGGAAGTATCATGGTATTTTTGAGTCCGATAAAGTCGAACCCACACGACACCAGTTTGCAGGAACTAGATGAATAGTGTTTTTAATATTTAACTTAAATACCCACATGTGTAAAAACTAGTGGGTAACAGAAATTTGAATACCCAGATAGAATTACTGATACCCAATGATTTTAAGATGCATGGGTAAAATACCAACAACACCAAAAGCTTTTCTGGAGCTCTGTTTTGTACATTAACTTCATGGTATGAAAGTCTGATAAATAAGACTTTGACCGATGTTGATATTATTTCGTACATATGTATGTCTTCAGAGTGGGACACTGACTCAAACGCCATGGGGATTCCAGTTTAGAATAGGTCCCCAGTAAACTATGCATGTCGTACAAGCTAGGCGACTAAATGGATTGGATTGGTTAATTGCATTTCATCCTACTCTGATGGTATTAGATGTTGCTCATAACATAACCATCAGTTTCTTTAGGTCAGAGATTATTTACAGGCCACCATCATATAGCTGGAATATTGCTCTGTGTGGTATTAAACAACATACAGACTCATCTTGTTTAAATTGAGTCTGAGGTTTATTTTTGTGTCTGATTCTTAACTGCATTTTGTTTATGCTGATGAACAATTTATTGTAGGAAACTGATGTTGCCAAGCTGGAACAGAAGATAAATGGTGGACAAGTAGAAGAACTTATTTTGCAGGTACTGATTCTTAGTTAGTAATGTTGTATGAACAGCACAGAGATTGGTTGGTGCAATATTAGATGATTCTATCATGTTCATGTTTAGTAGAGACTATCGCTTGATAATTTGATATGTAGAGTAATGTAATGTAACATATCAGTAGATTTCTGACATATTCGGACCACCTCCATGGTCTAGTAGATAGAGTGTCTGCCCAGAAAGCTGAAGGTTAGTGGGCCATGGTGCTCAGCATAAGGGAATAAAACAAGGACTGGTTGTCCCGGAGTCCATATACTATGTCTGAATGGGGTATCCATGTTAAACTTCGGCATGATATCACTGTGGGCTAGCACTATAAATCCGGATTAGTCTGGATTAGTACACGCACGCACGCACGCACGCATGTCGCTATATAAGTGCAACAATCTTGAAAATATTGTTATCCCCCGGAATTTTATAAATTTTTATTTTTTACGTTTCCATGGCAACAAGTTGGACTTAGGTTCTATAAGGGTGCTGTTCGTTTCCGGAGCGTAACTCAAAAACCATTAAATACTTTCTTACAAAACTTTGCATGTCTACTAGGCACATACTGAACTGGTGCCTTTTGCTATTTAGGAATTTTATAAATTTTTATTTTTTACGTTTCCATTGCAACAAGTTGGATTTAAGTTTTAATATAGGATTGGTTTACTTAAGGAGTATAACAAATAAACTGTTAAATATTTCCTTGCCAAACATTGCATGTCTATATATAAAGTGCATACTGAACTAGTGCCATTTGATATTAAGGAGTTTTAGAAATGTTTATTTTAGAATTTCCATTGCAGCTATTTTGACATGGGCTAAGAGAAATGTTGGGTCTGTTACCTGGTTTGGGACCATAACGTGTTAAAATGGGCGGGGGATATAGATGACTTTGTCAACTATACGCTTGTTAAGCCCTATCTCACCACTGCCATATGGCCAGAACATATCTGTACAGATGCATATAGTGGTATGGTATATTGCATATTTATCTGCTTGTTCAGGGTTAGAACTAAACTCAAAAGCTTCACTAGCCCCGGTAAAGATAAAATGACTTTGTAATGTTAAAACAATGGGGAAATTTGTACTAGCCCAAATGAATTTGTACTAGCCTCGGGCTAGCGTTAATTTCTAACCCTGCTTGTTACTTCATGTCCTAAAGAAAGCCCAAACAGCTTTGACATAAAGATGTGAGGATATGAAAGTTCATGCTATTTCATTTGTACTGTGTCTGTTTTCAGGCCGAGAGGGAACTCATGTTATCAAGGAAGATGCTACAGTGGAAAGCATGGGAGCCTCTTGTTGGGGAAGCCCCAAAGAATCAATGGCAGTGGCCCTTGTAACTGTAGACACTAGACACTGATATCAATATACATAGCGTAATAAAGAATACATGGAATCTGTGGATACATCTAATCCTGTTGGTTATTGAGGACATTGCAGCTAATGAAGAGCTCCGTGTTGACGCAGGTTGGATCATCCGTGTCATCTATGCCAAGCCTCTTGAAGGTGTAACAATATCTGTGAGCGAGTGTGTTTGTCTGAATAAAATGTTACAATATTCCACTGTTTTTTTTACTATTGATTGCCTATGTCATATTCCATCCCACACAAACTACACTTGGATCAATAGAAGCCACACCATGTCACAATTCCTAAATGACAATCCAGTGTCTTAACAAGAAGGATAACCCAATGACCAATAACCAAAGTACCAGTAAAGTTTATTTTGAATTACCTGATTTATAATGTTATAATACTTCTAAAAAGAAACAAATGCTTTTGACACTTATTGAATGAATATGTCAACATTGATGAAATAATTTGAATATGTCATTATCAGTTTGTTCTGACAAAGGTTTAGGGGGTACCTTTAGGGCTGATAGAGCTCCATCTATTGTGCTCATCCTGTGATGTGAGGCACTCACCTCCCCCTGGGTAAAAAGATACTGGAGATTACACAAGTGGTTTCAAAGGCAAAGTAGATGTTTTGGATGATGTTTGTCAGAATTAAGTGATCAATACTTGAAAACAGTTGATGTACTAATACACCTGGAACATATTTGGCAAGAGGTTAATGTGTATTTCCATATGAAATAGCTTTTCAAGAATTGTGCACTTTTTTACTTTCTGATGAAATGCTTGTTTTTGTTTTCAAAGTGACATTTACATATTGAAATACAGAAAAGGAATTGATTACCTTGTGATATCTTGTGAACTGTTCCATGCCGGTAGTTACTTGACTACTTTTTTTATCCCCCGGTTAGAAAAATGGGGGGGATATAGCAATCACCATGTCCATCCATCCGCCAGTCGTCTTTTTTGCCTTTTCCAGAGCGAAACTCCAAAACCGTTAACTAATTCTTGTTCAAATTTTCTATATAGATCAGACTAGTGGGGAACTGGTGCCTTTTGATGATTTGGGGTTTTGTTCTTATTTTGTTCGGTTTTCATTATTTTTCATGATGAAAACAAGGTGTTTTGTGTTTCAGGAGCAGAACTCCAAAACCATTGAATATTTCTGAATGAAACTTGCTATACAGCTCAGTCTATTGGTGAATTGATGCCTTTTGATGATTTGGGATTTTTAATTTTCATTTATTTTTATGTTTTCACATAGACAAGTTGGACTTTACTGAAAATGAGGGTAATGCTTGTTTCCGGGGAAGAACTCCAAAACCATTTAATATGTCTGGATGAAACTTGCTATTCAGATCAGTCTAGTGGGGAACTGGTGCCTTTTGATGATTTGAGATTATGAAAAATACTGAACAGCATTATTCTTTTCTTCACTGAACTGAAGGGTATCCAATGGCAGTGAACCAAGTAGCCAAACTCAATTTCCATATTGAATGTCATTAATAGATATTTCAAAAGATAAATGGACGATTGGGATATAATATTATATGAAAGGGGTTGTGCAGAACTCTTTTTTCCAGGTGTATGTGTGCAATGAATTTTATGGCATAGTAAGAGAAAATTATGTTTATATGATGTGTGATATGAAATAGTTCTTTTTAAGAAATGAGGATTGTTTTTCAAGGTAATTGCAACCACCTCCATGATCTACTAGGTAGAAGGTCCGCCCGGAGAGCGGAAGGTCCGGGGTTTGAGCCCAGGCAGCGTCATAGCTAAAGATGTTAAACGATGGAACTTGTTGTTACCCTGTCTGGCACTAGGCATTAAGGGGCTAAAACAAGGGACTGGTCGGCTCGGAGTCAGTATACTGTGTCTGAATGGGGTATTCATGTTAAACTGCGACATGGTATCTCAGTGGGCTAGCACTATAAATCGGCATCAGTCCGGACTAGTACAAGCAGCCACACACACGTGCATGCAAGTCGCTATATGAGTGCAATAATCTTGGATGCGACGTTAAACCCCATTTCACCTCACCTCAAGACAATTGCCCAAAGTGATGCAGGTCATAGACATTTACAACTTCATTCAAACATATTAGTACAGATGGAGTGACAACCAAGTCTGGGATTCAAACCTATATAATCAGCAGATCCTGGCACAACTCAGAGATGCAACTCTGCACAACAAAATCTGTACCCCCTGCCATATTTAGAGCATGTCCTTCGCAGAAATCTCATTTTTCTATGAATTGTCCATAACACTATGAGAGATTTATTTGCCTTTTAAAATACCTTTTCTGAAAGTAACAAATAAAATCAACTGGTAATCGGAATTGTTAGCTTTAATTGAAAAACTGTTTACTAAATTTTTTTCAGTTGCTGAAACTTTTTATAAATTTTCTTTTAAAAAATAAAATATAAATGACATATGTTATTAAATGAAAAAAATATATATTCAGATTTACCAGGAATCTATACATATAAGGCTGACATGTACTACCAGGATAGACTTAACAAAAATATTGCATGAACTCACCCTTTAAAGTTATTAACAAAATTTAAAGAAAATATCCAAGGAATTTCAAAGGCAACAAATGTATTTTCTACCGACACACTGCTAAAACAAGGGGACAGGCTGGGTTTTTTTCTAGTGTTGTGCAATACGCGAAATCATTCATACGAACAAGTTACCTCCCTTAGATGGTTGTTGATGACAACAAACATGGCGTTGAAACTTGTGGACTGCACGAAAGGCGAGGACAGAGTGACGTTTTCTGATTCATTACCAGAAGATATTGCATATGCTAAAACATTTTGGCAATCTTTGCAACTTTTACCACCAATGGAGTCCAGATTAGTGTCGAGCGACATCAAACAACGTTTGAAGAAGGCACCTTCTGCGTATCAAGGCAAGATGCGATTTTTTTATGCTTTGTTAGTGCTGGTAGACTTGTTATTGTAGTGAGAATATAGGTGTAGTCCACTGTAAACATGAATGATTTCAATGGTGGCTAATAAATATCCACGGCTGGCTGATTGATACCCATTTCACAGACCCATATGTTCGTCTTTACCCATGGAGACGGTTAAATCCAAACCTTCATCCCTGTACTGTTAGAAACCATATTTCTTACCTGTTAAAGTATCAGGCGTCATTATCAATATTCCCACCATATTTCAATCTGTATTGGTACATATAGGGACACCACTTGTGACTTTCACTGCCCAAATATTGATGAAAAGGTGCCCAACTAAATATCATTCCAAACGGGCACCGTTATGCAAAATGTCTGTCTTGAAGTCTTGCCTGACCTAGCACAAGTAGTGGTTACAAGGGCGAGATTGCAGTATATGAGATACCTTCTGGCCTTTGTCAGGCTTTGTTAATGGCAGGATAACATCCTTAGTTGTGGTTTCCAAGTTTTTCAGCTTCCTTTGTAATGGTTTTCAAGATTTTAGGATGTTGTTTTCAGTGTTTTTCACTCAAACTCCAACAAGTAAGAAATATTTCCAGAAACGAAAATAAAGCCTACATTGTGCTTTATGGTCTGTTGATCTATGTTTTAAATATGAGTAAGTAATCATTTCATCATCGTCATTTATTAACTTCGAATAGCATTTCATATATATCAATTGATGTCATATTTTATGTCATTGAAAAGGAATGTTATCAGATTTTGAGGTTAAGCCATTTTAAACCACCCACAATGTTTGTGTTCAATAATTGAAGAAATGATCAATTTTTGTTTGATCGTAAATCTCTTGACTCATGTACAATGATATATGTATCACATATTGTGACTTTGTTGTAGGAGTAAGCCGAGGACACAGGGCACACATGCAACCAATAGGTGAGTTTGTTGTTTCGCTGTCAGTGATATTTAGCTTTTTTGTTTGTTGTTTAACGCCGCACTCAGCAATATTCCAGCTATATGACAGCAGTCTGTAAATGATCGAGTCTAGACCAGACAATCCAGTGATTGATATCATGAGCATCGATCCACGCAATTTGGATACAATGACATGGATCAACCCCGAACCCATTAGTCGCCTCTTCAACAAGCATACAGTGATATTTATCTATATACCAGGATAACACTGTTTCTATGTTAGTGGCAACACCTTGGTAACCAAGGATTGATTCGAAGAGAATATGAAGTAGCAGCACAGCCCAGCCCATGATAATGTAGCCTTCTGATATATTTAGGAAATAAACATACTGTGTTTTCAATGTAGAGCTAGGTTACCTGTAGATTTAACCGCGCTAAATTGAATTTGGAACCGAACACGCACCGTGAGGTTTCAAATGTTAAATTTAGCGCGGTTAAATCTACAGGTAATCTAGCTCTACATTGAAAACAGGGTAGGTTTATCTCCAGTCTACCATGACTAAATAAAACGCGAACTCTTTGGTGTTAGCAAATATACTGATTTAATAGCCTCTGATTGACCAATCAGAATCGAGTAAATTTCAAATTCATGGTAGAACAGTGTTTAATGAGAAATAACAAGTACAAGGACCTCAAAACAATTCAGTGTTTTTTAGAGTCAAATGATTGTATTACATGTGCTTTTGCCAAGGAAAAAGGTTACCATCGGGGTTCATTTTTGGATGCATGATATTTTTATCTTCATTTGATTGATCAAATTTAATATGTAAAGTATTCAAGTACTGACACCACAGTGCAAAAGAGGAACACTGTATGCAACATGTATATACATGTATATTGTGTCATACAAGTACAGTAAATTATACTGGTTTATCATATTCCACTGGCATAGTTGGTCCACAGCTTCTTAGTTCATATTATCATACCATGTAACCATGGTAACCAAAGATTGTAATTCTGAGGTAAACATAAATAGAGTGGTGCATTGAACATTTATGATGTGAGTCAAAGTGTTTGGTTGAGTGGTAATTTGATAAGAAAGAATGTTTTCGGTTGTTTTGTTTATCCACACTTGTAGTGTAGTGACAAATATATGTATTTCCTGAACAGTCGTACAAGACTTTCTCTCCCGAGCACGAACGATGGAGACCATGGAAGAGTACGAGCGCTTGAGGCGCCTGGCTTCTGCACGGGATGAAGACCGGGAGACACTCAGTCGCAGGAGGACAGAGAGGATGAAGGTAGAAACACACCCTGTAGTCCACAGATTTATCCCCAACTACCTTGCTGACTTTTTTACCGTTTTTCATGTGACTACAGTAAACTACATTTATTACGAACTCACGGATAAAATGAACTATTTCTTTGTCCCATCCATTTGCTGTACTTATGCTTATAACGAACAACGTATATAACAAATTAAAATTAGTGGTTCCTTTAGTTCGTTATAACCATAGTTTTTTTTACCTGATTTCACGTTTAATGCTGAATTGCTGATATCATCAATACCAAATTATGATATCTGTAATTTCATTCATTTGATAAATATGTAATTTCAAGATGTCTATTCTTTATTTTGTACATGTGTAGGCCAAAGGCCAATGGTGCATTAAGTTTGTTAGTCCACAACAGAAATTATCATGAATTATAGTGATTAGGAGCATAATATACAAACACAAGAATTTATTTTAATTATAGATGTGTTACAGTCTCACATTAAAATGTTAAAATATCTAATGATGGATGGACTTAGAACTTTTGTTGAATATACTGGTGTTGAGCATTGACATATGTTTTACAAAGTAATAAAAAGGGATATTCATTCTCTACCTAATAACTGTTCCATATCTTACAGAACCTGGGCGGTCGGGTAGCTTAGTGGTTAAAGCGTTCGCTCGTCACGCTGAAGACCCGGGTTCGATTCCCGACATGGGTACAATGTGTGAAGCCCCTTTCTGGTGTCCCCCGCCGTGATATTGCTGGAATATTGCTAAAAGCGGCATAAAACCATACTCACTCACTCACTTACAGAACCTCTGATCTCTAGGAGTATTGTTATATCTTCCTGTTTCAATGTGATGAGGATGTGAGCTACAAACAAGCTGTTGCAGGTGTACATGTACCTGCAGCTGATCCTTTGTTACAGCTGATATATAATATTCAACACAAAATATTATTTCAAAAGAGAATCCAAGAGGACTTAGAGCTATTAACAATTGGTGAATGCTTGTCTGGTTCATGTGCCGATTTCAAACACGTTACACATTCAGTGATAAACAATTTTGGGAAATCAACACCTTACGAACCTTACGAAAACTACTAAACATTGTCATGCCTCAACAGTGCGCTGACATGTTGGTATCATGTGACTTGTGTGGCGGGACAGTCACTCCATGTGACCAAACAGGAGGAGAGAAGGATGAGTGCAACATAACATTAAACAATGGTCATTAATGGTAACAGGACAACCTTAGAACTTTTAAACATATCAGAAAAAATTCCAATCTCTGCCTGCAAATTTATCCAATTTCAAACCATTAATAGAAGCAATAATCTTTTGTTGGAGAATATGAGCATCTAAGATAGATTGAGACAACTGATCAGAATTTTAATTTTATCTGTCACATCATCTTCATCATGTTAGCCATCTGAAGCATTAATCATTATCAAAATATGCAAACCACTGATCAACACTTATTCCAAGTTTCAAAACAGCAGGCTTAATTTTTCAGGTATGACCAGAATAATCTCCTATTTTCACAGTTATACATAATTACACACTCTGGATCCCTTCCTGGTTACTCACAACACTTATTCCAAGTTTCAAAACAGCAGGCTTAATTTTTCAGGGATGACCAGAATAATCTCCTATTTTCACAGTTATACATAATTACACACTCTGGATCCCTTCCTGGTTACTCACAACACTTATTCCAAGTTTCAAAACAGCAGGCTTAATTTTTCAGGGATGACCAGAATAATCTCCTATTTTCACAGTTATACATAATTACACACTCTGGATCCCTTCCTGGTTACTCACAACACTTATTCCAAGTTTCAAAACAGCAGGCTTAATTTTTCAGTGGGGGGCATGGGTGGCCCAGTCGTCTAAGGCGCCACGATTCGCTGTCCAGAGTTGCATCCCTTGGGCACGCCAGAAACCTATGATTGTGGGTTCGAATCCCAGTTTGCCCTGATTATGTTTCTAGGTTTGTCAGCACCATACCATGCTCGTGGGTTTCACCGAAGTGGTAAACGTCTGAGACCTGCATCACTTCGGGCTTTCATCACACATTAAGCTGACATGCCGTGATATAACTGAAATAATGTTAAAAGCGGCATTAAACCCAACTCACTCACTCACTTTTTCAGTGATGATCGGAGTAATCTCCCATGATCACAATTATACATAATGACACTCTGGATCCCTTCCTGGTCACTCACAATCTAATAAATCACTTTTTTATGTAACTATATCAAGACACCATTGTAACTGTGAATGAATGTATCATATAACATTCTTTCAGAAAGAGGAAATCTCCCGGAACCACGTGTCTTCTCAGTCGCGGAGGCGAGAACAGACAGTATTCAAGATGAGTGATGATGAAGAGCAGGAGGAGGATGTGGGCAAACTGATGCAGGATCTTGACGATTTTGACAAGAGCAAAGGCCATGCCTCTGACTCTGACTGAAACAAACCCTGTCATTGTCATGGCAACAGTTCACTGATAAACAATAACATATTCTAAGATTCATGTAAAATCTTGCTAGACAATATGGTTTATTTGAGTCTATAGTTGATCATTTTACTAATATATCATTTTATTGTCAAACAATTATCATAAAGACTTTAGTATGACCATTTTCAATTACCAGTATGAGTCATGTTATGATTCAAATTATTGTTTAATATTGTAAACAACTGACAGATGACTCATAGTTTACAAGGGGTAAGTTTTTGCAATACAACATGTATTGTGTGATACAAAATGTCATCCATATACCTTTGCTCTCAAAATGTGTTATCGTCATAATATGGCTGAAATATTGCTGATGTGTCGTTAAACTTAACTCACTCACTCAAAATGTGTTGAGAAGTTATGTCTATTTTGTAAGTGAGGGGAGTTCTGGTACAGTGCCTTTATTGTATATGTAAACATACGTTGTGAGCACTCTGAGCTACCTATGATCCCTAATGGGTTTTATCCACTGTGGAGTCAAGTCGGTTGTTCTGACACCCTAGTCTAGAAAGAGGCTTCGCCATTGTTAACACCCATTTATTTGAAATGGACATGTTGGTTTTTATTTCATTTTAACAGAGTTCAGCTGGTGTTGACTCTAACATTACTATTGGTACTTTGATTTACCAAATATTTGTTCCCAGTATTAGTTGAAAAAAATGCTATGTTCATAACATTTAGATGTAAGTATTGGATGATGATGTTGCTGCAATGGTCCATGAAAGGGACCTGTAGAAGATATTTATTTATCATGTACATTGATATCAATAATTTGATATTCATATAATATGTATATATGATGTAGATCAAACTTTGATCCCACAACAGTTTGTTTTGTTTGGATGTGTTCCTCATAGTGTGAAAGACTGACAGAATGTTTAATAAAAAAAATGAAACAAACAGTTTACTCTTGTTATTACTCAGGGACAACTGCCGCCTCTCATCTCAACAATGATGTCCACCACTTGTATAGAGGAATCTTTGTCAAATCACATACTCAATTCACTTCTCCTGGGGAGGCCAATTTTCCATAGTCAGGGCTGTAGGTTCCTGTGCACAGAGTTGTGTCCCTTAGGCGAGCCAGAAACTAATGATCATGGGTTCGAATCCCAAACTGTTACTGATTATGTTTCTAGGTTTGTCAGCACCACAATGAGACTTCCATCCTTCTCAGGCTTTCTTCCCACATTAAACTGACATGCCACACCTGAAATACTGTTCAAAACGGCCTTGAACCAAACTCACCCACTATGGGCGGATCAAGAGGTGGGTCCCGGGGGTTCGGACCCCCCTCCCTTTTGAAAACCAAATGCAGTAGTATGTTAAATTAGACACAATTTATGGATAACAACTTCTTTAAAACTGTAAAAAGCAACGTTTCGTTATAGATCCTTATACCTTGTCAAGCAAGACTGAATGAGGGACATTGTACAGAATATGTAACTTCTAAATAATGCCTATAAAACAATTCAACAGTAGTATGTTGTAGGCAGTAAAATTGACTGAGAGAGGATTTGGACACGCACGCATGCAGGCACGCACACACCAACCCCCCACCCTCCCCTACCCAACCCCTTTTAAAAATGCTGGATCCGCCCTTGCCCACCTCTCTCTTTGAAAGTATAATGTCACAAGTTCGCAGGTCCTTGACCTCCGGTATATGCTTCAATACATTCCAATAACAACATTATACTATTCCATATTCCAGATATTCCAATGTTACGAGCAGTATAGTACACATTACCAATTTCACTACTATTTTCAAATTACTTCATCAAGAGTATCCCCATATCCCCATATCACAAAAGACGGTGCCATGGTACTGTAGCTCACCTGGATAAGGTCATTTCCTGGGTGATTCTAGTTCAAATCAACAATATTTCCAGGTCATCTCACCTCACCAAATTCAATTTATTTTGCATTATAATAATGTCTTGATATAAAAACAAAACACATTTTGGTATTCATGTGATTTAATAAAATAAATACAAAATGTCTATAAAATTTGGCAAGTTATACAAACAGTGCAATATGCACTCAAAGAAACAAATCACATGAAATAAACATGATAAACATATCTTACTCTGCAATAGGTATCTGCATAGAACAAAATTAACTGGCATACATTCATCAAGATTTGGTCCACATCGTGCATATGTACATTTGTACTATAAACAGTAATATTAACAATAATAATTTTGTGAAGATATTTCCACAAAACTGTTTATTCTACCATTACCTTTCATGGCTCAATGATCATGACAATGTTTTTCACAACATATGGGGTTGGCTTTAAACTGATAGCGCCAAAACTAGGTGTGCTAGTGCTCGAAAATAGACTTGTGACATAACAGCGGATCTACGACTGCGGTCTCTCCAGGCAGCTGTCCATCAGATCACAGATGGCGGTGTGGTAGCCAAGTGGTTAAAGCGTTCGCTCGTCACGCCGAAGACCCGGGTTCGATTCCCGACATGGGTACAATGTGTGAAGCCCATTTCTGGTGAACCCCGCCGTGATATTGCTGGAATATTGCTAAAAGCGGCGTAAAACCATACTCACTCACTCACTCACTCAGATCACAGCTTATACACCGAAGGCATAATGAGTGTGGAATATTATAAGGGCAACATTATTTTTCAGATCATTTTCATTTGGGATATAGTTCATGGATATACAACGTTATTACAATTAAAGCAACATTACTTTTGTAACAAATGCTTTTAGTACAATTGTCATAAAGTTGGAAACATTAAACATGTTAAATGGATTAACTAAACATCTTAAATGGATTAACATGTTACACAGGATCCGAGAAGAGAATCGCCTAAATTCAAGAAAAAATGACACAGATCTATTTTTTCATCATCAAAAATTATAAATTTGAACATTATTTAGGGACTGGCAATTTATTACAGGAAGGGGGTCATAAAAAAAGTTACATGTATTTGGGGAGGCCGTGAAAAATTGTTACATTAGGGCAAGATATAGTTCCAATCCCACTGGCCTAAATGAATGAGACGATAATGACAGAATATTAACAGATGCAACTACGTATTGATAAACAACACTGGTGTAGTACTTACACAGACTAGATGATTGGATGAAAGTATCTTTGGCTTTGCACAGAAAGGATATTTAAATAGATCAGATAAAAATTACAACTGCTCCAAAAAGAAACACAGATAAAGTTACATGAGACCAACAGAAGGATAGGGAAATAATTTGTTCCAACAAAATCTGACAATGTTGATCATCTAATAGGTAAATAATTATCTGGTAATTGCCATCAGTATACATGGGCAATCAAGCATAGGGTACTGGGGACCTGTTCTCAAGAATCATCACGTGGAAATAAGCATGGGGTACTGGGGACCTATTTTGTACTTTGTGCAATGACAACAAAACAAGTAGTACGATAAAATACAAATTTATTAATATTTTGGCAAAATGGGGGCTGACTCGGTTGCTGCTAATGAGAATGATGATTTAGGAAGAGAGAGCCACAGAGAGGTGTCGGTGTCCTGGGGTCGAAGACCCGGACGACCTCTGCATTGTCCCGGGGTGCCCCTGACCCGGACTAGGGATATCCGGACCTGGGGTCACAGTGACCCGGTCATCCCTGGGGGTGCTCCTGCCCCAGACCAGGGATATCCGTACCTGGGGTCACCGCAACCCGGTCATCCCTGGGGTGCTCCTGACCCAGCCTAGGGATATCTGGACCTGGGGTCACCGCGACCCGGTCATCCCTGGGGTGCTCCTGACCCAGCCTAAGGATATCCAGAACTTGGGTCACCTCAACCCGGTCATCCCTGGGGTGCTCCTGACCCAGCCTAGGGATATCATTGGTACCTGGGGTCACAGCGACCCGGTCATATAATCTACAGGGAGACAAGCATGGGGTACTGGGGAAGAGAGAGATAGTCTTTGGCAAGTTGTCAACAAATACTAATTTGATCACATAAAATACAACAGACAACTTTGTCCAGCAAAAGACTGGGCCGTTTGTACAAGTGTCTGATTGAGACATAAATACTGATTGCCTGCCTATTGTCAAAGACACAAACATAAAACATATTGGCCAATAAATTACAACTGGTATTATAGATTCCTGTTGGAATTGTGCTCAACTGGATGATGTCCTTGCCATACTGAAACATGGCATTAACAAATCTGCAATTTCCAACCTGCCATTCACGGGTATAGTTAATATGTCAAAACTGGTCAAAAACCAAAATATAAATAAATACACTCCCTATATTCCAGCTATATAATCATGGAATAAATGTGAATAGCCCTACCTTGGAAATTTATAAAACCTATCCCACTATTCAGCACACAACACTAAAGTAAACATTTAGAATACCGGCACCACAATATAGCATGGAGGAAAACACCAGTTCATGTTCAAGAAGTTAACATGACAGATTAACTATAGTCCTATGAAAAAATTGTGTGTTCTGTAAATTCTTTTGAGTAGCATATGTCGTGTCTGGGTTGTGCCGGGAATCTGGTGTGATATTAAACACTAGTATGTCCAGTTAGACATGCTTCTCTTTATCAAATGCATGCAAGGGACACTAACATTTTGTAGATTAATTTTATGTTCTCATTAATTTCATAATTTACAGTAAATATCAGCATAATCAGACTTTCAGTACGGCTGTTGTGGTCATAAATATTTAAACAGAAATGACTTGAACAAACCTTTAGCAACCCCACTGATATGGGTTCATCCAAGTTTCAACGTCCTGCAGTTCAAGGGGTTTCAGGGGAGATAGTTATACGTAATAATTGAATTAACCGTTTGTACACAAAAAGTGCAGAAACTACACATGACTACATTAAAATGTTTATCTGTAGTTTCAATTGTGGGCAAGACACTTGTTACCCCATACACACACAGGTGTCATAGTGGCTCAGAGAGTCAATGAGTGATATCTTTTCAAACCATATTATGCAAGGGCGCAAGGCAGCCACAGCCTACACCAGGTATTGATGGTTCTTCTCTCTAGTTTGATAGGGCCCGTTATATAAACAAGCAGACAAGCAGAAGCGCCTATTTCACGTAGGCTTACACTAAACACAGCATTCACTGGTCCTCACGATCAAATGAAAACACACAGCAGACTATGTTGAAGTTTGATTGTTAAGTAGTCAAGTAAAATTGCTCAAGCCCAGATTGATATGCTGTAATTCGCATCACCTCCACCCATCACTCCATGCAACACACACTCAAAATGTTTTGCCACCCCTCCCCCTAAAAGTTTGCTGCTCAAAGTGAGAGTGGCACCAGTGTAATCTCCAGTCTCTCCATCTATTAACATTCTGTATCAGGTGGAGTCAAGAGCGAGATTTGTTTTTGTAGACGCATCGCTTGATCCAATCTACTATTCACAGCATTGTTAATACTTGATGAAATTATTCACTGTTTGATTCCGATCACTTTAATTAGGCTCTTTTAGGATGATTTAACTGTTCATAGTTAATACTGATTGAAAATATGTGATTAATACTGGCAAAAGATGTGAACGTGATAAAACATTACTATCCTGATCAGGTACTGCAATAAAAACCACACATCAAGATTTAAACCAAAACAAATTAACATGATTGTCAATTCCAAAATACCCACTAAAATTAGGAGCCGCAAATTTGAAAAGAAAGATATGCCAGACTTAAATCATAATAATGCATATGACATATGTTTCTTATCAACTGGATGATAATGCCTGTATAGTGTCCATCATTAAGCTGAGCTTTGATTGGCTGTTGCATAGTCTTGGACTGGTAGCATCCCCCGTGGTTGGTCCACGTTCTTAGGCACAGCGTGTGAGTATGTTCTGGGTGCTGATCCATAGGCACTGATGGGTCCAGACTGAAATTGATAGGAGTTCATATACATATATGAGAATCTTTCTGTTACCACAAACAAACATCGCATTTTTCACAAAACAGATAAACAAAAATACATTTGGAAAACAATATGTTTACGAACATTGAAACTCAGCCTTTACAAAATCTGTGAAGTCTAAGTTGTAGAAAACAATTGTAGTTGTTTTAAGTAAAAGTATGCACTTCTATTGATATTGGCCTAAAAATTATAAGGCTAAAAAAATAAATAGTCTTAGTTCTCAGGCACCGCCTGCATCATTATAAAGTCTGTCTCATGTTTCGTTTTTATTTCCATCCCTCCTCCCCCCACCCCCCTTAAAAAATCCTGATACTTAAAAACAATGCTATTCAATTTAGCATGCCCGCCCGCATTATATATTTTCAAAAGTCATTGCCCGAGAACCAATTCGTTTATTGTTTTTAAGCCTGACATTAATTTTGGGTATGTCGCATGCAAGGCACGGAGAACAGATCAAGATGTGACTGTACTTAAAGGAACATATCACAGTCACTGAACACAGTTGCTAGACACAGGCACGACAGAGTTGTCACAATCAAGAACACAGGAACACAGAACAGTACAAACAGTCCAGGATGGAGACTCATGGATGGATGGATGAAAGTTTTAACAGAGTTGATATACGTGTGTACAGGGATGAAAGTTTTAACGGAGCTGATATATGTATGTACTTTGGTCCGGGTCATACAGGGATGAAAGATTTAACGGATCTGATATATGTATGTACTTTGGTCCTGGTCATACAGGGATGAAAGATTTAACGGATCTGATATATGTATGTACTTTGGTCCGGGTCATACAGGGATGAAAGTTTTAACGGATCTGATATATGTATGTACTTTGGTCCGGGTCATACAGGAATGAAAGTTTTATCGGAGCTGATATATGTATGTACAGGGATGAAAGTTTTAAAGGAGCTGACATACGTATGTACTTTGGTCTGGGTCGTACAGGGATGAAAGATTTAACGGATCTGATATATGTATGTACTTTGGTCCGGGTCATACAGGGATGAAAGATTTAACGGATCTGATATATGTATGTACTTTGGTCCGGGTCATACAGGGATGAAAGTTTTAACGGATCTGATATATGTATGTACTTTGGTCCGGGTCATACAGGAATGAAAGTTTTATCGGAGCTGATATATGTATGTACAGGGATGAAAGTTTTAAAGGAGCTGACATACGTATGTACTTTGGTCTGGGTCGTACAGGGATGAAAGATTTAACGGATCTGATATATGTATGTACTTTGGTCCGGGTCATACAGGAATGAAAGTTTTATCGGAGCTGATATATGTATGTACAGGGATGAAAGTTTTAAAGGAGCTGACATACGTATGTACTTTGGTCTGGGTCGTACAGGGATGAAAGATTTAACGGATCTGATATATGTATGTACTTTGGTCCGGGTCATACAGGGATGAAAGATTTAACGGATCTGATATATGTATGTACTTTGGTCCGGGTCATACAGGGATGAAAGTTTTAAAGGAGCTGATATACGTATGTACTTTGGTCTGGGTCATACAGGGATGAAAGATTTAACGGATCTGATATATGTATGTACTTTGGTCCGGGTCATACAGGGATGAAAGTTTTAAAGGAGTTGATATACGTATGTACAGTGATGAAAGTTTTAACGGATCTGATATACATATGTACTTTGGTCCGGGTCATACAGGGATGAAAGTTTTAAAGGAGCTGATATACGTATGTACAAGGATGAAAGTTTTAAAGTAGCTGACATACGTATATACTTTGGGCTGGGTCATACAGGGATGGATGTTTAATTTGAGCTGATATATGTACGTACTTTGGTCTGGGTCATACAGGAATGAAAGTTTTATCGGAGCTGATATATGTATGTACTTTGGTCTGGGTCGTTACAGGGATGAAAGTTTTATCGGAGCTGATATATGTATGTACAGGGATGAAAGTTTTAACGGATCTGATATACATATGTACTTTGGTCCGGGTCATACAGGGATGAAAGTTTTATCGGATCTGATATATGTATGTACTTTGGTCTGGGTCATACAGGGATGAAAGTTTTATCGGAGCCGATATACGTATGTACAGGGATGAAAGTTTTAACGGAGCTGAGGTACCTGTGTACTTTAGGCAGGGTCATACAGGGATGAAAGTTTTAACGGAGCTGATATACGTATGTACTTTGGTCCGGGTCATACAGGGATGAAAGTTTTAAAGGAGCTGATATACGTATGTATAGGGATGAACGTTTTAAGGGATCTGTTATACATATGTACTTTGGGCTGGGTCATACAGGGATGGATGTTTAATTTGAGGTGATATATGTATGTACTTTGGTCTGGGTCATACAGGGATGAAAGTTTTATCGGAGCTGATATACATGTACGTATGTACTTTGGTCTGGGTCATACAAGGATGAAAGTTTTATCGGATCTAATATTTGTATGTACTTTGGTCTGGGTCATACAGGGATGAAAGTTTTATCGGATCTAATATACGTATGTACTTTGGTCCGGGTCATACAGGGATGAAAGTTTTAACGGAGCTGATATACGTATGTACTTTGGTCCGGGTCATACAGGGATGAAAGATTTATCGGATCTGATATACGTATGTACTTTGGTCTGGGCAGAGACCATATAATAGAGGGACGGCCCTCCCCAACAGTTTATCATAAACCATCAGCGCTACGGTCTGGCATGTAACTGATACACCCCGACACCCTGCTGTTAACCTCTCTGTACCACTGCAGATGCGCAATAGACGCGCAGACATTCACGACTGACCATTCTGGTAACCACGTAAACAGTATTATATAATATCCGGGGTTAGAGTTAATTCCCTTAGCCGAGATTTCTGCAACTACGACCAGCGACAATCCAATAAAAGGACGTCTCTTAGCGGATTAGAAAGATTTTTTTATGATATCTGTCATTAGCACATGTCAGTTGGCAGCAAATTATTTGCTGAACATGTGTGTCTTCCGGGACATTTATTTCAATTTACATTCGCCACAGCCATGGACGACTTCATTCACTTGGACGATTTCGTCTTGGACCTAGATATGCCCCTTGAAGAATTCTCTCTCTTCCAGGGGTTGGTTCGGATGACTCTTGGTCTTAATAGAATGACAGTGATGGTATCGCTACCAAGCCGTTGATAAATACCTCCCAAAAATATTCACTCAAAGAAATAGATAGGAAATGAAAATATGACGTCTGTCCACAAGCGTAAGTTTTCTAGGGCGTGTGAAGAAAAAGCCGTTCCGATATCAAAAGTATTTTATAACGTATTCTATTTGTTTTAAAAATCAGTTAATATATCTCATTTTATGCTTCAATTGTTAACTATTATAAATAAACAAATATACCAAATCTACTACAAACGCCACAGAAAACTACGATCCGGTAAATTGCACAGGAAGTGTAAATAAAACTCATCCAGAAGCAGGGAAGACACTTGTAACATATCACCATATTCCCGATGTTCACAAAATATATCTCCATATTAACTTCATATCTAAAATAATCTTATAATAAGTCCAGACTAGATTTACTTGCAAAAATGCATGATCACCGACTGGTGTAAATGCTTTACTATTAGCCAGAAAAAAAATGACGCCATATTAATGTTTTTATTTCATGTAAATTCGCTACTATTTTATAATGCTAATAGTTCCAATGAATTAGAAATACACATTAAACTACGAGCGTTGTTAAATGAATTTTCGATGTGTCCGACAATGGGCTTCGAAAGAATCAAAAGTTATTGGTTACTGCCAGTTTGGGGCTAGCAGTGATAATGGGGTTTGCCGGAGCGAGGTAAGTTTTTTATATAAATAATTATCAATATTTACACGGCATAAAATAAATAATTGATTAAATGTAGTCATGATTTATACAGACAAAATCTACAGAAGATAACAAATATGTAGTATTGTAGTATGTAGTATATGCGCGATATGTGATAAGGCCTAACTGAAACAAAGTTAAACTTACGAAGAAATGGCGAAAGCAATGGTAAAAAAAATACGCGTTTTACAAAAACAATTCTCATATCATACAATATAAGTCACTTTGTAGAATGTTTCAAAGGATATATGCGGATGATAATCACAGACAAAATGCATGTTATGTCGTCTGCTATATGGTAATTTAACTTAAAATATGTGACGTAAAATATGGTCTTGCGCCAAAAATCATACCAAAAAAACTACCGATCGTACCTAAATAACGTTGGTACAAAGCCATAGGGGAAATCGTGATGAATGTAAAACTATTAAATTCAGGACCGATAATAGGAACACATCCGTCTGAAAGCATGCGGAAATTAAGAGTTGTGGTGTAATTATTTCGGGAAAATTCAGATTTAGTCCCATTTCTGGAGTCAAAATCTGAAATTTCGGATCCGCCCCAAATTTGTTAATGGCACTAAGCCAATTTTTAACATATCTCCTCTTTATACACCTAGGTAACCAAGGACTTTCATTGCGAATTAGAGGCCGTTATTGAAAATCAAAATCTGCACTTTTGCCGATTTTACATGTGCGCCATTTTGTTCTCTCGGACAAGGACAAAGCGTGATCACAGTTATCAAATACAGTGACAACGACATGCTTTAGGGCACCAACAAATCTCAGTTGTAAGGTTAGCAATGTTAAGAAATACATGAGTGTAATTATGTATTGTGAAATATATCTTTTGCATGGGAAAAAAAGGCAACAACGATGACTGCAGTGAACGCGTTTCTGCTCGCTTCCGGCAGGCTGCGCAGTACAAGCGCGTAGCACTGATGGTTTCGCGCATAGGCTAGAGGGCCGTCCCTCTATTATATGGTCTCTGGTCTGGGTCATACAGGGATGAAAGTTTTATCGGATCTGATATATGTATGTACTTTGGTCTGGGTCATACAGGGATGAAAGTTTTATCGGAGCTGATATACGTATGTACAGGGATGAAAGTTTTAACGGATCTGATATACGTATGTACTTTGGTCCGGGTCATACAGGGATGAAAGATTTATCGGATCTGATATACGTATATACTTTTGTCTGGGTCATACAGGGATGAAAGTTTTATCGGATCTGATATATGTATGTACTTTGGTCTGGGTCATACAGGGATGAAAGTTTTAACGGAGCTGATATACGTATGTACTTTGGTCCGGGTCATACAGGGATGAAAGTTTTAAAGGAACTGATATACGTATGTATAGGGATGAACGTTTTAACGGATCTGTTATACGTATGTACTTTGGTCCAGGTCATACAGGGATAAAAGTTTTATCGGATCAGATATACGTATCTACTTTTGTCAGGGTATGTGACTTACTCGGGACTTGCTCATTGATTGATGAAAGTTTTAAGGGAAGCAGCATCTAATATTTTTGATGTACATGTACTCAGGACTTGCTCATTGATTGATGAAAGTTTTAAGGGAAGTAGCATATAACATATTTGATGTACTCGGGACTTGCACATTGATTGATGAAAGTTTTAAGGGAAGTAGCATCTAATATATTTGATGTACTCGGGACTTGCACATTGATTGATGAAAGTTTTAAGGGAAGTAGCATCTAACAGATTTGATGTACTCGGGACTTGCACATTGATTGATGAAAGTTTTAAGGGAGGTAGCATCTAACATATTTGATGTACTCGGGACTTGCTCATTGATTGATGAAAGTTTTAAGGGAAGTAGCATATAACATATTTGATGTACTCGGGACTTGCTCATTGATTGATGAAAGTTTTAAGGGAAGTAGCATCTAATATATTTGATGTACCGGTACTCAGGATTTGCACATTGATTGATGAAAGTTTCATGGAAAATAGCATCTGATATACTCTGCAATCAGAGACGGTAGTCAATATTCCAGCATTCATACAGGAGTCTGCACTGCACTGACACACTTCTGTCAACATTACCCAATAAGCAAAGGTGAGATTCCTACGAGTGTTTCACTACGCCAGCTGGTCATATCTACGTGATGGGTCTAGCATTCAAGAAGCTCTAATATCAGGCCTAACAAACAAATACAGATTACAAATGTGTGAAATGTCCACACTATTCAACTATTTGGCACAAAAGTTAACAAAAGCACAATTATCTGAAGACACTGCTCCCTAATATTACTCTTAAATGAGCTGCGATATTCAAGAAAGCATCCTCTTATCAGAACAGAAATGTCATTTAATTGAACAGATTAAAATGTGATTTATTGTTATTCTGTATGTCCCTTATGAATTGTAGTGCATATTATTTGCATCAGTTCAAACAATTAATGCATATAGGATACAACTATTTATGCAAATAGGATGCAATATTTATGTAAATAGTATTCAATATTTATGAAAATAGATTACAATATTTATGCAAATAGTATGCAATATTTAAGTAAATAGGATGCAATATTTATGCAAATAGTATGCAATATTTATGCAAATAGGATGCAATATTTATGCAAATAGTATGCAGTATTAATGCATATAGGATGCAATAATTATGCAAATAGGATGGTGTCAACCATGTTGCTACCCAACAAATTTCTTATGCGGGACACTGACATAATATTTTGCACTAAGTCTACAGAATACCATGCCTTTCTCTGTTATTGCATGTAAGTGCCATATTGTGGACATTCTGTTCATCTTAAGTCTGTTAATTGTTTGGTCTGCCTGACTACAAGGGCACAGCAAGTAAGCTTTAATCCATCCAAACACAGCTACCCTATCGTTGTATACCACTCTCCAACGTAAGCTCTCCTCAAGGCTATGTTGCTGGCGCTTCTCAAACACAAAGTCCTGGGCTCGGCGAGCTGCTGCCCGCGCTAGGACCTGGTTCTGAGGAGAAAGATATGAAATGGGTGAGTGAGTGAATATTGTTCTATGCCATGGAGTAATACTCAAGCTATATCACCCTTGGGCCAGGCAAAGTAGGGGCTGACTGCATGAGCAAACAGTCCATGTTGTTGGGGCATTCTGCCAGGTCAAACACTATAACCCCCGTTTCTTGGTATAGTTCTCTCTGCAAGTTGTGCTAGGAATCTCCATAGGTAGCACCTGATACTGAGGAAATACTTTCATGATAAGAAGAAAAACCATTAAGCCATGACCTGTGGATGAAATTAACTTCATGTATCTTCGACAGCCATCTATTGGAATGTCTACATATAATAATATACTACTGTCACTACAGATCTAAACATGCAAAAACAATGGAAGGTACTAATGAACTGCTGTGGCGTTACACTTCTCCCAGTTCTTCAATGACAGCACCTGAGTCTTCCCCTTTCAATGACAGCACCTGAGTCTTTCCCTTTCAATGACAGCAGTGTTACCTGAGTCTTCCCCTTTCAATGACAGCAGTGTTACCTGAGTCTTCCCCTTTCAATGACAGCAGTGTTACCTGAGTCTTCCCCTTTCAATGACAGTAGTGTTACCTGAGCCCTCATCTTTCAATGACAGCACCTGTATCTTCCCCTTTCAATGACAACACCTGCGTCTTCCCCTTTCAATGACAGCAGTGTTACCTGAGTCTTTCCCTTTTAATGACAGCAGTCTTACCTGAGTCTTCCCCTTTCAATGACAGCAGTGTTACCTGAGTCTTTCCCTTTCAATGACAGCAGTGTTACCTGATCCTTCCCCTTTAAATGACAGCACCTGAGTCTTCCCCTTTCAAAGACAGCAGTGTTACCTGAGTCTTCCCCTTTCAATGACAGCAGTGTTACCTGAGCCTTCCCCTTTCAATGACAGCAGTGTAACCTGAGTCTTTCCCTTTTAATGACAGCAGTGTTACCTGAGTCTTCCCCTTTCAATGACAGCAGTGTTACCTGAGCCTTCCCCTTTCAATGACAGCAGTGTTACCTGAGTCTTTCCCTTTTAATGACAGCAGTCTTACCTGAGTCTTCCCCTTTCAATGACAGCAGTGTTACCTGAGTCTTTCCCTTTCAATGACAGCAGTGTTACCTGATCCTTCCCCTTTAAATGACAGCACCTGAGTCTTCCCCTTTCAATGACAGCAGTGTTACCTGAGCCTTCCCCTTTCAATAACAGCAGTGTTACCTGAGCCTTCCCCTTTCAAAGACAGCAGTATTACCTGAGCCTTCCCTTTCAAAGACAGCAGTGTTACCTGAGCCTTCCCCTTTCAATGACAGCAGTCTTACCTGAGCCCTAATCTTTCAATGACAGCACCTGCGTCTTCCCCTTTCAATGACAGCAGTGTTACCTGAGCCTTTCCCTTTCAATGACAGCAGTGTTACCTGAGCCCTCATCTTTCAATGACAGCACCTGAGTCTTCCCCTTTCAATGACAGCACCTGAGTCTTCCCCTTTCAATGACGGCACCTGAGCCTTCCCCTTTTAATGACAGCAGTGTTACCTGAGTCTTCCCCTTTCAAAGACAGCAGTGTTACCTGAGTCTTCCCCTTTCAAAGACAGCAGTCTTACCTGAGCCCTAATCTTTCAATGACAGCACCTGCGTCTTCCCCTTTCAATGACAGCAGTGTTACCTGAGCCTTTCCCTTTCAATGACAGCAGTGTTACCTGAGCCCTCATCTTTCAATGACAGCACCTGAGTCTTCCCCTTTCAATGACAGCACATGAGTCTTCCCCTTTCAATGACGGCACCTGAGCCTTCCCCTTTTAATGACAGCAGTGTTACCTGAGTCTTCCCCTTTCAAAGACAGCAGTGTTACCTGAGTCTTCCCCTTTCAAAGACAGCAGTCTTACCTGAGCCCTCATCTTTCAATGACAGCACCTGCGTCTTCCCCTTTCAATAACAGCAGTGTTACCTGAGGCTTCCCCTTTCAATGACAGCAGTGTTACCTGAGCCTTCCCCTTTCAATGACAGCAGTGTTACCTGAGTCTTCCCCTTTCAATGACAGCAGTGTTACCTGAGTCTTCCCCTTTCAATGACAGCAGTGTTACCTGAGGCTTCCCCTTTTAATGACAGCAGTGTTACCTGAGTCTTCCCCTTTCAATGACAGCAGTGTTACCTGAGCCATTCCCTTTCAATGACAGCAGTGTTACCTGAGTCTTCCCCTTTCAATGACAGCAGTGTTACCTGAGTCTTCCCCTTTCAATGACAGTAGTGTTACCTGAGCCCTCATCTTTCAATGACAGCACCTGTATCTTCCCCTTTCAATGACAACACCTGCGTCTTCCCCTTTCAATGACAGCACCTGAGTCTTTCCCTTTCAATGACAGCAGTGTTACCTGAGGCTTCCCCTTTTAATGACAGCAGTGTTACCTGAGTCTTCCCCTTTCAATGACAGCAGTGTTACCTGAGTCTTTCCCTTTTAATGACAGCAGTCTTACCTGAGTCTTCCCCTTTCAATAACAGTGGTGTTACCTGAGCCCTCATCTTTCAATGACAGCACCTGCGTCTTCCCCTTTCAATGATAGCACCTGCGTCTTCCCCTTTCAATGACAGCACCTGTGTCTTCCCCTTTCAATGACAGCACCTGAGCCTTCCCCTTTCAATGACAGCAGTGTTACCTGAATTTTCCCTTTCAATGAGGGCAGTATTACCTGAGCCTTCTCCTTCTGGAATCGTTTGACGACATCTTCCCGTGACATGCGACATGTTTCCAGCTCATGCTGCAACAAATATCACCATAAGTGTCACTAATCAGCCAATCAAAACACCCGCGGCCACATGCGGCTACTCAAAACAACAATAAACAATTGAAGGTAAGTGATTATAACTGGATCCCATTTGACCCCACTCAACACCCTCAATTTACAATAGTAAAACAGTGATTAAGCTATAGCCTTTGAAGAGGATTAATTCTGTTTTTAAATGCAACGACTTCAGAGGAAATTCAGTCGAAATATTGATAGCAAACTACGGTTATAAGGAACTAAAATTAGTGGTCCCTTTGAGTTCGTTATAACTGTAGTTAGAAAGAGATGGGGTGGCTGTACATAGGATGGGTCATTTGACATTTACCGTATTTGACATGATATGCGCCCAGGGCGCTCTCAAAATTAGAATGAGGGGGCTCTTATTAGAATATTATTTTGGTGAAAAACAGCAGAGTTGAAAGATTGTAAATTTTGTGGTTTATGCTGACAGCCTGATATGTTTATATACGACAGATATATTTTTCCAGAATTTAATTGCCCATAATTAAGGGTGCATATAACAAACATATTATGCACAAATAAATAAGTCTTGTGTACATTGATCAATCGGAAGGGGTGCCAATAAGGATTGTTCACTAGCAAGTATATTAGTAAATATCGCCGTGGGCGCTTATTAGAGCAGGGCACTTATTATGTCGAATACGGTAAACAGTAATTCAACAGTTATGCTTAATCTATTTAGTTTCCTCTTATGACAAGCATGGGTGGGTTAATTGGAACTACACAACAGTCAAACAGTCATTCAACAGTCAAACCATCATTAAGCAGTCATTCATCAGTCAAACGGCGAATACACATACTAGTATACTGTCTCTGTCAGCCATTGCATGTTTGGTTTTCTTCAAAAGGATTGCGTTGTCCTGACGTAACTTGACAATCTCCTGCCTTAGAGACTCATTCTCATCCACCAAACTCTGAAAATGACGATAAAAGCTGTTTATTCAAGTTAATTCAAGTAAATCTTCTGTAAGTAATCACGTGATTGACATCATGAGCATCAACCTAGGGAACTGGGACACGATGACATGCATCAACCAAGTCAGTGAGTCTGAATACCCAAACAGCGACAACAATGTTAGCCGGATATAGCTCTTTCAGATGTAAGACACACATCTCATTAATTTTTACAAATAACAAAACTGTAAAACTGACGAACACAACCTCATTTTTCCGGATGACATCGTTGACTCTCACATTGTTTCCCAAGAGAGTGGAAGAGTTGGATATCTTGTGGCGTCCAGAGATGGACGGCATGGTCAGTCTGTCCGTCTCTTCACGGTCATCGGGGCGTGGGGATAGTGCCTTTCCACGGTTCCGCTGCCGTTCCTGATCATACAGGTCTTTGTATCGGAATGCCAGTCTGTTGGCCTTAGCCAGCTCCTCATCAAACGCCTTCAACTTCTTGTCAGCTGAAACAGTGCACAACAACAAACTGTAGTATACAGGTGACAAGTGACTGCAAGACTGTACAATAACACTTTTGTATACCACACAGGCAACAGGTGTCCGGAACACCCAGTTTTCAACACCATCAACATCCACCCAGGCAACAGGTGTCCAGAACACCCTGTTCTCAACACCATCAACATCCACCCAGGCAACAGGTGTCCATAACACCCTGTTCTCAACACCATCAACATCCACCCAGGCAACAGGTGTCCGGAACACCCAGTTTTCAACACCATCAACATCCACCCAGGCAACAGGTGTCCATAACACCCTGTTCTCAACACCATCAACATCCACCCAGGCAACAGGTGTCCATAACACCCTGTTCTCAACACCATCAACATCCACCCAGGCAACAGGTGTCCAGAACACCCAGTTCTCAACACCATCAACATCCACCCAGGCAACAGGTGTCCAGAACACCCAGTTCTCAACACCATCAACATCCACCCAGGCAACAGGTGTCCGGAACACCCAGTTCTCAACACCATCAACATCCACCCAGGCAACAGGTGTCCAGAACACCCAGTTCTCAACACCATCAACATCCACCCAGGCAACAGGTGTCCAGAACACCCAGTACTCAACACCATCAACATCCACCCAGGCAACGGGTGTCCAGAACACCCAGTTCTCAACACCATCAACAACTGCCCGGGCCACAGGTGTCTAGAACACCCAGTTCTCAACACCATCAACATCCACCCAGGCAACGGGTGTCCAGAACACCCAGTTCTCAACACCATCAACAACTGCCCGGGCCACAGGTGTCTAGAACACCCTGTTCTCAACACCATCAACATCCACCCAGGCAACAGGTGTCCAGAACACCCAGTACCAAACATAACGTCACATAAACACAGACAGGTTGCATTAGAGCTGTTGCTATTCTGACACACAGCATTTGGCACTTACTTTCCTTGGCCTTCTTCTCGAACCTGCTGAGGAGCTTGACCACGTTGGTGTGGGAGAGGTTGGACTCCTCCTGCAGCTTCTGGTTCTCGTTGTGGAGATGCTTCACCTCCACAATCTTCTCATGTAAAGTGATCTCTGCTCGTAGCTTGGAGTTCTGAGCCTCCACATTCTTCATCATCTGCGCCTTTAACTCATACGCCATCTCCGACTCTTCCGGGTCCAGCCTCCCTCTGGGGACATCATCAACATTATCTGCTAGGTGAATAGTCTCTTGATAACAGCCAGCCAGTGGAATATTCCTTATAATCCTGAGATTCTTCTTTAATGGATGCTGCTGCCTTAATTTATTTTTTTAATCAAAATAACTGAAAATAGTGTGCTTGATATGAAATGATTTTACATTCGACATAAATTCTATCTCACTTTTGTCTTGGGGCCTTTTCTTTACTGACATTGGTGTTTGGTGTGGTCAGGTCTCTCTGTGTCTGTCCCACCTTCTCCTGGAGCTGTGACAAAAACATTACTGTATTTAATGTTATCAATGCACCATCTCCTGTAGCTTTGACAATAACATTACTGTATTTAATGTAATTAATGCACCATCTCCTGTAGCTTTAACATGAACATTTAATGTAATTAATGAAATCTTTCCTGGAGCTTTGACAAGAACATTACTGTATTTAATGTAATTAATGCAACATCTCCTGGAGCTGTGACAAGAACATTACTGTATTTATCGTAATTAATGCACCATGTCCTGTAGCTTTCACAAAATATTTAATGTAATTAATAAAGTCTTTCCTGGATCTGTGAAAAGAACATTACTGTATTTAATGATGTTAATGCACCCTCTCCCACAGCATCCTCTCCTAGCAATATTTGTTTGTTTGTGGTTTAACGCCACACTTAGCAATATTCCAGCTATGTAACGGTGGTCTGTAAATAATCGAGTCTGGACCAGACATTCCAGTGATTGATAATGCAACCAACGTTCCACACCGATGACACGCATCATGGGCATCGGTCTACCCAATTGGGATACGATCACATGCATCAACCAAGTCAGCGAGCCTGACCACCCGATCCCGTTAGTTGACTATTGCACAGTCACCTTTTATGGCAAGCATCATAGGTTGCTGAAAGCCTATTCTACCCCATATCTTCACAGGTCTCCTGGCAACGTGTTACCTCTACAGCAGCTCTTCAGTTCATGATAAGATGACAATCATTGATTCTGGCAATATTCTTTAACCTGAAATATTGATAACAATGACAGCGACTTTCCTGCCTAACTCACAGTGACAGCCCGCCTAACTCACAGTGACAGTCCGCCTAACTCACGTTCTCCAGTAGCTTGATGGCTTCATCCAGCTGTTTCCCTAGGCTTTCCTTCACCTGGGCACAGTCTTTCTCTTTCTTGGAAGACTCAAGTTTTTTCAAGTTATTTTGAATAGATTTATTTGTTTCTGATAGTTTCTGGAATTGATCTTGAAAAGTCTGAAAAATGAAAACTATGCTATGACACACAGCTATTGATACATCTATCATGTTCACTGCTCAAATACTGCTAGGGATGCCTGCTGTCTGTCCAGGATCACTCAGTTCTTGTGACACAACATGGATTCTCTTCAAAGACCACAGCTTTACGGGGGTTTTGATTAACATTGTGAAACACAAAGAAAGTATCATATAGAATAGTCACTTTACCAGTGTACAATTTTGCATTTCAATATTCACCTTCATCAACCCAGAAAAGACATAGAACATTCTAAATCACAACTAATTTAACCCTTGTACTGTTGGAAATGCTAGACAAAAGCTTTTTGCCCATTATCTTAATTGCTATCCACGTCAACGCATATCTCAATAAAGTAACAGCAATATTTTGAGATTCCCCCCAACTCAGGTGCCACTTGCACCTGTGAGAATGCACGGGCCTGTGTGAGGTCATCACCTCAGGACAGGTGTTAGGTAATTAGGCTACAGGCCGTTTCATACATGCATGACAACATGCCATTAATGTCTAAGTTTATTATCATATTACCTTTAAAAGTACCTTTTTAGGCTAATCACAGTTCCAGTTAGGATAGGGTACATTCGGTATTTTTGTGTTGTTTTGATATATACTATTTTCATACCCTATGATTCATATTTATTAAATGAAGCCAGAAAGCATTTTTCTAGCATTTCTCACAGTTCTTCAGTCAGTTTGTGATGCAACCTGCACTCATAATTATTGTATGAATTCATTTTAACCTCTTTAAATTCATGTCACATGAAAATTCAAGGACATGGTAAAGAGACAGCTTTGTCTTATTAGTTTTACTGAAGTCCCGAGCAGTCCTTGAGCAGTGTACACACACCGTTTAAGGAAACTTTCCGTGGTTGTCAAACATAAAGCTTTATATGACACAGCACACACAATGAACAATGTTTTTCTATGTATCTAGCTACTAAAACAAGGATTTGCCCTAACTGAAAAAAACACACAGCATAAATCATAGGTACATATTTAAGCATATTCAGGGAATAAATTACATTACAATACAAACATTTTATGCAAATAGTTTTCAATTGAATGTCTATTAAAACAAAATTCAATGTATACTCTTCAATTGAATTTTTTTATTTATGAACACTTTTCATGCCAAAGAGAATAACACTGTATACAGAGAAAATGAGATATGTCAAGATATATTGACGAACATGAATAAATACTATTGAGTTTATACAACCACTCCCACACTTTAAGTACAATGGTGTACGTGACATGAATTGCAAATAGCTGCAGCAGTAGTATTGTGCAAATTGCTACACTACAATTGAAAAGATTATAAAATTTACAAACGGCAGCCAAACCAAACACAAAAGAATGACAACTTATGACAACCTTCCATGAATCTTTTGTTGACATTTCGGTCTACTGACGGAGGTTACAATTTCGTTTTGTGAACTTTAACAAAACATATGCAGATTTCAGAATAGATTTGTTTACACGGTCGGGAAGGACAACAGTTCGGCAAATAGTGCCAAGGGGAAGTTACTCTAACATGTTTTGTCACTGAGAATACCGCTGTTAAAAATATTCGTTTGCGATGGGCGTCATACAACTCAAACAAAACATTATATATTCCTAATTTGTTAATATCTTCCAACAGTGTAAATCAATGGTTATTTCACTCTAACCTGAATGACTGAAGGTGTAATATCTGATTTGCAAAAGACTTTATGTGGCCGGGTTGTTTACGTACACTAGCGGTATTTCGGGTGCAGGCTATTTACACAACAGTACTTCCGGCGTCCTTTGGGTATTTTGATAGCGAGAGAACTATTCTTTTCTTGTGTGGGTAGTCTGTGTACATACGGAATTGTGACGCTGCAGTGTAATGAGATTGATGAGTACAGCATAATCTATTTTGTGATTGTATTAGTGTGGCAGTGAAGTACCGGGTTATAGCGAAAACGGTGTGTAAATACGGTCTGTATTAGTATCAGCCTGGTTCCCTGGGTATGCTGCGCTGGCGCTACACTGGCGCCAGCGCAGCATACCCAGGGAACCAGGCTGTATTAGTATATGGTGTCACTCCATGATCAGTGATGATACCAAGATAATTATACTCGTTGACGATTTCATTTTATTACTACTTAATTTAAATCAATTTAGTATTAGTATATGGTGTCACTCCATGATCAGTGATGATACCAAGATAATTATACTCGTTGACGATTTCATTTTATTACTACATAATTTAAATCAATTTCCTTTTTCAGAAGTCTATAATTTCGTTATAGTTTTCGTTCTATTCAGGCATACGTATGTTAAGTGATCTCATACCAGTATACCATTGCAGACTTGGTAAGGGCGTCGCTGTCCGTCTGCCAACTTGACCATGAAACAATCATTTACAACATTCCAACACACATTAGTATAAAGGATAAATTACAAGCTCCGAGGTGCATCTGTGTCCAGTACGTTGTTGTGAGTATCTCATGGAGTCCAGTAGATTAGAGCGTCTGTTCGGAAAGCCGTTGGTTCAATTCCCTGTCGCGTCATACCAAAAGACATTACAAGATAAGGTACTTGTTGTTAACCTGCCTAGCGCTAGGCAGTAAGGGGTAAACATGGACTGGACGGCTCAGAGTCAGAACACTGTGTCGGCGTTGGGTATCCATGTTAAACTGCGGCTTGATATCTTAGTTTGCGAGCACTATAAAACCGGCACTAGTCTCACTGTTACAAGACACCACACACATGCATGCACGTTTCTTTATAAGTGCAATAATTGTGAACGCGACCTTAAACCCCTTTTCACCTAACCTATGATTTTTCGGATTCTTACCTAACCAACATGGATATCGTCAATGTTGTGCTATACGTGGCTGGCATATTTGGGAAATATGAAATAGTGAAAAACTAAACATATCTCATCTTGCAAAAAGGTAATTTAAATATAGAAAGATCAACTAGGAGGTTTGTTGGAAATATATCTGTGCATAATCTCTGCCCGGCTTGTTCCTGATGTGTCTTCGACCCGTGAAGATTCCGGGGTAGAATAGGTCTTCAGCAACCCATGCTTGTCGTAAAAAGGCGACTATGCTTTTCGTAAAAGGCGACTAACGGGATCGGGTGGTCAGGCTCGCTGACTTTGTTGATACATGTCATCGATCCCAATTGCGTGGATCGATGCTCATGATATCAATCACTGGATTGTCTGGTTCAGACTCGATTATTTACAGACCGCCGTCATATAGATGGAATATTGCTCAGTGCGGCGTTAAACAACAAACCAACCAACCTGATGTGTCTTCACTTAAGCATCTCTTCATATCATATATTCCATATTCTGACCACCCCGGCTAACAGCACACTTCGCAATTCAATAACCCGATTGGGATCCATGGTCAGACTAGGTATTTACAGCGTAATTTACTCTTATTATTCCCCAATTTCGTTATTTCAGAGTGAATGAGTGAGTGTGGGAATGTTTGTTTTTCGCCGCATGCAGTCAACAGTATTCCAGCTCAATCACGACGGCCTGTAATTAGCAGTGGTTCAGTAACGGGATACGATCACAAACAATGCGACAGGTCACAGTGCAACCACCCGATCCCCAAAGCGGCACTGTGTCCCCGATTCACCACGGGGGGAACTCTGAATAGGCGGTAATACCCGCCCTGTGGAGTTGTTGCCTCGTAAATAACCCAACATACAGTTGACTACGACATGTGTCTTATCGATAATCATTTTTCTACTGGCCGTGTATGTAATGATCATAATCATATATATAATCAATAAACATACCTTTCGCCATTTGATTAGTGCATGGTACTCGTCAACTGATATAACGGTACATGATTATATGTAAACCCATTCAAGAGATATATATTTCAGAGTTGCTGGTTTTAAATTTGAAAAGAATCCATGAAGTAGTTTTCTAGTTATCGGGCGCACAAATGTTTAAGTAAAAAACATTCTCAGTCAAAAAATGAAAAATAGCTGCATTTATTTTTCAGAGATCCAAATATTGAAAACAAACTTCGCACTGCTTCTCTCATGTTGGTATAGAAACTGTACCTCCAACTGGAAAAGAATCCATTCAGTATAAATAAATCTTAGTTCACAACATGAAAAACATTCATATTTCTTTAGAAATTACTCAAATAAAAATATAACTTTGCACTGCACCTCTTCCATTAGTATGGAAACTGTTCCCAAAATTTGAAAACATATATAGTTCGCAAAAATGTTTGGGTAAAAACATTCTAAGTAAAAAATGAAAGAAAAGCTGCATTTTTTAAAGAAAATCCAAATATTTAAAATTACACTTCGCACTGCACCTCTCCTATGGGTATAAATAGTGTTCACCAAGTTTGAAAAGAATCTTTGAAACAGTTTTCAACTTATAGGTCGCACAAAACATTTCCTCGGAAGGACAGACGGACGGACGGTATTCCTTGGTATAACTAGTATTCCCTCATGAGACGCACTGGTAATGTTTGTTGTGACTGTCTAATGTCGAGTGTGGTAATATTGAACCAAGGTCCACCGCGTCTCAGTTTCCGGCATCCTCTCAACTCTGGCTTTGGGGTGGTCGTAAGGCGGAGGACGGATCAATCCATTTCTGGTGTGCATGAGTGCCTTCAATGAAACGCTACAGTCGTAATATGCATATATGGAAGTCTTAAACTGATCAGTTAATGTGCATCATTCTGAATTGTAGTTTGTTGGTTTGTTTGTTGTTTAACGCCACACTCGGCAGTATTCCAGCTATATGACGGCGGTCTGTAAATAATCGAGTCTGGATCAGACAATCCAGTGATTGACATCATGATGATCGATCCACGCAATTGAGATACGATGACATGCATCAACCAAGTCAGCGGAAAACGGACGGCTGACGGAAGGGTGGGCATGCTGATCGCTTTATGCCCCCGTTTGTTTAAAAAAACGGGTGTGGGGTGGGGTGGGGTGTGTGTGTAATAATGTGGCTTTGATAACGTAATAATGATAACGACGGTGATGCAGCAACAATGTTGACTTTATGGGGGCGGTAGTTCATATATTCTGACGCTGATATTAATGATAATAAAGCTTGTGATCCAAACATTGTGATGACGACATTGGTGATGATGATGATGATGATGATGATGATGATGATGATGATGATAGCAAAATAATGATGATGCAAGTGCTGACCAAAAAGACGTTTTACATACTCTGATTTTGCCTTGTACCCTGGGCGAGTCTTTCTCGGGATGTTTTTCCGCTGCCCTAGGTGTAATGGTTGTTTGTACTTTTCTCCTCTGTCTCATCCGCTCCTTCTCCAGGTTATCCTGACCTTCCTTCCATTCTTTAGCTCGCTTCTTGTGGTCCTTTATTCGGCCCCGTAACTTCTCCTGTTGCAGTAATAAAATCGACATAAGCCTCAATATATCCTTCATTCGTTTCCTTAATGATCCCATGTGTGCGCGCGTGTGCATGTGCGTGTGCGTGTGCGTACAACAAAACAAAATATCCAGAAATGCAGGTAACATCTGTTGAATACGACGATGTTAATTATACAATTAAATGATTTATTTCTTGAACCAAAGTCAACTTCAGTTTATTTCGGTTACTACCCTTTGGGCTCCATGAAGACTTATCTAAGCTCACCGCCTCCGTGGTCTAGTGGTAGAGCGTCCGCCCGGAGAGCGGAAGGTCCGGGGTTCGATCCCCGGCCGCGTCATACCAAAAGACGGTAAAAGATGGTACTTGTTGTTACCCTGTCTGGCGCTCGGCATTAAAGGGGCTTAAACAAGGACTGGTCGGCTCGGAGTCAGTATACTGTGTCTGAGTGGGGTATTCATGTTAAACTGCGGCATGGTATCTCAGTGAGCTAGCACTATAAATCGGCATCAGTCCGGACTAGTACAAGCAGCCACACAAACACACACACGTACATGCACGTCGCTATATAAGTGCAATAATCTTGGACGCGACGTTAAACCCCACTTCACCTCACCTCACTTATCTAAGCTCACCTGGATATCCTGGTATGTGGGTCCTTCTGCAGCAGGTGCTCGGTATGAATGGTTACCTGTGAAGTAGTGTAATATTTGGCATGCAGAGTATATCATACTCTCTACTTTATATCAGTACTGTACCCAACATTGAAGCGATGATACCGCTTTATTACCGGTTAGTTTCTTTTACAGTAAAAGTAAAGGATTGCCGTATTTCCTCTAGTATGGACAGAATGAGCTGCAGCTTTTTAGTTCAACCCATAACATTTAAATCCCAAGTCAGTTTGTATATGTTTGTAATTCATCTACTCTTAAGGTAATAAGATCAAGGTGAAATTAATCGATGTCCAGGTTCTCATATAAGGATGGGGCACGGATGGTCCAGTCGTCTAAGGCGTCGCATGTCGCTGTGCAGTGTTACGTCCCTTGGTCACGCCAGGGGTGGTCGGGTAGCCTGGTGGTTAAAGCGTTCGCTTGTCACGCCGAAGACCCGGGTTCGATTCCCGACATGGGTACAATGTGTGAAGCCCATTTATGGTTCCCCCCGCCGTGATATTGCTGGAATATTGCCAAAAGCGGTGTAAAACCATATTCACTCACTCACTTGGTCACGCCAGAAATATATGATTGTGGGTTCGAATCCTGGTTCGCCCCGATTATGTTTCTAGGTTTGTCACCAAAGTGGAAAACGTATGAGACCCGCATCATTTCGGGCTTTCCTCCCACGTTAAGCTGACACGCCGTGATATAACTGGAATACTGTTAAAACCCAACACACTCAATTATATAAGGACAATTTGATCGATGTTACATCCATTTGAACGACATCTGAAAATGTTGCTAAAATAATATGTTTATTTATCACGATTAGTATTATTTACATCGCCAGACACTCACAAAAGCTTACCGTAATCCGGCTGATCCTTGAACCATTTTCGCAAACTCATCTTCCTAAATTTGGGAGCCTGTGGACAAAGTACAATTTTGTGAACTTGAGCAGTTTCAATATTATATCTTAAAGATCGATAAGGTTAGTAAACAAAAGCGCTGCCAGAAAATGGGAGCGTAAAAAACCCACACGTTGATATTCACGGACCAAATAGAGAGTTGTTCTACGGTCAGTAAATTATTCAAGTCGTGCAGTGTCCAGATACGCGAGTTAATGTTGGATTTTAACGCCGCTTTGAACAGATCGTGTCACATTAATGTGTGTGTGCGTGCATGTGTGTGTGTATGTGTGTGTGTGTTACAAGAAGGATTTCGTGTCGTTAAGAATGTATCAAACAAAAATTGTGATGTACGATCACTATATTTGGTAAGGTTATATATACCCATAAACATATTTATGCAATAAACATATCTGATCCTTCGTCAACCCACTCCTGTCTGATACATTTATGCCTGCTTAGATACGTCGGCATAGAAGAGTCCAAACTAAACGACTATGCATAGTAACCAAGACTTTGTAAACAGTGGAATGTACAAGGCCGTTATTTTCACAGAAAGGAATGCTGTACAATACAACACAACACGGGGTTGTTTGTACTCCTAGCTACTTTCGGTTTGAGAGGTTCACATATTATATGCCTTACCTAACACACTTGATCAGCGTTAGTGAATATATTAATAATATCGAACACAGTGTTACGTCGCGTACATAAAAATGAGATGCATGAGGCATATCGAGTAGAATTACAGCATATACCTGTTGCGCCATGTTAGTGGGCACCTGTGACATCGCACACAAGGCTGGCACAGTGCCAGGGGCTCCTCGAAGTCGCGACGATTCCGAACACGGACGTTTCTCGAGATTCTTTTCTTGTGCAGTACTTCATGCTCTGTAAATTAGAGTTACCGTATTTCCTCTATTAGACGCCCGGGCTTCTATGTATTTCGGAATAGCCTTTGACCCGGCGTCAATTAGAGGCCCGGCGTCAATTAGAGGCCCGGCGTCTACTGGAGGCCCGGCTTCTATTAATACCCCCATTTCACTATGACCACGAATGTCCCGAATCGCCACGAAATGGAAATATTTTGTGTTCGTCGATATCCGTAGATATATCTCAATCAATTCTCGATTCTTGATCGACCCGGCGTCTTTTAGAGGCCCGGCTCCTATTTTTTTTTGCACTGAACAATTGACCCGGCTTTTATTAGAGTCCGGCGTCTATAAGGGGAAATATGGTAATCAATAAAAAAACAAACCCATTAGAATTAAAATAGAATTAGCAGGTCTTTGAAAGGCATTAGCAGGACAACAAAGTGATGTTTGAGGACTATGATCAAATGTACCAGGAATTTGTGGACCGAACATACCGTAGCCTCTAAGGACTCATTCAGACTCATAAGGAAAGCCTGCTTTATCAGACTGGACCTTGGACGCAAACGTTTATCAGTGCAGAGTCGTGGAAACGTTACTTTTCATTAATAAGCTTTACATGTGCGTAATTTTCAAGAAAAGGACTGGACATGCTTTTCATCTATGCGTTTATTATGTATGTCAAGTAACGAAATATTTCTGTGAGAAGTGGGTGTTAAGCACCAGTCCTTGACTTAAGCTCTATAAACACTACTCATACTACAACATGGCCAAACTGGGCCCATTGATTCGTTAAAGCGCGTGCTTCAGAAATCGCTTTTCGAGAGCGCAGTTAAGAGTTTAGTCCATTAAGCTGGTCCTTAAATCTCTCTACGCAGCCGCAACTGCTAGAACGTACTGTATACGAATAAAGCCAGAGCCCAGTCTTAAAAGGTTGATGTGATGTCATCATTTACTGTGTAAATTCGAAGACCACAGTTCGGCAATCACTCCACGTGGGTTTTGCAGTTAGTTGCTTTTGGAGTTACTGAAACGATTTCCTGTAGGTTTTGAGAAGGTACGTAATGTTTTATTTCTGTCCGAAAGCCTAAGTAATAGTTGAGTTCAACTGTTAACGGAAAAAGTCGTCTGATATTCAGTACGTAGTGTATTATTAAATTCCATAAATAATCGGTCAGCGATGGTTCTATTTTCGTTCATTGACTTCCAAAAATTGCTGTGTCAATATACCCCGACATCGTCAACCGATGCTCATGACGTCAAGCACTGGGTTTTTTTACCCTCACTCGATTATTCTTAGGCAGTCATCGCAGCTGGAATAGTGCTGGCTGTCGTGTTAATCAAACAAACACAATCTAAATATTTAATTTGAAATAACTGCATGTAATCTGGTTAATTAATGTGACCTGCAGCTTACTTTAAACGTTTCAAATAATTGTAACACCAAGGTGAATATATTTTATTTCCGTGTTTCCTGACATTGGATAACGTTAATTTAAATCCAATACTTAACAACATATGGAAAAACATCCTGTCCACTGACAATTATGGTTTGCAATATTTTGTTTGTGATCCATTTGGCATCTGTTTAAAATAAAGTCAGACGTGCATCACAACTTATGAAAAGCCACATATTTGCGAAATGTGTTTTGCACAGGAACTCGATGTTATATGTAATATGATATATATTATAATTACATGCCATTACAATATATTGGTTGTAATTTCTCATATGTTTATTAAATTCATACATTGTGTTTACACTTTATGATTATGTGTCAAATAGGATAATAACTAATTCTCATCTTCACATCTAGATATCAAGTACAGTGTATATCAACACTCAGCAAGCCCCAGTGCTTTGCTGCTTGTCAGATTGTGTCGATTTATTTTAAAAAACTGCAGCTTATTGTGACAAATAAATCGACACATAAATTTACTGCAGGCCACAAGGACTTATACAAACTTGAAACCACGGGCCTAACACAGATCTGCCATGTGCCTACGGGCAGGCACTTGATTCGAACACTGCCCTCCATTGACGTTCTCTATGTATGTCAGTCGGGGACCCAACAATTAGCTTGATTAGTTGTGTGTGATTTTGTACTTCATTTGCCATATGATGATCTGATCTGTGTTATCCCAAAACAGTCAGAACAACAGCTTCCTTGATCAGCCTCCGAAATTCGCACTAGTCAACATGGTCAACTAGTCAGAGTACTATATTTTGCTGAGGACTAGTAAAATCCTATGATGGTAGTCCTCATTGACTAGTATTATTTAAGGGCTATATGATTAATTTTTCTCCAAATTTGAACTGAATAAAACTGACAAAATGTAAACAAGTTTATCTCTTTCAAGCAGAATGAGCTTAACACACTGAGGATGATGGAAATGAGTTTTACACCAGTCCTCTGTACTACCCAAATTTCTGATTTTGACTGTTGATGCTGCTGTAAATCCTGCTGATAGTGGCATGAAAGAAGATTTTGACTTAATCTTTCTAAACAAACAGTCATGGTATTTTACAGCCTAAATGGTTGCAATTATGTTGTTGTTTTTTGTTTAATGCCGCACTCAGTAATATTCTAGCTATATGACGGCGGTCTGTAAATAATCAAGTCTGGACCAGACAATCCAGTGATTGACATCATGAACATTGATCCACACAATTTGGATACGATGACCTGCATTAACCAAGTCAGCGAGACTGACCACCCGATCCCGTGAGTCGCCTTTTACGACAAGCATAGTCGACTTTTACGGCAAGCATGGGTTGTTGAAGACCTATTCTACCCAGGATCTTCACGGATCTGCAATTTTGGTAGTTCATTTGTCAGTTTTCTTACTAGTAATGCTGTCACTGGGTTACCTGTTACAAGCCTGAATACACAACATCCTGCCGTCATGTACCTTCATTGTCCATTGCTTTTAGATGGCAAAGAGTTTACGCAGCAAATGGAAGCGCAAGATGCGCAACATTAAGAGAGAGAAACATGCAGTGAAGGAGATGGATCGTCTCAAGCGCATCTCCAACCTTGCCAAGCAGCAAGACGAGGATCTCAAAGAACTGTATGAAGGTCAGTGATAATTGTATGTCATGTCAATAGCCAGTGCGTTATTATGGTTGAACTTGTTCAGCGTTCCCGTTTACCGGTAATAACCATTTTTTTACCGGTAAAATTAGGCTTGGACCGGTAATTCATGTGACTGCCAGTCCCTGTGGACCAGCAAAGAAAGTACTTCATAAATCTTTGTTGTTGAACAACTGGTTGAATATCCATTTGTAGTGACTTGTCTCGAAATATATAAAAAAAGAAGAGAAAATTGAGACTGAAGTTTGTGTGAATGATGTATAGATCTAACTAAGTTACTTCAGAGATGACATCTTTGCATTGAACATGTTGCAAGAATTAAAACCAAATACTTTTCATACGGTTTTTTTTTTGTTGAAAGTTGGGACTGGCAAAAATTAGGGGGGACTGGTAATTTTAAGAGATGCCAGTCCACAAGGACTGGCAGTTTCAAAAGCCAGCGGGAACACTGTTGTTTTGACTTTGTCTTAGTGTTTGATGAAATTAAGGGCAGTCCTTGGTTCTTGTGGTCTCCTATGATGTTTGAATCTAGGAATCCCCTAACTCTTTAACTGTTTACATTAGGGTTAGGGGGCACGGGTGGCCCAGTCGTCTAAGGCGCCGCGATTCGCTGTGCAGAGTTGCGTCCCTTGGGCACGCCAGAAACCTATGATCGTGGGTTCGAATCCCGGTTCGCCCTGATTATGTTTCTAGGCTTGTCAGCACCATACCCGTGCTCGTGGGTTTCACCGAAGTGGTAAACGTCTGAGACCTGCATCACTTCGGGCTTTCCTCCCACATTAAGCTGACACGCCGCGATATAACTGGAATACTGTTAAAAGCGGCGATAAACCCAACTCACTCACCCATTACATTAGGGTTAAGCTCTTGATTATAATGCCTAATTTTTAACACTGTTTTATGGTAGAGGAAAATCATTACTGATGCAGCTTGTGGAGGTTAATCACTTTGGTAAAACTCACAAGCATTGTCACCAAGTGTCATAGTCTGGGATATAAACATCAGTGCATCCTGGTATTAAAGGGAAATGTGGAGTATAGACCACTGGCTGGCTGTGATAGTCATTAATTGATGGCATTCTGTTCTGTGATGATTAGATGTATCTTTTCCATAACCTACTTATTATTTACATGTTCTGATTGTTTGTTTGTTGTTTAACGCCGCACTCAGCAATATTCCAGCTATATGACGGCGGTCTGTATATAATCGAGTCTGTACCCGACAATCCAGTGATTAATATCATGCTCATCAATCCACACAATTGGGTTCGATGACCTGCATCAACCAAGACAGCGAGCCTGACCACCCGATCCCGTTAGTCGCCTTTTACAGCAAGCATAGTCATCTTTTACGGCAAGCATGGGTTGCTGAAGACCTATTCTAACCTGGATCTTCACGGGTCTACATGTTCTGATTAAGAACTCTAACTTGGATTTGCAAATTGCTTTATGCGCTGAGCCAAGACCCGATCAATATTAGACCACTGTGATATAACTGGACAATTGCTAACGTCAGCATTAAACAACCGTTTTACTACTTGAAAGTGATGACTGATGTATCTCTCAACATACACACTGTCCTTCATTGCACTGCCAATCATGACACCACAGAAAATGTCAAAACATCAAAAAGAAGAAACATGATAAGTAGATCTACAATAATTGAAAATTTATCATATTGTAAACTTTTCTTTCACAGTTAAAAAGGCAGCTGACATCATGAAAGGAAAGCCAAAGACAGATGGTATGTCAAGTGTATTTGTGTCAGTTCCTTTCTCCGACTTGCAGGGGTTTAAGACAGGACACAGATTTACTGTAGGGGTGTCACTGTTCCAGTCATACTTGGTGTCCTAATGTTCTTACATTGTAAATTTAAATGGTAAATTGAGACCCATATTCCCCCAGTTGGAGGTGGTTTATTTCTTGCATGTGGTAAATACAGACCCATATTCCCCCAGTTGTAGGAGATTTATTTCTTGCATGTGGTAAATACAGACCCATATTCCCCCAGTTGGAGGTGGTTTATTTCTTGCATGTGGTAAATACAGACCCATATTCCCCCAGTTGACCCATATTCCCCCAGTTGTAGGTAGGTGGTTTATTTCTTGTATGTGGTAAATACAGACCCATATTCCCCCAGTTGTAGGTGGTTTATTTCTTGTATGTGGTAAATACAGACCCATATTTCCCCAGTTGTAGGTGGTTTATTTCTTGTATGTGGTAAATACAGACCCATATTCCCCCAGTTGGAGGTGGTTTATTTCTTGCATGTGGTAAATACAGACCCATATTCCCCCAGTTGTAGGTAGGTGGTTTATTTCTTGTATGTGGTAAATACAGACCCATATTCCCCCAGTTGTAGGTGGTTTATTTCTTGTATGTGGTAAATACAGACCCATATTCCCCCAGTTGGAGGTGGTTTATTTCTTGCATGTGGTAAATACAGACCCATATTCCCCCAGTTGTAGGTAGGTGGTTTATTTCTTGTATGTGGTAAATACAGACCCATATTCCCCCAGTTGGAGGTGGTTTATTTCTTGCCTGTGGTAAATACAGACCCATATTCCCCCAGTTGGAGGTGGTATATTTCTTGCATGTGGTAAATACGGACCCATTTTCCCCCAGTTGGAGGTGGTATATTTCTTGCATGTGATAAATACGGACCCATTTTCCACCAGTTGTGGGTGATTTATTTCTTGTATTCCTATAGTTGCAGATGGTGATGGTGAAATGGATGTAGACAAGGCACAGAAAAAGATCAACCCCTCGACGTTGAAGGATGAGCACGGCAGCTACCCTGCCTGGATGAATCAGCGCGCTATCAAACGACTCAAGAAGAAACAGGTCAACAAGAAAAAGAAGAAAGGGGGAAAGAAATAGACTTGATCATGTGACATGTGTAAATACTGTAAATAAAGCTCATCCATGTTGACCATCATTATGGTGATTATTGAAGCTTTTGACCTCATTCAAGTTTGATGTTTGAGCCTGAACATGATATGGTTTTACAAAAAGTTTGAAAGTCACATAGCATTTGTAATTAGTTATATCTTACGAATTAAGTAAAAGGAGAGGACAAAGTAATTGATACCCCCTCCCCGGCAATGGTAAATACTTGTCATAAATATGTCCGCTATGTATATGTTGTTGCCATGGAAACTTGGAAAATATTTTTGTTGAAAATCAAAACTATCAAAAGGCACCAGTTCACCAATGGACCTATCAATGTGCCAAGTCTGGTGGAGAAATATTGTACGTTTTTCAAGATCTGCTCTGGAAGCGAGCACTACTGCCATTTCCAGCCTCAGTCAAAGTTGTTGGTGTGGAAACTATTTTTGTTAAAAATCCCAAACTTTGAAAAGGCACCAGTTCACCACTAGATCTATCTATGTTCCAAGTTTGATGCAGTAATATTGTACAGTTTTCAAGATCTTCTCCGAAAAATGACCTCTTGCACGGACAGATGGTGTCCTTTGTAAAACCTCCCAAAAGCGCGTTGTTGGCGATAACAATGTTCTGGCCAGTAGAGCTAGTATATGATAGCCAGTTGGTATTAAAACTAATGTCATAAAAAAGGACTGGATTTATCAACAGAAAACTATATGTATATGCGAGTACTGGGTATCGCTGTGTGATGATTTGAGTGAGTGAGTTGGGTTATCACGGAATGTGCTTCACATGCTGCAGTCTGTGAAATAGACTAACAGTTAGTCCCATAATTGCCATTTTCCCAAAAAGTATAGATGTAAAAAAATAAATGACATAACATTTACATGGAGCCCAGAACAATGCTTAATTTCAGGGACTAACCAAATCTGCTAGCTCTGATTTGTTGCAATTTCTGTAATCTTGTCAGTGTTGACCTTCATTTGTATTTTCATGCCGCTGCTACTCAGCCAGCATAGGGGCCAAGGGTGGCCCAGTCGTCTAAGGCGCCGTGATTCGCTGTGCAGAGTTGCATCCCTTGGGCACGCCAGAAACCTATGATTGTGGGTTCGAATTCCGGTTCGCCTCGATTATGATTCTAGGTTTGTCAGCACCATACCTGTGCAAGTAGGTTTCAAAGAAGTGGTAAACGTCTGAGACCTGCATCACTTTGGGCTTTCCTCCTACATTAAACTGACACGCCATGATATAACTGGAATAATGTTAAAACTCACTCACTCAGCCAGCATATTATGACCATTTCCTGCCACTCCCCTTGGTATCCCTTCTCTCCCCTAGTGTGGCACCACTGACACAACCAAGCCTGTTGCTATGGTTGTGTTTTCCATCTCTTTGTGTAAACATGATGCAGTTTCAGATGCTAGCATTTCCACTTCCAGTACCAAATATGGTGTATGGTGCTGACAAACTTAGAATCATAATCGGGGCGAACGGTAGGTTTCCGGCGTGCCCAAGGGATGCAAGTCTGCAGAGCGAATCGTGGCACCTTAGACGGCTGGGCCACCCGTGCCCCCTTATGAGCAATGATCAACGCTGTCGGGATATGATGACACACAGTGAACATGGTGACTGAGTCTGACCACGATCCACTAAGTCACCTCTTACTACCTTCACAGGTTGCCAGGAATCTACCCTAACCCAGCGTAAGTAACCACAGGGCACATGCGAAATGACCGGACCACTGTTTTCCATCAGACAATTACCAAGTTAATAAAAGAATTGGTTCTCAGACAATAACTTTTGAAAATACAGTGCGGGCAGGCAGTGTTTGTTTGTTTGTTTTTTGCTTGTTCAAACTAGAATGTAACCAAATAAACAGTTGTGTAGCATCAACCTAGGAAAGGGCCTCCCTACATAACAAGCATACAAACTCCTATTGACACCATGACCATAACACGAGATGTGCACTAAAGCAGTGCACATGTAAAGGGAAGTAATTGCATGCTATATTGCATCGCATTGTTTTAAAAGTATTAGGATTTTTATGTTTTTATTGAAAATGACAATAAAAACGAAACATGACTTTATACTGATGCAGGTGGTGCCTGAGAACCAAGACTTATTTTTTTAGCCTAATATGCACAAGATATATACCACAGCAAAACAATATGACACTTGCTGTAAATATCAAGACTAGGGCCAGACAACTGACTGATTGTACTCCAACATGAAATGCCTGTATTGAGTAAACTGGTCGATTCACAAACCAACCAATCCCCATTTTGGTCAGTTCCTTACGTCCTCACAAATACTTTTTTCAACATACATTTTTGAAGTAAAACTCATTATATCCCTATTTCGCACAATTAACTTGTGGCACTTGCCTGTCTGTTTTAAATATTTGTTGTTTAAATCTGTGACCCACTGCTCCGCCAGGGTACGACGGCACACCATCAACCATGACCACCCAATCAACAACCAGCATAGGTTGGTGGGGACCTACCGTGTTCGACGTAATAAGCGCCCCTCTCTAATCAGCGCCCACGGCGATATTTGCTGATATATTGGCTAATGAACAATCCCAATTAGCACCCCTTCCGATTGATCAATGTACACAAGACTTATTTATGCACCCTTAATTATAGGCAATTAAATTCTGGAAAAATACATCGGTGGAATATAAACATTTCAGGCTGTCAGCGTAAACCACGAAATTTATCTTTCAACTAAAAATTCTCTTTTCAACTCTTTTTTTCACCAAAATAATATTCTAATAAGAGCACCTTATTTCTAATTTTGAGAGCGCCTTGGACACTTATTACGTCAAATACGGTATTCTAATCCCCGTTGGTAATCAAAGACAATACACAGAGCTCATTGCAAAACACATAACATGTTTATGTGCAAATGACATGAAAAATGACAATGAATGAAAAATTTAACAACATACAAGAAAAATAACAAATATTCCTATTTTAAGTCTGTTTGTTGCCAGCTCTGACAACATGTTGTTTGTTTGTTGTTTAACAACACACCTAGCAACATTTCAACTATACGAGTGTGGTCTGGAAATAGTCAAGACTGGACCAGACAATCCAGTGACTGACATGATCACTGATCTATGCAATTGGCTTGGTTTGTCGAGGACTGAAAGATGGGTAGTCTCAAGCAAATGTGCCAGGGCAGTATAACAGATCCTTCAAATGATGCATCACTCTTTAGGTTACTCAAGTTTAAAAGATCTTATTTCTATTTCTTTATACAACTACACAGCACAGCTTAACCTTAATATCTAGGATCGGTCTCATTTTCACACGGTGCAATGTCCAGACCTAGACCATACAAGCCAGACCCTCAAGACTGTACATCACTTTGCAAGTTCAGGTGAAGATAACTTGTAGCAAAGAGTCTTGCATCCACAGCAAAGTCCACATTGGCAAAATAATCTTGCCATTACAGACTCCCTTATCATCCACCATGAATCAATTCTTTCCTCCTAATGAAGTATGAGTGAGTTTTGTCTTACGCCACAATATTTCACTTATATCAAGGTGCCTCTTGTGAGCAGAGATCTGGAAGTGAGGTTAAATGGGATCTTGCATTGAATGCACATGTATGTGTGGTAGCTTGTGCTGTCTTTACAAGTACCATCTTTTAATGTCTTTAGGTATGACACAGCCAGGATATCGAACCACTGAGTGGGTGAGTGAGTTGTGCTTAACGCCGCTTTTAACAGTATTCCAGTTATATCACGGCGTGTCAGCTTAATGTGGGAGGAAAGCCCGAAGTGGTGCAGGTCTCAGACGTTTACCACTTCGGTGAAACCAACGAGCACGGGTATGGTGCTGACAAACCTAGAAACATAATCGGGGCGAACTGGGATCCACAATCATAGGTTTCTGGCGTGACCAAGGGACGTAACTCTGCACAGCAAATCTCGGCGCCTTAGACGACTGGGCCACCCGTGCCCCCTCAAACCACTGACCTCCTGGTCAGACGTTCTATCCACCACATCAGGGGCAGTCCTCATTAAGTCATGGCAACATTACAGCTCTTCACAAGCCAGGAAATAATCAAACCAATTGTTGATGGAGTGAACAATGGCTACATACTTTCTGGGTATGATAACGCTTGATTGTCTCACATTGGAACCACTCATTCCCCAGTGATTGGCTCCAATGACAAGCATGATATACAGGAGAACGGAACTCCAACAAGGCTCTCCATTAATCAGGGACCCTTCTGTACAGTAGACCAGTACTTGTTAAAGTTGTATGTTCCTTGAACACTAATGCAGCCAGATGAGATCACCAAATGAAAGGTGCACGTTCCCGAAGCAGCCTGCAGCTGTACTGCTGCCACTCCTTGGGCCGAATCCAGAGTTCCTGAGTCGTGTCCAGACATGCCATCACTGCAGCCCCCTTCCAACAGGCCACACGGGGGTCGTTGTCCTGGTAACAAGGGAAGTGACATGAAACTCATTTCGCAAGACTTCAATTCTATGAAATAAGAATCTTGTCAAAATAATATATATTTGTAGAATCTTGTCTTATAATATAGATAAGTGAGATCAATAGGAGAGATATGTTATTATACTGAGGGACTTTTCCCCATCTCAACAAATGCCTCAGTAAAAATATAATGCATACATAATTTAAAAAAAACATTGTTGAAGGAGTGTTTGTTTTTTATGCTGAAATCCTGGTTGAAAAGATTGCCAACCTTTGGGCGTGTGAGAACGTCCATATTCTCCATCATAAGGCGCTGATGGTTGGGCATCTGCAGCCACACCCGGTGCTGGATCCAAGACTGTGCCCCCTCGAACAGCGCCAACCCACCGCCCACCACCACTATACAGCTGTACATCTTGCGCTTTAGATCCTCACTTCCTGTAAGGGAGCATTCATTTCATCACTGCTCATTATAGGCCTGAATTAATCAGTGATACAACAAGATATGATGTTTGTTTGTTTGTTCGCTTGTTTGTTGTTTAACGCCGAACTCAGCAATATTCTAGCTATATGACAGTGGTCTGTAAATAATCAAGTCTGCACCAGACAATCCAGTGATTGACATTATGAGCATCGATCTACGCAATTGGGATACAATGACCTACATCAACCAAGTCAGCGAGTCTGACCACCCAATCCCGTTAGTTGCCTCTTACGACTAGCATAGTCGCCTTTTGCGGCAAGCATGGGTTGTTGAAGACCTATTCTACCCCGGATCTTCATGGGTCTGATATGATGTAAACATATTGTGCCAGTGCCAGTGCCAATAATGCCAATCTTACCGCACTGCTCTATACAGTGTAGTATAGCCTCGTCAACCCCCATCAGCTGAGCCACAGGTTCCGTGTCCTCCTCTTCTTCCTCCTCCAACTCATGGCGTCGTCCAGTCTTGGTTTCCGTCAGCGCCAACGTCTCTGGAGCATCGTTCGAGTCGTCGTCCATCTGGGAGTGACTGAGCTGAGTGTCCTCCAGCTGACTGCTCTCCGTCACGTCCCGAGACTCCTGGTTCTCCTTCTTTGAACCCATCTTGGCCTGCAGGGTGATCAGAGCGGCGGAGTATATTGCCCAAAGTACAACTAACCAGCCTCAATGGCAGAGAGATAAGTGATGTCATTGTCATTGTACGTCAGTTTGACGCCTAAAGTGATGTATGGAGCCGGAAGACCTAATCAAGAAGATCTGTGAATCGAACTCAGGACACGATAGTGAGTGAGCGAGTATGGTTTTACGCCGCTTTTAGCACTATTCCAGCAATATCACGGCGGGGGACACCAGAAATGGGCTTCACATATTGTACCCATGTCGGGAATCGAACCCGGGTCTTCGGCGTGAAGAGCGAACGCTTTAACCACTAGGTTACCCGACCACCCATCAGGACATGACAGCAAATATTAGGGGTATGATGATACACTTCATAACATAGTTATACATACTGTGTTGTGAAACTAAATTTGTGCCATTTGTTTGTAAATATCTTCCTGTTTTCGTGTGGCCAGACTGAAAAAAGGTTGTTGTCAGATTGTTCTCACCTCACATGACTCGTTAATTTAGTCTTTTTCGAATCATGCTAATAGTGTAATGCAATCATTTGTTTTTGGTTTTTTTGTCTAATGCCGCATTCAGCAATATTCCAGTGATGTGATGGCGGTCTGTAAATAATTGAGTCTGGACCAGACAATCCAGTGATTGATATCATGAGCATTGATCCATGCAATTGGGATACAATATCATGCATCAACCAAGTCAGCGAGCCTGACCACCTGATCCTGTCAATTGCCTCTTACGACAAGCATAGACACCTTTTACGACAAGCATGGATTGCTGAAGACCTATTCTACCCCAGATCTTCTCTAGTCGTAATGCAATCAGATTTAACATTGTTTCAGACTATAAACACATGTATGAACAAATTGATACATGGTTAGGAACGCCATGTATCAAATACCTGCGTTCACATGTAAATTCACTACACATCACACATCGATGAATTGTAACACCCCTAGCTATCATGTCTAAGAACTCTGACAGATTCAAACCCTATCTGGAATATGGCTGTTGTAGTCATTACAGTTCAGGGCATACTAGGTCTCTTTGGGCCCGCTGTGTCTGTCGGAGGTAGCTCTCATCATGGGGGTCGACGGCGTCGCCATCAAACCGGGACTGGACCCGGACCAGCTGCTGGCCCTGCACAGCGAACATGTCGGGGTAGAGCATCCCGAGAGGAGACAGGATCAGCTCATCCGCCAGACGCAGGTTGTACTTGATGATCGGCTTCTGGGGCTGCCGGACCTGTAGAAACTGGTTGACAATTCCGGATCTATCCTGGAAGAACAGTGGCATGACAGAGTTAGTGAGTGAGGGGGTAGGTGGTTGGAAAGTGGTTCATAATTCCTGATCTATCCTGGAAGAACAGTGGCATGACAGAGTTAGTGAGTGAGTGAGTAGGTGGTTGGAAAGTGGTTCATAATTCCTGATCTATCCTGGAAGAACAGTGGCATGACAGAGTTAGTGAGTGAGTGAGTAGGTGGTTGGAAAGTGGTTCATAATTCCTGATCTATCCTGGAAGAACAGTGGCATGACAGAGTTAGTGAGTGAGTGAGTAGGTGGTTGGAAAGTGGTTCACAATTCCGGATCCGTCCTGGAAGAACAGTGGCATGACAGAGTGAGTGAGTGAGAAGGTGGTTGGAAAGTGGTTCATAATTCCTGATCTATCTTAGAAGAACAGTGGCATGACAGAGTGAGTGAGTGAGTGAGTGAGTAGGTGGTTGGAAAGTGGTTCACAATTCCTGATCTATCCTAGAAGAACGGTGGCATGACAGAGTGAGTGAGTGAGTAAGTAGGTGGTTGGAAAGTGGTTCATAATTCCTGATCTATCCTAGAAGAACAGTGGCATGACAGAGTGAGTGAGTGAGTGAGTAGGTGGTTGGAAAGTGGTTCATAATTCCTGATCTATCTTAGAAGAACAGAGGCATGACAGAGTGAGTGAGTGAGTGAGTGAGTAGGTGGTTGGAAAGTGGTTCACAATTCCTGATCTATCCTAGAAGAACGGTGGCATGACAGAGTGAGTGAGTGAGTAAGTAGGTGGTTGGAAAGTGGTTCATAATTCCTGATCTATCCTAGAAGAACAGTGGCATGACAGAGTGAGTGAGTGAGTGAGTAGGTGGTTAGAAAGTGGTTCATAATTCCTGATCTATCCTAGAAGAACAGTGGCATGACAGAGTGAGTGAGTGAGTGAGTGAGTGAGTAGGTGGTTGGAAAGTGGTTCATAATTCCTGATCTATCCTAGAAGAACAGTGGCATGACAGAGTGAGTGAGTGAGTGAGTAGGTGGTTGGAAAGTGGTTCATAATTCCTGATCTATCTTAGAAGAACAGAGGCATGACAGAGTGAGTGAGTGAGTGAGTGAGTAGGTGGTTGGAAAGTGGTTCACAATTCCTGATCTATCCTAGAAGAACGGTGGCATGACAGAGTGAGTGAGTGAGTAAGTAGGTGGTTGGAAAGTGGTTCATAATTCCTGATCTATCCTAGAAGAACAGTGGCATGACAGAGTGAGTGAGTGAGTGAGTAGGTGGTTAGAAAGTGGTTCATAATTCCTGATCTATCCTAGAAGAACAGTGGCATGACAGAGTGAGTGAGTGAGTGAGTGAGTGAGTAGGTGGTTGGAAAGTGGTTCATAATTCCTGATCTATCCTAGAAGAACGGTGGCATGACAGAGTGAGTGAGTGAGTGAGTAGGTGGTTGGAAAGTGGTTCATAATTCCTGATCTATCTTAGAAGAACAGTGGCATGACAGAGTGAGTGAGTGAGTGAGTGAGTAGGTGGTTGGAAAGTGGTTCACAATTCCTGATCTATCCTAGAAGAACAGTGGCATGACAGAGTGAGTGAGTGAGTAAGTAGGTGGTTGGAAAGTGGTTCATAATTCCTGATCTATCTTAGAAGAACAGTGGCATGACAGAGTGAGTGAGTGAGTGAGTGAGTAGGTGGTTGGAAAGTGGTTCACAATTCCTGATCTATCCTAGAAGAACAGTGGCATGACAGAGTGAGTGAGTGAGTGAGTGAGTGAGTAGGTGGTTGGAAAGTGGTTCATAATTCCTGATCTATCCTAGAAGAACGGTGGCATGACAGAGTGAGTGAGTGAGTGAGTAGGTGGTTGGAAAGTGGTTCATAATTCCTGATCTATCTTAGAAGAACAGTGGCATGACAGAGTGAGTGAGTGAGTGAGTGAGTAGGTGGTTGGAAAGTGGTTCACAATTCCTGATCTATCCTAGAAGAACGGTGGCATGACAGAGTGAGTGAGTGAGTAAGTAGGTGGTTGGAAAGTGGTTCATAATTCCTGATCTATCTTAGAAGAACAGTGGCATGACAGAGTGAGTGAGTGAGTGAGTGAGTAGGTGGTTGGAAAGTGGTTCACAATTCCTGATCTATCCTAGAAGAACGGTGGCATGACAGAGTGAGTGAGTGAGTAAGTAGGTGGTTGGAAAGTGGTTCATAATTCCTGATCTATCTTAGAAGAACAGTGGCATGACAGAGTGAGTGAGTGAGTGAGTAGGTGGTTGGAAAGTGGTTCATAATTCCTGATCTATCCTAGAAGAACAGTGGCATGACAGAGTGAGTGAGTGAGTGAGTAGGTGGTTGGAAAGTGGTTCATAATTCCTGATCTATCTTAGAAGAACAGTGGCATGACAGAGTGAGTGAGTGAGTGAGTAGGTGGTTGGAAAGTGGTTCATAATTCCTGATCTATCCTAGAAGAACGGTGGAATGACAGAGTGAGTGAGTGAGTGAGTAAGTAGGTGGTTGGAAAGTGGTTCATAATTCCTGATCTATCCTAGAAGAACGGTGGCATGACAGAGTGAGTGAGTGAGTGAGTGAGTAAGTAGGTGGTTGGGAAGAGGTTCACAATTCTGGATCTGTCCTGGAAGAACAGTGGGGTGAGTAAATGACTGAGTCAGCGAGAGGGTGGGGTATAGTGAGTGTGTGAGTGAGAGACAGAGTGAGTGGGTGGGTGGGTGAGTCAGTGAGTGAGTGTTTTAGCTCCTGCTGCAGGTAAACAAGTGGCTCTTGAATAGTCAAGCCAGTCATTGAGAGTCCACAATGTCAGGTACAATGACAGTTATCAATAAACATTCCGGGGATGCACATTGTAACCACCAAATCAGCCAACTCCTCAACAAGCACACGACACTGGAGACCCACTGGTTGTCACGACGACATGTTATGTGACAGTCATACCACATCAAGTAGAAATTTATCACATGAATTGAGAACACTTAGGCGTTATAGTACTTTTCCAACCCTGATGTTGTTTGCAGAATAACACAAAGAAAGATCTACCAGAATGACAACACATTCTGCAGTGATGAAATGATATGCTGATGTCAAGCTCTTCGTGATGCAAGGACGTGGCATGAGATATCAGTTAGCGAGCATCGAACCACGATACAAATAATGCTTCAACTATGTAAAGAAAACTGCCAATAAGAATATCTGAGTGACATACAACGGGCAGTCTAAAAAATCCAAAATAGAAACAGGTTGAAATTTAACGAAATGAAAGGACACGGTGTATAATAATCAGGCTGGGTATTGTAACGCAACAGGAAGCCATCACAATCCACACCTCCAACACATTCTGATTTTGTTAATCAATGTTAATCAAAAGCTGGAGTGAAAAATAACCTCTGCCACATTTTTTAGACATGGAATAAAAATGAAATGCTTTTCACTTGCAAATTACTGTAAATCATGTCAGTCAAAGTTAAATATTCAGAGCTACAGATAAGCAGCATATTTGCATGAAATACCCCTTAAAATATTTAAAACCCAATTACTTTATATGAACTTGCGTTCAGAAACTCATGCTTTAAATAAAAAATCAAATGTATAAAAACAGCTCACGTAAATACCCATTGAAGCTTTTTTCAGCATGCATACAAAGGAGCTAATTTCCAAAACACAATTACGAGCTAATTCACTTTCTGATTCAAGCCTATATATTTATTTACAGAGTGCCGTCATATAGCTGAATGCAGCGTTAAACAACAAACAATCAAACAAATAAAAGAACGTGGAACTCACAACATCCATGTGGCAGAACGACTCCTTCAGCTCCTGCATGAGCAGGATGTCAGTGGGCATGGACAGATCCACCTCCGGCAGCGACACACCACTCTTGCGCAGCATCCAGCGGAAACACCGAGTCACATCCGAACCACCATACTCCATCGTCAGTCTGAAGACAGTTGCAACATCTCAACATGTAGACTAGTCAGGTGAGATGAGGTGAGGTGCAATGTGGTTTAACATCGCGTCCAAGGCTATTGCACATATATATATATATATATATATATAGTGTGGTGTAGTGTGGTGTGCGTGTGCGTGCGCGCGTGCTTGTACTAATCTGGACTAATGCTGATTGATAGTCCTAGCCCACTGATATACCATGCTGCAGTTTAACATGAATACCCCACTCAGACACAGTATACGGACACCGAGCCTACCAGTCCTTGTTTTAGCCCCTTAATGCCGAGGACCAGGCAGGGTTACAACAAGTACCATCTGGTATGACGCAACCTGGGATCGAACCCCGACCTTCCACTCTCCAGGCAGACATCCTACCACTAGGGCACAGAGACAGCCCATACTGACAAAGTCCAGTATGCATCGTCAATCATGGTCTACTGAAGCATCTTTTAAGTGATGTAGTGGCTGGGGCACCACTAAGAATGTCTTGATATAATACCAGTTTGAGAATCAAACACATGTCTTAAACGGTATGAGCATACACTTTACCCACAAGACCACCATACTACCCTCTTGCCTCATGACACTCGTTACAGAGGTCTTTGTCGCTATGAATGCATGTTATACTGTAAGCCATATACAGATGTAGGCCACCGATATGGTATTCTGAAATGGTACCTGGAGTTATCTCCCTTGGAACTCTTTGTTAACAATCTAGAAGACAACACACACACACTGTTGCTTACACAACAATAAAACTGGTTAATTGAGCAAACTGCATATAAATTGACACATGTCAATGTTCCATTTTACAAGTGCGTGTACCTGGTAGGTTTGTGTGAAATACCATCTTCCACACATGATATGCTGGTCTTCTGGTCCCCAACATCAACAACACAAGCACACGGCACCCCCGTCCCGTACGTCGCACACACAGACTCCTGAAACAGCAACACTACACCGTGGACCCACTACTTAGCTGAGGCAAGGATCACAAAGTTTAACGCCATCTTAACAGTATTCCAGTTATATCGCGGCGTGTCAGCTTAATGTGGGAGGAAAGCCCGAAGTGATGCAGGTCTCAGACGTTTACCACTTCGGTGAAACCCACGAGCACGGGTATGGTGCTGACAAACCTAGAAACATAATCGGGGCGAACCGGGATTCGAACCCACAATCATAGGTTTCTGGCGTGCCCAAGGGACGCAACTCTGCACAGCGAATCGCGGCGCCTTAGACGACTGGGCCACCCTTGAGGCAAGGATCACAAAGAACATACACGTCATCAGTTTCTAGGAATACGCAATCTGTGCAGGTGTTGTGCAGATCATTGATTACAGGTTAACATAAAGAAAGCAATATTTATTTGATCATCATTCTGTACATCTAGCCATTCATTCATTTTTATGAAATAGCAAAAGCTTTAATATATTGTTGAATTCTACCCACAAAAACTTAATTTGCTAAAGACAAGAAATTTCTTATTCGAACTGGAGAAGCTAAAATCTGTGTTGATAAAAACTATTGCCAACCCAGCGATGCAGATTGCATGTGGACTTAGGTCTTTGACCTCTGTGAAATACAACACAGGTCCAATATTCAAATTTCTTGAAGTCTGGCCCACTACTGTCACAGGTAATGGGCTACTTGACCTATGAATATGCCCATCAACCTGAAGCCCTGCTGACCTGATGAATGAAGGCTGCACCGAAGCCGAGGGTGTCGAGGAGCAGGTTCATGAGGGCCTTGACATGCTTGTGCGTGTACACATCGGGGATCAGCATGATGGCCTTGTAGTGCTGGAACAAATACAAGTAGTCCTCAGGCATGTAGTTCTTTATTAAACTCAAACATACCCACATTTTCAGCAAAACGTTTCAGGTAAAAATTTACAAAACCTGTTAACGTGGTTTAGGAGATTCAGACCAGTTGACTTGATCTTTAGATTAAGCCCCAGTCAATAACCCTTAGGCTCAATACTGCTTCAACAGCATGTAAATGACATGATGGCAGTTTAACGTGGGAGGAAAGTCAGATAGACATTTACCACTTTGATGTAACCACAACTGAATCCTGGCACAGCTAAGGGACAAAACTCTTCATGGAAAATTTGCAGCATAAAGTGTATCAATTATCATACAATGTAAAAATGTATACATCCAGCTGCGAACAGTTTACTAGAAGTATGGAACCTGCACAACATATACTATAGATATCAATACCTTAAGATCCCTGATTGGTATGTTGAGATATGTTTCCAATGCCTTGCTCCAGATGACCTCAAGGTCAGCCATGACTGATGTTAGAGATCCACATGGTCCCCCGTGGAGGTTTAGGCGCCCACACCGCATCGGCCAGTGCAGGGTGTAGTTGTCTGATGGATGCACATACAAAGCCTTCAAAGAGAGGCAATGTTGCTGATCAGTATGTTATTTATAAACTGATCTCCTTTAAATAACGAAGAAAGAATAATACATCTAACTGTTATTTATTAACCAATCACTGAATTATGACAGATCACATTTACTGTTGCGTCCACAAGGCATTGAAGCTCACCTGAATGTGGAAGTCATAATGGTGGCCATGTTTGAAATCAGAATCAGAATTCTATGAGCACAGTTTAGAACAGGTTCAATTTTCCTCATACAATGTGTGAAGCCCGCTCTACATGTCCCTGCTGATATAATGCTAGAATCTTACACCAAACTCTCTCCGAATGAAAAGGCTACAAACCTCTTCTCCAATGATACAGGCAGGTTTCTTGTCTGTCTGTGTCCATTTCAAAGGACAAATCACATCAGTTCTTTCTCCATTTGATGACTGGTTATATGCAAAATGCTGGAATAAATTTTCATAGTGAACAGTTGTGTGGGAAATATATTATTAAATATATAATATTAAATAACGATCTTGACACTTAAATGACAAATACCAATCATCTACTTTAAGGGAAGAAATTAACAGATAAAAGTATTTCTACTGCAACTTCAAGATGTCAACTTGAGATCATGAGTGTATTAATCAATGATTGTATTTACCCATTTCCACCTACAACAAAAAAACCTATAACATTTGTACATGAATATATGTTTTCAGAACAATTTCTGCATGTTATATAGTTATGTGTTATGAATATAATACTTGTCTGTCAGACACAATACACTGCAGACCCGTTATCTACCTGTCTGTTTGAAGTAGTTTGTCTGTAACCACCCATTGAGTTGGGTTTGGTGAGAAGAGCCTCCTCAGCATTTTTCAAACCGGTTTTCATCAGATGGTTAGCTTCTGGATGCTGAACAACAGAAATTGATAGGCTCCATCACATATCATATGAACCTTAACATTGCTTAACATGAACATGATGCATACGCACCAAAACCTTTAAGACTTATGTTGTTCACTAAATGCAATTTTTGCACAACACAGATGAGTGAGTGAGTGAGTGAGTGAGTGAGTATGGTTTTACGACGCTTTTAGCAATATTCCAGCAATATCACGGCGGGGGGACACCAGAAATGGGCTTCACACATTGTACCCATGTCGGGAATCGAACCCGGGTCTTCGGCGTGAAGAGCCAACGCTTTAACCACTAGGTTACCCGACCACCCCACAACACAGATGACAAGAAAACAGAGTTGCTGAACTTGTTTGGTGTGTGTCTCCAGACATACCTCTAATAATAATGAAATAGAAACAGAGAATTTACAATGCCAAGAATTAGAGGTAGCTCAACAGGCAAAATTATCAATTAATAACTATAAAAATGAACCAATATGAAATTCAAAATAGACTTCATAAAAGTGTATCCTTGAGGCTTATCATGTGCACAATATGAAAATGACAGCAATTTTTTCTTGATCTGCCAAATATTAACCCATTAAATTAATTACCAGTCAAACTCTATGTTGTGAATGGCATGTATACAAAGCATGAATTAAAAATCTAATGAATGCTGCAACTCTCAACATTGTTTTCCTTACATTACATTCTGGGCGCAACAACCAGGACTCTGGAACTCTGGGAACCTGTACCTTCTTCCTGCGAGCAACACAGTGAGGCACCGTGATTGGGTACGGGTCAGATGCACGGCCAAGTCGCAGGTTGTAGGAGCCAGGGTGAATAATTACCACTGTAGCAGGCTGAATTGGCTAAAGTCAAAACAACATGCAATTAATTTATTACAATCAATTTGAAATACAATGTATTCATATATATTCGGCCATATATTCCATTTTTACCAAATGTTTTTATTGCTGGTTCGACATGCATCTAACATATTTTATATGTTCTATTGTCATTATTAATAGTTCAGCGGTTCAACTTAAAACATACACGTCCATTATCAGTGTTAGATACATCTACCTACATCACACTAAGAAGTATGGGATTTGGTGTTAACTGTTATTGTCACTGATGAAAATGACCTAAACTTTGTTACTCGTTCTGTGGCAGATTTCTTATATTAGTGAACACCCAAGTTTACACAGTGGTGTATTTACCTCGATTATTGGGTCAGGTATTGGTTGAGCAAAAGGCTTCTTGGCTGAAGTAGGAGGCATTCTTCTTGAGCTGTTCAACCAACTTCCAACAGTGAATACATGTGCTTGAGTTCTACGTCACGATTGTCAGTGTTTACTAAGGGGGACAACGCGTTCATCTACTGCGTATGCGTACCGCTAATAATGCATTTACACCCAGTTCAGGGTCTGAACAAAAATCTTTTGTAAGCTGAAAATAAATCCTTACGAAAATCAGAATACACAATTGTATCGTAGCTTGGCAATATATGGCATTGGAACCAGGACGAGTTTTCAGTATTCAACAATGTACGATACAACTCGCAGGAAACCAAAGTGCTATGCAGGCTTGCCACCCTCGTTTATCCATTACAATATATCTCCATTCATACACTTAGTAATCGCGGAGGCTGACGTGCATAGTTTATCCTTTCAAACCGATTTCGTAGACAGATAACGTGTCCACCCCGGAAGAGCAAACAACACTGGATAAATTCCACCGATGTTTCCTCCCTCAAACATCGAAAAAGTCGCATTGCTTGAATAAAATTATCTAGAATTGATCATTCTAGGCCAACATTTTCAAATACAATGAGGCATTTTAAAATTCTGCTGTATGGGCGTACCTCGGGAATATTTGAAATTTTCACATGAAGGGCCCATATGTCAGAAACTTCCCATCTTCCCGAGGCAAGAGAGTTAACTGACTATAAAAGTACAGTGGAAACTGGACTTTAAAAGTCAGTTAACTCTCTTGCCTCGGGAAGATGGAAACTTCCTTGGGTGAACCCTCATCTACTGTATCTAAAAATGTCAATAAAAAACTCACTCGATAGTATCTTCAATCGTCAAAAGTTGTCAATCGAAACAGCGATTTGCATACTCGCAAAACTGTATGCCATCTTTTACTGTGCATTGATGATTCTTATAGCACTGCGTGGAGCTTTGCACTACCTTTTTTAATACCTGATTGTCAAATCGTATTTTCTGATCTACAGGTCATTAGCCGTATTTTTTGTCACTTAATCCTAGCAGAAATCAAAGACGCACATGTATGTGCATCCGTGCAGAAATCAAGAGAAAAAATGCAAGCACGGGTAAAATTTCAAAACAGAAGCAAATTTCGATTTTGGAATGACAAAACCAAACCAAAATGAATAAACATACAAATCTTTCTCCATAAAAACATACAAATTTCTGATCACAAACGATCGTATTTTAGATTAGATTCGCCTAGACTTTAGATAAGACATCACTGGTTTTCATGAACGTATACCCTCTTGCAAGAATGGCCAACGTTCATGAATTACGAATTTTGAACTATTTCTAGTGGCCAAACAGCAAGTTGGAGATTTTTTAGAATATGCTACGATATGTTTGCTTCCAGATTTGTCCATATTCATTGAAAACTGTGACTTAATCATTCAAATGTAACTCATAAACATTGTGAATGTCAACAATCTTTTTAACTTCCGGTTAGTCTAACATGCCGCTTTCTGCAGAAAGAAATGACTTAATTTTTGCTAATTTAAACAAAAGGCTGAACCTGGAGCAAGAAAATTGTAAAATGAACTGTCACTTCTAATTAATTTAAAAAAAGTCCATATTGATAAGATTTCATTTGATACGGTGGTCAGACACCCGGTCTTTGATACAGTACACACTACTTACACTACAAGACAGCGAAATTGACGAATGCACTGGACTGTAAAATATATATTTTCTGCCAACAAACTGTAACACCATCTACAGCTGTCGCTATTTCATGTCATCGCTTTAAATATATTAAGTTACGATCTTAACAGACATTTCAAAGACCTAGAAATTGTTTGTTCCCCGCATGCCAACGAAATGAACAGCTGATGGTGGTAAATATGCCTTATCTAGAATTATTCTCGCAAATAATTCCTCCTAAAGTCGACAATGAACTGAAATACATAAATATTAATGTATTTTCTCCTAAAGTAGACAATGAATATAAATATAAATGCTAATTCTTTTTTGTTGTTGATACTAATGCTAATATTTTTAAATATTCACAGTGCAAAAATGATTAATGTTCGAAAATATCGGAGGATGTATCAATATAATCTAGTAACATTAATTGCAACATACTTCGAGTCACAAATACCGAATATCAAATACAGTTTCCACTGTGGGAAGACAAAATGTCTTTGAAAGTTTGCAAAATCTTATCACACGCCAAAAAATCTCATTTCTTTTAGACCAGGGGGGATTTTCTCTCATTGGTGAAACTTTCAAGGTTAATCCTTGCCAGATGGTAAAACAGAATTCCAAGAGTTTGAAAAGCCAGATGGATCGTCTAAAATGCGTGAGGCAAAATTGACAACATTCTCATCTTATAAAACGTCAAGGTTCTCACATTCACATTCTTCTTCCAATCTCATTAAAATTAGATCTTAGTTTTCGCTACCGCTAAACATGTGTTTAGCATAGCGAGAACTAAGATCTGATTTTAATGAGATGGATTCTTCCTCTCTCCTCCTAAGTTTACAATTTTCTTCAGTTCTATTCTTGTTTTGAAGTAAGATGCCACCGTACCAACATTGTACCGAGAAAGTTAAAACAGACTGAATACAACTTTTATTAAATAACAACATTATTGTAGAGACAGTATTACAAGATCTCTGTTTCCATACAAAGTGAAGGCGCGATAGAAACTAGCTGTATATGGCATATGAATTGCATGAAATAATTTTAAAAAACTGTTCAAAGAAGAAGGAGTCCCTTCGCCGCCTGGAACACAATGGTAGAGGTCGCTATGCAGGTATCAGTGACGTCGACAATGGAACGCCGTCACACTTCATTGTGTTTCATACACTGGTGACATCACAGACACATTACGTCAAAAATGAGGTGACGCCAGAGACACTAAGTCAATCAGCAGTGTAGGCGGCCGGCGTGCCTGTTGCTTTGGGAGGAACTCCACGAACTGGCAATGTTGAGATAGGGATGGGCGTTGGGCACATGGAAACCAGTTGCTGTTTCTGTCATTTTGAAAACATTCCATCACAGATATTTAAACAAGGCCGACATGTCAAACAGTTCCACCTGCGCACATGACAGAGATCTGTGTATTGATTCAGCTTGATGTCAGCCTCTTGTCTTGTCATGAAAGAAGTCTTGGTCAAGTAGCTGGTCATGAGAAAGCTATGCTCTCGTGAGAGTCACGTTTTGGAAGTGTACCACCTTGTGAAGATATTAATTTTATTTTTGGGTTGTAGGGTGTTGATATTTACAGTCGGTTGACAAGGGGCGGCGCTGAAGACAAGCTAAAGTATGTCATTACCTCTGATTACCGTCCGACCTGATTGGATGGTGTTGTGTCAGGTATGTAATTGGTACTGTATTCATCAGGAATGGATTCTCGTGTATTTGGCAGAGGGTTGCGCCCAGATCCACCCCGTTTACATAGGCGTCACACCCAGGTAAGTAAAGCACTTACCCTTCTCATCCTCTGTGACTGGTATATGGTACAGAAGATACATTAGAGTCTTACTTGAAACGACCGTAGGTAGACACATTTATTGGTTCAAGATGATGCTTCATTTGTGTTATCAGTAAGTATTTGCTTACTGACAGTTACTGGGGGACATTTCTAGGTACCGACGCTACGTCTACCTGTTGGTCCCTATTCTGTCTAAGTGGGTTTTCCAAAGGGATTGAGTTGGGAATGTAAGGTCGCTTTACTTACTGCCGAAATCAACTGAAGATGCATCTAACTACATGTAATTGATAAACCATTTATAGGTTCTTACTCACTCACACATTCACTCATAAATCGCTCACTTGACCAAGACATATTTCATGATAAGACAAGAGGCTGACATCAAGTTGAATTAATATACAGGCATCTGTCGTGTCTGCACGTAAAACTGTTTAACATGTTGGCCTTGTTTAACTGTATGAAAAAGGGCTGAAATGTTTTCAAACAGAAAGAAATAGCAACTGGTTTTCCTGTGCCCAACGCTCATTCCTATCTCAACATTACCAGTTTGGGAAGTTCCTCCGTGAAGCAACTCGCCCGCCAAGAAGCCAGCCGACCGCCTTCACTGCAGATGGACTGATTGTCTCTGACGTCACCTCGGACGTAAAGTGTCTCTGACGTCACCTCGTTGTTGACGTAAAGTGTCTGTGATGTCACCAGAGTTGGGAACACAATGAGGAGTGACGATATTCCATTGTCGATGTCATTGATACTTGCAAAGCGACCACGCCCTCTCGCTCCAGCGTGTCGTTCCACAAACACGCTACGAATGTCCTAAGTCTATGTTAGAGTATGGGAGTTACATCACCTTTGAAGACTTACATCTTTTGAAGTCGCTCTTCATTATTCGGTCCAGTGATCCAGTTGCGAACTTAGTTTAGACCTTTTTCAATCCTAACTGTAATGTTTTAGTTCAGACTGCTAAAGAAGTACCAACTACAACAACACAGATCAATACCCAGCAATTGTCCTGAAAAAACAACTCACCCCTGCCATGATTTATCAATTATTAGATGCGCATCTTCAGTTGATTTGGGCAGTTAGAATAGCGATCTTACATTTCAATCTCAATCCCTTTGAAAAAAACCACTTAGACAGAATAGGGACCAACAGGTAGATGTAGCGTCGGTACCTAGAAATGTTCCCCACTAACTGTCAGTACGCAAATACTTTCGAAGCACAAGTAAGACTCAAATATGTCTTCTGTACCACATACTAGTTATAGAGGATGAAAAGGGTAAGTGCTTTACTTCCCTGGGTGTGACGCCTACGTAAAGGAGGGCGGGGTGGGGGTGGGTGTTGGGGGAGTGGGGGGGTGGGGGGTGGGGGGTGGGGGTGGTGGTGGTGGATCTTACGTATATACATACACGTGGGACAATGACCTTGCCACACGTTACGTAATAGCTCGCTCTACAAAACCCGACTGACATGGTCAGTCAGGGAGAGAGCCAGAAGGTAAGCGACAGAGCGAGTCTCCACCCGGGAACATTGGCCACTCGGTCCCGGTTTGCATTCTGTCACGTTATTATCAACATGTACCTTTTCCACTTATTCCAAACCATCAACAATAAACATGGCTGCTATCGTCTTAAACTTTACCCCTGAGTTTTGTCATCAGTCTTCGTA